CCGCGACTCTTGCAGTTCAGCTTGCGAGTTGATGAGGGATGAGATCTGCATCAACAATTTTTGTCTATCCTCAGCAGCTTGTTTTCGTTCCTCATTAATGACTTCCTGGATTCGTGCTGATATTGAAGCATTCGTCTGAAAAATGCTCTCACTTGCGCCTTGAAGCTGTTGTCTAAGCCTATCAGACTCCTGTTTTTGGCTAGTGATGTGTTTCAGTAGTTCTTCGAATATCGATTTGAAGTCTTTTCCCAGAGTCGAGTATGAGGTGTGCAACATATTGTGGAATGTGCCGAGTTCGCTGAGGACATCCTGCGCGATCTTCTCTGCGGCACCAGCAAGTGCTTGGAGGCTCTCGCCAACTCTCTCCTTGATGTGGTCGCGAACCTCCTTGATTTCCTCCAACACCGCGTCCATCTCGTCCTTGGACTTGTCCTTTTGCTCCATGAGCTCTTTCTTAGATAGAGCGAACTTCTCCAGGTTTTCGTCCAGGAAAGCTTGTGTTGCCGAGAGCTTATGCAGCTCCTTTTGTACGAAAGACTGCATTCTTTCGGATATGCCCGAGATGTGCTGTTGCTGCTCGGCACGGAACTCTTCAACCCGGCTCTCGACTAGTGATGTGACATCTGACACCTGATCTTGAGCCATTGCCCAGTTGCTTCGGTTCAAGGACTGAAGATCTGACTTTCTCTTGTTCTTTGCGTGCAGACCTCCGACGTGATCCACCGTCTTCTGCAGAGTCGAAATGAGCTCGCCGCCAATGCTACGCATCTGCTCTTCGGTCTGTTCGTGGGCTTTGCGGATATGCGTTTCTTCGGCGAGGGTTTTGCGGGTTGCCTCCAACACAAGCTCGGTCTGGTCAAGTACCTCCTTCGCTTCGTCAAACTGTGATTTCGTTATTTCGTGGTCTTTTTTCAAACCCATGAAACTGGAAGTCAGCGAGAAAAGCTCCTGGACCTTGTTTCGAAGGTTGGACTCGAGTGTTTCGATCTTGGCCGCTTGTTCTTCGGTTTGAATCCTGCGGGATTCGCTCTCTACGGTCATTTCCTCGTAGCTCTCATTCGACAAATAGACACCATTCCTTTGTCTTGTAGCAATTAGCTCACTCTTGAGCCGTTCAATTTCGTGCGTGAATTCCCTCAGCAATGTTTTCTTGTTGATCATCTGGTTGACCTGTGGCTTGTTGCGAATGTTCTTGGCGCGGAAGGCGTAATCGAGGGTTGATATGGTCTCCTCCAAATTGCTCTTTGCGGGCGAGACCGTGGCGATGATACAAGTTTTGGTACGTCCACCAAGCGAGTCTTGAAGTAAACGAGTGAGCTTCGACTCCCGGTAGGGGATATGTGAGCCATGGTCAACCAAGGCGTTGATGACTCGACCAAGAGTAAGCAAGCTCTTGTTGATCAAACCGGCCTCGGCCGCTCGCTTGTTCTCAGCCCCAGACCTTTGGATGTTTTCACTGCCGGCAAGATCAACAAGATTCAGCTTGCCGGCACTGACGTAATCCTCTCCGTCCTCCCCCGTTCTCTTGATGCAGGCCGTAATGGTAAAAACGGTATGGCTTCGACTGCTGAGATCGTTGCACTTGGTAGCCGCCACTTGTCGCTTCAAACTGCCATCTTGCAAAAGCTTGATGCCATCTGCAGCCGTCTTAATGTGCGACTCTTCCATGCCTTGCACGACGGTTGTAGAATGGCCCTTTCGCGACGTATCATCGAAGATCTTCAATTTCGCGCTCTCTTCGGGGGATATTAGATCGCGTAGCTCCTCGTTATACAGCTCAATGAAGGAGCATTTGACAAAGCTTTCAGTTTCTTCAGCTTCCAGCTTGTTGAACAGGGAGTCAAGGACGCGGGGGATGATGCCAGCTGAGTCTGATAAAATGCCGAAAGGGGCGTTCATATCTCCAGACATGGTGTATGTTTTGCCAGTTCCAGTCTGGCCGTAAGCGAATATTGTGCAGTTGAATCCTGAGAGCATCTAAATGCATGTTAGCTGTGGTATTTGGGAAGCATTCCATGACTGCACGTACTTCTTCGAGGATGGGCTTGACTACGTCATCGTAGACCATGCTTTGATCGGCCGCAGGAGAGAATACACGGTCGAAGTTATATGTCTTGTTGCTCACTGCATTGGGACCCATGGAAAGCTGCACTGACTTCCCCTTGGCGCCCTCTGTAGAAACCACGACAGCGCTGTTCTCGCGCACTTCTCGCTCGTTACGCCCCCGACACCGCACAACGACATTGATGTTGGTTTCATGGACAACCTCCACCTCAAACTCGCGCTCCTTACGCTTGGTTCCGGCGGTGGAGACTGATGACAATGACTCTGCGGGTGACGGGGCTGCAGTGCGATCGATTCTGGCTGCAACGGCAGTGTGGTGTGTGGTGGGATGCCTGAGGGATGACGGTCGGTTTATAGCTGGCCGCGAGCCCGCACGTCCAGCAGCTCCAGCCCGCACGCTGTTAGCCGTGCTGGGCCTTTCACTCCTAACGGGGCGCTTCTGCATCGCGGCAGGCGACGATGGAATGGAAAAGTAATTCGGATATTGGTGTTGATGGTGACTGAAGTAAGCAAACTCGAATGATTTGCATATATGTGAGCCTAAGGCGAAGCAAGATCTCGCGTAGTTCTCCAAAAGGTCACGAGCGAAGCTTCAATGATGTTAAAGTCAAGAAGTTGATGTCGACTGAAGTGCTGCACGGTTGTTCTGGTTGTTCTGGCTGCTTGGAGATATGCGGATGCGCGGGTCGCACTTTCTGTTTGATCCAATTTGCTCATGTCGCGGCAGGGGTGGATCAACAAGGCCCATATCTGTCGCCCCGGGCAACTGCGATAACGATAAGATTTGCCAATGGCGGGACCATCCCTGCCAGTCATGGAGTTGCATCAGCGGGAGGGGTGCCCGTGGCTGCCGAGCGAGCGTGGAACATAGTCAAATGACGTCCCGTGCAGTCCCCAGGCATCTGAATCACAGCAGCCCCGCGTTGCCTCCGAATGACTATGCCGGCCCTCTGGAATCAAGGTGATGGGGCGGGAGCCCTACCAACGCTCAACTCAACTAGACCATTGACTTGATCGGTTAAGCTGTCATACTCCACAATCGTCTAGTCATATTGAGAATATTTCCTCTTTCTGGGAGCTTTACTATACTTTACCTCCAGTTAGAGCTGGGCCCCAGCTGCGATAGCTTCAGCCAAGATGTCTGCTATGTTTACCGCGACACTCCACCCGGGCGTAGCGTTGGGGTTTCTGGGTAAGATCCCCGCGCCCGAATGCCGTATAATTCATAAGGGCTTCTAGCTGACCAAGCTACGTGAAGTGCTCGGGGCGTCGCTTCACGACGTCTTGACGCGTCTCAAGGCTGAACCGCAACGATTCCCGAAACTCGATCTTGTCTATTCGCCGAACCAACCCGTAACCGAGCCCGTGATCCTGTCACTTCCTGCAAACGGCCTCCGACTGCGCTTCGATGGCGCTGAACAACGACTCCGTCTCATCGAGGTCATCGACTTTACCCTGAGTCGCATCACCTACGGACACCCCGAGAAAGACATCGTAAAGCCGGCCTCCCTGCCGGGACAAGGCATAACCTCTCCTAAGCTAGGAGCAGAGTCATCATCCGGTCCAAGCTTCCGCAACATCTATCATCGGTTGATGGGCCCTACATATGCTGGCGAGTACATCCCACCGTCGGATGATGACAAGAGCAACACTGGCACGTATATTCTGTCATACCCTGGCGTCGCATTCAGCTTCCCGCTACCAGAATCAGCCTACTCGCCAGATAAGGATGTGGTGTCGTTGCTCTCGGCTCCCGCTAGCCAGACAGCTATATCCATGGCTGTCTTCAGTGGCAAGTCCTGGGCAGAGGCCCGAGAGATCCTCTGGACCGATATATTACCAAGCGTCAAGTCGGCCTACGTGTTCAGCAAGAGCAAAGATATAGTTCCCGATGAGATCTCATTGGTTAAGATACATGGAGGAGGCCGATTACAGCTATTCAAGAAGTGGACGAGTGCATCGTTATGGATTATACTTGGCGAAACCACACCTCAGGAGTTGGTTGCAGAACTAGGCCCTCCCGATGCCATCTACCGCAAGAATGACCAGAAGATGTACATCCACAAGACGCGCACAGCGAGTCATAGCAGGTCGAGATCGAATAACGGCGACTACAAGCGCCCGGACGACCTCACAGATACTGACCAGTCATCGGCCAACACAGGCTCGGATGATACCGATGAAGAAGCCGTTGAGGACGAATTTGTTGGTAATGTATCCGGAGAGTGTTTTTACAATTATTTCTATCTCGGATTCGACATCCTCGTATCACCACCGGTCCTGGCTTCAAGATTACCACCTTCGCAAATCTCCACAACGAACAGGAATCCTAGCGAAAAGCCGATCAAAGTCGACTCCACCAATCGGCTTGTGGCCACAAAGTTAGTGTTGCACGGTAATGTGCCCGGCTCGTACCCCTTCAACCGCCATCGCCGCTGTCGCTGGGAGATTTCATACCCGTCATCTGGCTCCGATGCTGTAGACAACTCCGAAACCCAGTTTAATGAGCTGGAGGAGCGCCTCAGAGAGGAATGGAAGAACATATATATGTCGGAAGACGACGCCAATAAACGCCAACGAGGCATGGTTCTCAACCGCGGATGGGGCGACAGCCCCGGTAGTAGCTATGAGTTTACCGGTGGTTGGGAGGATAGCTCTGGCGGCGTTGCGGCGAAGAAGTTTGACGGCAATGAGGAGTCGACAACAACTCTGTATGGTTTTCCCGGACTGGTCTTTGAGGTCTTGAAGAACGGCTATGTCAGCGCCGTTACAGTATTTTGATCATGGAATGATCTTGAGCGCAGGGGTTGGAGTTAGTAGACATCGTTGTTCACCGCATTCAAGCGGCATTTTTGAGACATGGATGGGATAGGGATGGGGATAGGAATAGAAATATGATCATTCATCGATAAATACAATCAGCTATGAACGAGTTGGGCTTCTGGAGCAAATCAGAACAAATAATGTGTTGTGGCTGCAATGGCAGCTGCTTGTGGACACTGGAGGTTGAGTTGGTAGTTTCTTTGAATACTTTGGAGTATGTGTATATCGACACCTTTTTCTCCCTTGCAGTAAGATGCTGGAAGATGTTTCGGCGATGAGATGTTGTCATGGAATTTTGAGGGCGCTTCGATACAGAGAAAATCGGCTTCAGGCATCGTATTAAGTTGAGCACCTGTGGAAGCAGATTGCAGATCTGATCTCTTGGGTAACACTTCAATAAGTACCCGACAAGAGCAGAGCGCAGGAGCATGTAAGCAAGCATCCACAGCTGGCACCAGCTGCAAATAAACCTTGCTTGAAGCACTTGCACTTGGAGGACTTCAAGGCTCTTTCTCAACAGACAAGTGGTTCCATATGGTGAGAAAGTGAGAAAGAACAATACTGCTGCTTGATTCAAGATGAAAAATGAGCGGCGACATATCGATGGCAAAATGCGGTGAAATCTGCCTGAGACTCATCTTCACGAACCCGATGTGATGAAATCATGAAAATCAGCTGGATCAAACCCACTCTCATTTGCCGCAAGCCCGCAAAGAACGCAGCGACGAGCTATACCGGTCTCTTCTCACTTACACGCTTTCGTGGTCGAATACGACTATCCTCCACCATGGCGCGCACCTATGACAGCGCGTTGTCCCGCCTATCATCCCTGCAATCCAATCACGCAGTCACTTCCCTCTTCTCACCACCTCCCACGACTTCACCAAACAGTAGCAGCAACGGCAAACCCCAAGATCTCAACGCGCTGGCAATACCAGAAATGCTCTCCTGGCTATGCCGAGCCGGCATGTCCCCCAGTGACCTGACCAAGCTGAGGTGCATTCACGTAGCCGGCACCAAGGGCAAGGGCTCCGTCTGCGCGTACCTAACCTCGATTCTGACACAGCCGGGGCTGCATGCCACGGCCGGCAGGGTCGGGACCTACACCTCGCCGCATCTGGTCTCCGTCCGGGAGCGTATCATGCTGGACGGGCAACCAATAAGCCAGGATCTGTTCACGCGGTATTTCTTCGAGGTCTGGGACGCGTTTACAGCTTCGGCGCGGGCGCTGTTAGCTGAAGGAAGCGAAGAGGGTCAGATGAGCGCAGAGGTGGAAGGCCCGATGTCAAAGCCGTTTTACTTCCGCTTTTTGACTATCTTGGCCTTCTATGTCTTTATAAAGGAGGGCGTTAAGACCGCGGTGATTGAGTGTGGGATTGGCGGAGAGTACGATGCAACGAATGTATTGCCGGTCGAGGCGACCACGGCGAGTGTGGTTACGCAGCTGGGTATAGATCATGTGGGGATGCTGGGGCGGACTTTGCCTGACATTGCTTGGCATAAGATTGGGGTTGCGAAGGAAGGGAGGAAGTGTTTTTCGAGAAGATTAGGAGGCGAAGCCGGAGAGGCGGCCATGAAAGTCATGAGAAAGAGGACACAAGAGAAGGGGGCGGAGTTGGTAGAAGTGACGGATGACGAGGTTGAGTCGTGGGGAGGTGTCAAGGCCGATACCCTTGGAAGCTTGGACGGAGACTTCCAGAAGTTCAACCAGGCCCTTGCTGTGGCGGCTGCAAAAGCACACATGGAAAGATTGGGCGAAAGTGCAATTGGGGCTACGAATGCATTATTCGCGCATCTACCCGATGGATTTACAAATGGTCTTCAACAGGCAAGACTCAGAGGACGATGCGAAACCCGGATAGACGGCAATATCACATGGCTCATTGACGGTGCACACACAGCGGAAAGTCTCGAAGAAGTAGCTAAGTGGTATTCGAGCAAGCAGGAGACTCTAGCCGGCAGCGAAAAGGTCCTGATCTTCAATCAACAAGACAGAGATGCGGCCAAGCTGTTGGCAGGTCTCTATGATGGCATACTTCGAGCCACTAGAACACCAGATGCCCGGCCGTTTGACAGGGCCGTCTTCACCAGGAATGATCTACAAAAAAGGGGTGATGAAGAGCCAGATAGAGATTTGTCCGTTCAGAAGTCGGCAGCTGACACTTTTGAGAGTCTGGCTCCGGGTACAGCGACTAGGATCCACGATAACATGTCAGATGTAATTCAAGAGGTCAGAGAGCAGTATATGGGAGACAAAGCGCAGGGCAAGAAGGTCGTGGTTCTAGTGACCGGTAGTTTGCACCTGGTTGGCGCCCTCCTAAGGACTCTGAAACCAGACGCTCCCATATAGTGCCAGGCAGAGATGAACATGTTGACTTGTTCTCTACGGTTTCCAAAGTAAGATTCAACATCTAATTTGGCACAACTTCAATAAGTTCCGGTAATAACATCCGAACTTGCCAAAGAATTATGCCATCTTCACAAGGAGGCTGTGAAGCCAGTCAAAATCCTTCCCTGATCCGAGGGATGAGTCTATACTTATCGTTCCTTTTGGCCTATCGCATGGGGATACGATGTGCGGTCATTGACAACAAAGACTTTGATGTCACAGTAAACAGTCTTAGCCCCTATTGTATGCTTGTAGGTTCCAAGTGCGGAGTACGGGTACCAGTTTTGAGACAACGCTTCCGAAAGCGGAAACCCCTGAGGGCTGGCCAGATCCGATAGTACCGTATATACAATTATAGAAACACTGACTGCCAATATGAAAGTTATTGACGTTGGAGATACGTCTTTGTTTTTGAGAAGAACCGGATGCGTTGACCTCAAGTCGTTGCCCAATCCGGATCATCTTTGTCTACACATTGTGGACTCCATCAAAATTCCAACAATGACTTGTAAAATCTAAGAAAGTCCTTCATGATCGACTGCATAAACCTAGAGTCCATTTGACTATCGGATACGACGAGAGGAAAGAGAGAGACGGAACTAATTATCAAAATGCCGAGAGTTTGGAAGATGCCAAGCGGCGTTACCAATCGTAAGTAAGCAAACACTGGATTTTCTTGTGGTAATAGAGTATCAAGTTTCTAACATTCTACCGCTAGATTCTCCAACGGAGGCAACCTCGAGTAGTTTAGAGACAAGTAGTACGAGGCAGGTCTCAGAGTCCTGGAACACTTTACCTAGGTAGCAATTTGGCATCTGTGTAGCGTGAGAGTGCATATAAACTACCGGGACAACCCCTCTATCACCGTATTTCCCAACCTCTCCTTGGGCGATTTCGGTCTAGCATTCGTCGAAGAAACCCTGAAGAATGGATTCAAACTGCAGGCAACGAATCGGACGACTTGGAAGAGTGGTGGAAATTTACCAGCTCGGTCTCACCCTGGGCGGCTTGGCCATGACGCAAACCCCCGCCGCGGATGACCCCGATAGTGTGTACAAGTCGATTCCGGGAAACCAGAAAGACGAGCGAGTGGGTATGGTATGGCTCCACCGCCCTGACGGCCTGCGCGTGGCCGAGACCAACTTACAGGGTGTTGGCCAGCCGTACTCAGAGGATCTCATCAAGGTACTATAGCACTTCGAGTGGGAAGACTGGGAGGATGACGACATTGAGGATCGCCCCGATCTTGTCAAGACCGCTCAATGGATTCGAGAGAATATCATTGACGAAGCAATGGCGGTGGTCGATCAATACAGGAACCCAGCAGAACCTGCCGAACCGAGATATTATTCCAGAATGGAGTTGACGTGGATAAAGCCGGAGACGCTCGTGCCGGTGAGCGCGTTTATGGACCCCGAGGTAGAGAACCAAGAAAAGTTGCAAAACTGAGAACACTTGCGGCCTGTGCATAAGTTTATAAGGGTTGAGTACATGGCCATCAGAATGAGACCGTTACTTGAAACCCCTGATGAGCAGAAGTGGCGGACGAGTATTCAGGGCAATGGGTCGATTTGGTGAAGGGATTTGTCGCCACTTTTGTATTCGTAGATATAGACACTAGCTTCTACAATACAGGAGAGCGTCTTACTAGAATATAGATATTCACACTAAATTTACCAGAATATATGACGACGGTAAATCAACCTTGTCCTTCATTCTTGTGCAGGCATGCTTATTTTTTCCACTACAAATACAGTTTTGAACTGGACTGCATAACCTTAAGAACTAGTTGCAAGGTGCTATACCAAGTCGATCGAAGGTACTCTATTATTAATGGGATTTGTGAGCAAGTTTGGTTGGTATAGAAGTTGTTTGAACCCGAAGACCCCAGACGGGAACTGCGGCCCCCAGCTTTGTTTGATACCCGGGTGCGGGTGTTGCTGAGGGCGGGGCTGTGCGGGCGAAGCTGCGGACTGCATCATCCAACGTTTTGTAAGCCCGTTAATCTAGTATTAACAATGCAACACCACTCGAAGTTTGTTTGACCACGACTGCTTAAAAGATAACCATCTCTGGCGTAGATCACTCAAAATCAACACTCAGCATTCACACCTCTACTCTACCATTGCAACCTCCAAGCTCAATCGCACTCAAAGTTCCATCTCCAAACTATCCGTCAATACCTCGAAGCAATTCAAAAATGGCTCTCGCTCCCAAGTTTGCCGGTCAAAGGCTTCTCTTTGCCCAGCCCACGGCCGAGGCCGGTGTGGCTCCAGCAGTGCACACCCTCGAAGTCTACCTCGACTACGTTTGTCCGTTTTCTGCCAAGCTCTTCAACACCCTCTACAACAGCGTCGTCCCACTCATCAAGGAGAACCCCGCCTGGAAGTCCAAGATTCAGATCATCTTGCGCCAGCAGGTGCAGCCATGGCACCCGTCGTCGACGCTGGTGCACGAGGCCGCCGTGGCCGTGCTCCAACTCGCGCCTGCCAAGTACTGGGAGTTCAGCAATGTGCTGTTCAAGGCGCAGGCGGACTACTTCGACGTCAACGTCGTGAACGAGACGCGCAACCAGACTTACAAGCGCCTCGCCAAGCTGGCAGCTAGTGTCGGGGTCGACGAGACCAAGATTTACGAACTGCTGGAAATTAGCGACAAGGCGGCGGACGATGGCGGCTTGAATAATGGAAATAAGGTGACGAATGATCTCAAGGTTCTCATCAAGATGGCCAGACTGGTCGGTGTGCATGTCAGCCCAACTGTTATCTTCGATGGTGTCGTCGCCAATGATATCAGCTCGGGCTGGACGAGGGAGCAGTGGTCGGAGTTTCTGGGTAAGAACCTCGCATAGGCGGCGGTTAACGTCACAAAAACCCAATCTTGATAGCCTAAGAAATACATGCAACTGAAAGACATATCTGATTTGCCATCGCCCTGGTTACGAACGATGTATTGCTGTAACTACGCGTGTGAAGCTCCTGGAGGCGGGTTACTGCAGGTCAAGCGGCGAAGCTACCCTGTACCTATGAAATGTCACCCACCTGCAAGCTAAATTTCATGAGCTCGAACTTCGCACGACTTGGAATGGGCAACACTCCAGTACATTAAAGCCCGATCCTCCCATCATGTTTCTCATTGCGGTATTGAGAGGGCCTCAATTGAGACCTATAAAAGTTTCATCCTTCTTTTCTTTGAATGCAAAGCTACGCGCAAAGCAGAGTTCAGCCCAAATATTCACCAAACGCGCCACGACATTATGTCGGACCACTCCAGTGGACCCCAAAGCACCGCCAAAGAAGTTTCGTAAGTTTGCAGGTCCTAGTACAAATGGCCAAGCGCTAAACTATCACTCATAGTATACCCTGAGAACCTGTGCGTCTACCACGCCGGCATTGGCAGAGTCACCTTCCTGTCCTGCCTGAAGCTCTCAACCCTCTTCATATTCGCCTTCTTCGGCTTCGTCGTCACCCCCGCTTACTACGACCGAGAAGGCTGGGGTGCGACCACGACCCGAACGGCCCTCTCGGCCATTGTGCCACTGCTCTTCGTGGCCTACACCACATCGCCCTTCGTCTCGGCCATCCACCTCCGCCTACCTCCCTTTGCGCGCCAGTCCGAGGATGTGCTGCGTCGCTTTGTGAGGAATCTGCCGTCGCAGACGCAGTTAACCGTCACGACTATGAGCCCCATTGCCAAGCCGCGGTACAGCAGCGTGTTGCTCTCTGAGCTCAAGCCTGTGAGCGGGAGGATGGGGATTGTGAATTATGCGCGGGATGCGAAGGTGGAGAATGCTAATAGGAAGTGGTATAACTTCAGGGCTGTGAGCAGGTTCAACATCCAGGTCAACAAGGCGGACAAGGCGCCGTGGGCTTGGGATGAGATTGCTTCGACCATTGCGAAGAGAGCCAGCGTCTAGGACTGCTTGACTGTCATTCTTCATTACGTTTGCGCTCCATTCTTACCAACGTCATAACTACCCTAATGGTGATGGTACTAGGTGGGTTGATCTGATGCAGGTGCCTATGGCCGCCAACATAGCTCATAGCAGCGGTACCACCACCCCACAAAAGGTTCTCCCCGCTTGTTTTCGATACAGATCCTTCGTCAACCCATGGTATTGAAATATTGTGTATGCTCTGCGCATAGTTCAAGCCGGGACCTGCAGCATTGACTATTCGCAAGGCTGATGCTGCCTTTCCCATATTCCTTGAACCGCTGCCCTGTAAGGAACCGTGTTTTCTATCTGGCGTGGTTCTTAGTTTGATGTTTCTTGAAGCGACGTAGCACTATCGCAGCTGTCAGGTTGCTTATCAACCTGCGGCTATGGCAGGATCATGGGGCTATTGTAAGTCAATGGACGCCATGATGATGTCGGTTAGCCGTATATGCAGAGGAGAATAACCACAAGGTATTGTAAAGAAGGCAGGAACTACCAATGTGGTGTGGCGGGCATGGGCTTAGGAAGCGTCTTCGATAATCGATATCCCTACCGAGGGAATAGACATGCCCGCGAAATTGCTCCCGGGAGGCCAAAGACTAGCCGGTGTTTCTTTGGGTATAGACGCCTAATATCCTCATTCTAGACAAGGAATCTAGTCAAAAGAGGCAGGAAATTGGCATGTATGTATGAGGTTGAAACTGTATCATGAATTGGTGATAGCTAGTTCCAAGTGCGACTGGGTAATATTGAAGCGCTCATGAGATGTCATGGCCTCTGATCCTTTCGTCCGTGGACTGCATTCCAGATCCCGCATGAACCTACCATGAAAACGGGATCAAATTTGAGTCAACTCGGCCTCTGCCTCAAACTCGAGGACTGGTCGTTCCAATTACCTCAAGGTCGTGTTACGATCTTCTTTAAGGCTTCCTGAGGGAACATAATATCTTTCCTACACGGATCTACTTGCTTGTGATGAAATATGTGCACAGTCTGCCACTTCCATCAGACATGTGCTTTCTGATTTCAAATAAAATTCTAACGAATTCACAAGTGCCTAGATCAGGTATAAGTGAATTACGAATACAAGCCAGGAAGTTGGGTTGACAAAAGGGAAAAGTGGGCCCGAGACTTTAGCGATAACGGCACCAAAAATCGTGGAACTTTGTCTCGTCATCTCGTTGGTGATCAACACAACGTCCAACGATGACTCGACGACCCAATTTCATCGGGGATGCATCATGTATCTCATCGCATCAGCCTCTTGGTATTTCCTCCATACAACCTGAAGAGAGTGAAGTCCCTCCTCCTCTGGCGCACAATGTCAACTCAAGGCCGATCGTACAATGTTTGTAGACCCCACTATGTTCCTTCTGAGTACACCCGTCTAGTCACTAACGCCCAACTCACTTCTAGGACGCAATCGATGCGCTCAACTCCCTCCAGACGCCCTACGCCATCATCGAGGCTCGGCGCAAAGCCGGCATCCGGCCCGATGCGGCCTCTATCTCCGAGATGCGCGTATACCTGCGACGCATCGGCTACAGCCCATCTGACCTCGACCGCCTGAATGTGCTCCATGTCGCGGGGACCAAAGGCAAAGGCAGCACATGTGCGTTCGCCGCGTCCATTCTCTCGCACTATCAGAAGGTACAGGGGATTCCGCGCAAGATCGGCCTGTTCACCAGCCCGCATCTCATTGCGGTGCGCGAGCGGATCAGGATCAACGGGCATCCTATCAGTGAAGAGGTCTTTGCGCGGTACTTCTTTGAGGTATGGGATTTACTTGGGAGGGCGGAAGAAGTGGAGATAGCACGGGCCAGCGAGGAGAAAGGCAAGGGAGAGCGTGAGACGAGCGGGGTACCAATGGCAACGCGGCCGATTTACTCGCGGTACTTGACGCTTATGAGTTACCATGTCTTCCTGAAGGAAGGAGTTGATGCTGCCGTATACGAGACGGGTATTGGAGGGGAGTATGATGCGACCAACATTGTCGAGCGGCCTGTGGCGACTGGAATAAGCACCTTGGGCATTGATCACGTCTTCGCGCTTGGCGACACTTTGGAGAAGATCGCATGGCACAAGGCGGGTATTATGAAGGCTGGAAGTGCTGCCTTTACGATTGAGCAGGTTCCCGAGGCGGCGGCAGAGCTGAAGAAACGGGCAAAAGAGAAGGGGGTCGACTTGATAGTCCTGGATATCGATTGTAGATTGAAAGGAGTCAACGTTCGACCCGACGCCGTTTTCCAGAAGAAGAATGCCAGCCTGGGAGTCGCCTTGGCAGAGGCGGTATTGAGCAAGATGGACCCCATATTCAAGCCGAGCCTCGAGAAACTGCCAAAAGAGTTCGTCGACGGTATCGAGCAGGTGGTCTGGAGAGGCCGATGCGAAGTCAAGGTTGAGGGACCCGTGGTCTGGCACATCGACGGGGCGCACACCGTTGACAGTCTGAAGATGGCTTCAAAGTGGTTTGCGGGGGAGTGTGCTAGCAGAAAAGGGCCGAGGGCCTTGATTTTCAACCAACAAGGTCGATCGGAGGCGATCGACTTCCTCGAGGGCATGATTACGGCTCTGAAATCCCAGGGGCAAGGCTCCTTTGAGCACGTAGTCTTCTGCACCAACGTGACGTACGCTGCAACGGGATACAAGAGGGATTTTGTGAACTACCAGTACGATCCAAAGGCGATTGAGGCGCTCACCGCGCAGCGCCAATTTGCGGAGAAGTGGTCGGCCCTGGATCCGGCTGCGAAGGTGACGGTTATGCCTACGATTGAAGAGGCGATCAATCACGTTAGGGGCTTGAGTAGGAGTGGTGCATTGAATGGGCAAGAGACGGTACAGGCGCTTATAACGGGAAGTTTGCATCTTGTGGGCGGAGCACTGGGTATATTAGAAGGCGCAGACGCACTGTGACTGGCAACAGTTAGTAATCCTGTTTATGCCGGTAGCTAGATATATATCTCCACGGAATCGCCTTGATCTTCAACGACTTGGCATTATTGGAATTTCCTTCATGACCAGCGTTCCATAACACTCGTGCGTCAGAATTGTTGTACCATCCAGTTGAAGATGAGCAAGCTCCGTATCTCCGGACCATTCTTACATTCATAAGATGGACAGTCATCATCATCCACTATTTTACGACTTGAGAACATCGACTTACACAACCACCGCCAAGGGTTTCTCATAATTACCTCGGCAACTCCGGAAGCCCCCAGGCCATGAATATCAGTTTTAACGGGTAAGTCGTAAACCCAATCGCATAGTAGGGCTGGGGCCGGCCCACAGCAACACACAAACCAAATCAATCAAGCTTGAGCATTATACATTAGTTTTACAACGATGTCTTTCATAGGGTCCGTTGGCCCAATGGCAAGGCGTCTGACTACGAATCAGGAGATTGCGGGTTCGATCCCCGTGCGGACCTATTGTACTCTGTGAGGTTATTCTATACCTCGTGAGGATATACCTTTTTATTGGTTTTTGCAATTTTGGTCATTTGGATCACTTGGATTGAATAGGCAAGGCATTACGAAGACATATTGGGATAGTATGAGGCACTCTCGAATTATTATTTCAATGTGGGGAGTTGATGGGTTTGATACATCTAGTTGATACAGGTTCGATGAACTGGCCATGGTGGGATATTGAAGTGTGAGGAAACTAATGTCCGCTAATGCTACGGCACCAGCTTGGGATGACCATGCTAACTGTTTTCCAGTTATCAAACGATGAGACCTACACATTATTCTCATGCGCAAAATATGTCCATTATCATGTTCGTCACAATTGCTATACCTGAGTGGTGATACGTGGAAATCTATCGCCGGTCGCTAACACTACAATGTGATTGGCTTATGCAGATCAGACCTATTCTTTCAGAGTTGTGGTTGGCTAGAAGAGCGGGAGCTGCACCGGCTCTGGGCACCAGCTACCTTGAGGCGTTGGAGGGAAGTCGCAACTTGGGACTGTGATGGTAGACCAGCATACAAAATCCTGAACTGGTAATGTGCATGGAGGAAATCGTTACTTGAAAACATCCACAACTCAGACAGTATTCTTGGCTATGATTCCCCGGGCAAACTCGCCAAACGTGATATGCTGATCCAGATCAACCTCGTCCTCTAGATTTGGCTGAGTGAAAACTGCAAGCGTATTCCGAGCAACACCTTTGCTGTAAGCCCCGCGAACCGAATGCTCAACTGCCTTGAACTTCCCGCGTGTTATCCTCTCGAGAGCCTCGCCGGTTTGGAAGGCAATGCAGTCCCTTGGGATCTTGACTTGCACAGGCTCTCCTTTTCGAGATTTGATCCATAGGCCTGCCTGCGGATCCGGAGACTTGGGCATTTCTTCTAGGGTTGACAAAGAATTGGGTGCTTTGCCGTCGAGTGTTGGCACTTTCGGATCTGTCTTGTCTTCGTCGACGAACATAGCGGAGGTCAATCCTGTCAAACAGCCATGGTCTTTGTGAACAGAGCACCAGTTATCTTCGTCGTCACCCCTCGCCATAACCTCGTCAGTCATGGGGTAGTAATGCAGCAGCCGAGCCTTGGTTGTTGAAGATGACTTCACAACCTTTTCGAGATACGCCTGAGGGTACTCTGGGATTTCCCTTTCGGCAAACTTGTCGCAGGCTCTCGCAACTAACACAGCAGTATCTATGATTAAGCTGCACAACTGCTCCATAGTGGGCCTGAAGCCGGGTAGAACTTCATTTGGCGGCCACGAGTTCGGCGCTAGATACTCTGGAAAATCATGCATAGTGAATTGCGCGGTCGGCGTGGGAGCTTCGCGGCCGGGCTCGACATAGAAGGCGCAGTTGGCGTAGAAGGACCCTTTCAAGTCGTCTGCACCACCATTCTTCAGTTGTTCTTTACCCAGAGACCACCCGACAAGGTACTTGGCTGCCTCGTTGGTGAATTTGTCTGAAGGGATTTAGCGGTGTTATCTTTGCTTTTTCGGCTTTATTTTCGTCCATACCAAAGTCGGCCTTATCCAGATTGCCCATATATGATGCGTAGGACAGCAGTTTATGTCTCAAACCCGCAAACTCTGGAGGGACATCCTTAACGACCAGAATCCCTAGAGACTCGGGTCCAAATGCTTCTTGAAGAGTCTCGAATGAGATTTCCCCTGAATGTAGAGTCAATATCGCTTTTTGTGCACTGCGATGAGATGTATTTACCACTCTTGAGGTCATGGAGAGAGACCACAACGGGTTCTGCAGTAGCCATGATGGAGCAGGTTCAAGTAAACACACACTTAGTCCCACAGCAACTGGGGAATCTAGGAGGTGTTATAATTAAATGAAAAATAAGAAAGGGCGAGTTATTCTAGTACGGACCATTTAATCGACTTTCAGTTGCTCCAAATTGGCAGGTTCTAATGACCCGAAGGAAATCGTCGGCATTTCCGGACTACCATGGTATACATGAACTGAGCCGGTGGTCTCCGCGCAAAGATGTCTTGGGCTAATTCTGCCGCAGCAACCCGTTGGGTTTCTCACATGAATGCCAGGTGGTTTTTGAAGGAGTTCGTGCAGATTGGGCATTCACTGGACGCAGGGATGTCGAAAGCCGGGAGTTGGCTCCAAGTCGCTCATGGGTAGCGTGGCTGCTTCATGTGTGGGTACATGGTATCTCGTAGTTCGTCATTTATCCTACCAGCACCAACACTGAAGCAATCCAGGAACATCGTATAACTTGATATACTGACGAATCGACAACGAATCCTATCCAAACCTCATTGAACTCGATTCGAAACCATGGTCAAACCACTCTCCTTCAAGGGCGACAAGAAACCAAAGAAGCGCAAGAGAACCGAAGCTGAAGCTCCCAATCCTGAAGCAGAATCAAGTGAGGTCGCGCTCGCGAGGGCAGAGGAAGAGCCAGAGAATGACGACAGCTGGGTCTCTGCAGAAGCACTCAGCGACGTTGTCGGTCCCATCATGTTCGTGCTACCAACCGAGCCAGCGACCTGTCTAGCGTGCGATGCGAACGGCAAAGTGTTTACGGATCCCATCGTGAACATCGTCGATGCCAATCCCTCGAGTGCTGAACCTCACGACGTACGGCAGGTGTGGGTGGCCAACAAGATTTCGGGAACTGAAAACTACAGGTTCAAGGGCCGATACGGAAAGTAAGTTGCGACAGACACCATGCGTCCTGCGTCGGCCATGGATTAACAGCCTGGCAGATACCTGAGTTGCGACAAATACGGCATCCTCTCTGCCACATCGGAAGCCGTCTCTCCTCCCGAAACATGGACGGTTATACCAACGGCGGACACACCCGGCACTTTCCAACTACAGACTATGCGCGAAACATTCCTTACCATCAAAGAGTCCACGAAGGTAAATGCTGGTCCAGAAGCCCGCGGCGATGCCACCGAGATCACCTTCGATACTACCGTACGACTGCGCATGCAGGCGCGCTTCAAGCCAAAGTTCAAGGCTTCAAAAGAAGAAAAGGCAAAGGAGAAGATCAGCCGGAAAGAACTCGAGGATGCCGTCGGTAGACGTTTGGAGGAAGATGAAGTCAGAAAGCTAAAGAGGGCAAGACGTGAAGGCGATTATCACGAGCAGATCTTGATGTTAAAGGTCAAGAACAAGCACGACAAATACGGCTGAGCACACGGGGAAGGCATGACAGCATCATGCGTTTGATTTCCATGCCTTGATATATCCATCCTCGCCCACACTGAAGACCATCTGCGCCTCATCATAGAAGCAAAAGGCACGTACAATCTCGGATGAATGCGCCCCCACCAGTCCAACACTATTTGTCTTGTCCAGGGACCAGTTCTCGCCTTTGGACAGATGAACCAACTCAAACATTTGCCGCCTGCATCGGATTGGTTAGTATTACGAGATATAACACGATAGTACACCACATACCCGTGCGTGCCGGCACCAATGACAGCTCCCGCGCCATTGGCCTTGACAGAAACGCCGGCGACGTAATGACAATCCAGCACCTCTCTCATGTCTCCAAAGTCAGTTGTTGCCGATCCTTTTTCGTGCTCTTCGGCCATGTTATACAGCGCGAATCTCTCATCGTGTGATAGTGCGAACACCTCAGTGTCGTTCAAGAATGCTGCGCGGTGGATAGAGGCACCATGATTGAAAGTCTGAATGATGACTTCATCCTCGTCAGTGATCCTAGTGTCACAAACATTCACCAGACCATCAGTAGAGCCCGAGAGGAGAATGTTCGGGTTGCTGGGATGGAAATTCAACTATCAAATATTAGCAAGGACCACGCACGCTTGATTGTTGATGGTACCTCTGTCACATCGTCACTGTGGACTTCATTGTATGTTTGTCGGGGAGCAGGCGTTGAGCGAACGTCCCTGGTTGCGTGTAAGTCAAGTGTAAGTCAAGCCTCAACAACAGCATTTGTGGTATTTGCTCACCAAATCAAAATTGACGACTGGCTTTGCTGCAATTCCGTGCCCGCAACGAGAGAAAAGCTTCCGCTCGAGCAAGCTAGAGATAGGATGGGCACTTGGTTGTCTGTACTATATTCAGCATGCTGCCCAGCCATGATGGAAGGAGTTGTAGTCCAGGAGACCGTACCTGTCAAGCGCGCGACTTCCGCTGAATCTTGTCTCAGATCCCATATGGAAATGCTGCCATTCTCGCCTGCCGTACAAACAACGGAGCCTCCGGCGTCGATTGGTTTTGCGCATGTGATGTTGCCATGGCTGGTTTGAATGCTCTTCACCGGGCCCACCCGCAGATTCACAGGGTTGAAGAAACAGAGCTGCTGGTCCGAGGATATCGTTGCTGGTCCTGTGACCAGAGGAATGATGTCGGTAACATAAATCTCATCTAGGCCCGGGTATCTAAACCCGTCGACGCAGGCCAGGGTGAACATCTCGTCACAAGTAGATCTTATGTGCTGATTGCACCTCAAATTTTGTCGTTACCCTCAAGTTAGGTGCTTGTTAGAGTCCGTGGTGGTTCTGTCCCACACGAATCTCAAAACTTCAATATGAGCGGGATGCAACACGAATGCCAAGGTGATTTCAAGTCGAAGGTAACAGCAATCGCCAGCTTCTTGCCTTAATCTTTCATGGAGATCTGATGAGTTTTTACAATATTGTATCAACTGCAGAAGGCGCCCTCAACGCCTGGGTCCACAGCAGCTTTATTAAAGTGTACACCAATCATGGACTAGTGCAGTAACCCGACCCCGGTTCCGTTCTTCACTTCTTTCGTAGGGTCGGAGCTTGGTTGATGTTGCGCCAGAGCTGTAACTTCCAGGTGTCCAGATCGGTTTTGTATTTGATTGTTTAATTGAACACGTCAACTTCCTCTAGCCGAACACTTGTTCCTCGCCAACATTGATCGGGGACCTTCACGAGGGGGACCATGACACAATTACAGAACTCATCCTTTTGCTCATAGCAGAATAATCACCATGAGGCGCTTTATCGTCTCCGCCCTCCGTACGTCGTTAACCTTTAGAACGCTCTCGCAACTGGAAGCTGGAAGCTGGAAACTAACTTAAGCCAAATAGTGCTCTTGCAGGCGGTCGCAATTGCATTTGCTAGCGATCAACAAGTTATCGGAACCCAGGATGCTGAGAAAGCCACTACGAAGCCCGCGGCCGCGGCCGTGGCCGAAACCGACGTCACCCACGGAGCGCAAGGGCTATGGACGCCATATCAGAATGGTAAGGGCAGATTTATTAGAAGGGGAATCGGAAAGCTGTTGGACTGACTCTGAGAAGGTTGGGAACTATTCGAAGCCGCCATGGCTGAGTTCAAGAAGGTCAAGACGCCGCATCACAAGAGGAGTAGGAAACAAAACGGGCTGTTTGGCACCATCTTCCACTATGCCCTGAAGGCGCTGCCGAGCCTGCGAATCAGTGCTCCTCCCCAAGAGCACACTGCACCTGTCATTCACGGGCCCCTCCTCGAGGGTGTCAGGCTCCTGCAGCAATCGGCCGACCAGAACAATACCGACGCGATATACGTCCTTGCCCAAATGAACTTCTTTGGCAACTACTCCCACCCCAGGAACTTCAATGTTGCCTTTGAGCATTACAAAAGATTGGCTGAGGTTAACGGAAACAGCTCCGCTCAGTATATGGTGGGGTTGATGTATGCAACGGGTCTAGGCGATGCTGTTGAGAGAGACCAGTCCAAGGCACTTCTGTATCACACGTTTGCGGCAAATCAGGGGCATACCCGATCCCAGATGACCATCGGTGCCCGACACCAGAGCGGAACAGCGGTCCCCAAGAGTTGCGACATGGCATGCAAATACTATAAGCGAGTCGCCGATAAGGCCATCGCCTGGTATCGGTCGGGTCCACCAGGTGGCATGGCCATTGTGCAGGAATCGTACCGTCTTGCCGATGAGTTGGGTGGGGTATACGGCGAGGGTGCTAGCGTGGTGAGCTCCGGCATCAATGCTGTTCGACATAGCCCTAATTCCGACGCCTACGCCGCAATCGACGACGTCATCGAGTACCTTGATCTGATGTCCCAGAAGGGAGACTTCAAGGCATCTTACAACCTGGGGAGGATCTACTACGAAGGCCAAAGAGGTCTTGAACGAGACCCTGATTTGGCGAGACGGTACTTCTTGACGGTTGCATCCAAGTACTGGCGCGCTAAGGACGGACGTACCGCTGATAAGGCCACTGTCAAGCCTGGTTTGGAGAAATACGCGTCCAAGGCTGCGGGCTATATCGGTCGCATGTGGTTACGAGGAGAAGGATCGTTCAAACAAAACTTCGATAACGCCAAGAAGTGGTTTGAACGTGGCATCAAGCATGGCGATGCGCAATCTCAATGGGGTCTTGGCATCATGTTGCTCAAGGGCCATGGAATGCCCATAGATGTCAAGAGAGCAACGGCGCTCCTCAAGGCGTCTGCGGATCAGGAATTCACGTCTGCCCAGGTTGCCCTTGGCGCGCTGCATCTCGACCAAGGCAACGCCGATGATTTACGAATTGCTAATCACTACTTCGAAATCGCTTCTCGGTACGGCAATATTGAGGCCCAGTACTATCTCGCCGAGATGATCCACCATGGCGTCGGTAGAGACAAGACCTGCAACGTCGCTTTGGCATATTACAAATTCGTCGCTGAGAGAGCAGAACCGCTGATTTCCCCCTGGGCTGAAGCAAACCAAGCCTATGCCGATGGGGATTACGAACTGGCGTTTCTCGACTACGTCATTGCTGCAGAACAGGGCTATGAGAAGGCACAGAACAACGTCGCTTACATGCTGGACCCCATTCAGTCACGACTACCGTTACCTTCCTGGCTGAAGAGTCAAACTCCGAAATCAAGCCTACTTCAAAACTCGGCCTTAGCACTCATCTACTGGACACGGTCAGCTATTCAGTCTAACATCGACTCTCTGGTCAAGATGGGTGACTACTACCTCAACGGCATAGGCACAGAACCTGCCATGGAAAGGGCGGCACAATGCTACACGGGGGCCTCGGAATACTTCCAGAGTGCTCAAGCCTTGTACAATCTCGGTTGGATGCACGAAAACGGCGTGGGGTTGACACAAGACTTCCACCTTGCCAAGCGCTATTACGATCAGGCGTTAGAAACCAACGAAGAAGCTTACCTCCCAGTGACTCTCAGTCTCTTGAAGTTACGCATGCGGAGCGCCTGGAATACCTTTACTCATGGTCAGATCAACTCTATTCAGGATGAGCCTGGTGAGTGGTTCCCCTCATGACAGGCCCGAGGGTCGATGATTAACGCAAAATAGCGAGCAAAAAGGTTTGGTCACTGAGCGAGTGGATTGCCAATTTCCTGAAGGAGGACATTTATTATGATGACGGAACTTACGAGGATATGTATGGTGACACCATCACCGGGAGTGATGGGGAGCCGCTGGGCGACGAGTTCGATGACGGGGTGATCGATAGTTTGATCATCTTGGGCTTGGCCGCTGTTATCGTCGGCCTGATTTATTACCGCCAACAGAGACAGCAGGCTCACAGACAAGCGCAGGACAACGCGATTAGAGCTGGGGGACTGGCTCCCCCACCGCCGCAACAAGCAGCACAACCTCAGCACGGTGTTTTTGCACCGGGTGATCCGGCAAATCCGCAGTGGGGTGCAGGCGGTATAGGTCACTAGGAACGGGATGACGAAGACGAACCAATAGCCACGATGATGGCTTAGTTTTGTGGCAACGCCGGACAGAGCAGAGAATGAATGTTGAATCGACTATTGGGGCATTTTTAATCTTAGCACAAGCTTGACTGGACTACTAGAGTCACGGCTACTGGCACATAAGCTAGTGAGCATATTGAATGAACCCAAGATGGCAAGCTATCGTTTAGAAGAGCTCGGGCCGATTGTACGATATCATTGTGATTCCTCGTACGCCATCTCAACTTAGGGATGCTGATTTTCTGTGGTCATGGGGATGAACGTGCCATGTGCGTTACAACGATCAACCCTGAGCGGGAGCTATAGACAGCTGCAAGCCCCTCATTAATACTCAAGATAGTACAATATAAGCTTATGCCAAATGCGGATCATTCTGAAGATTGGAGTTGTTCTCGGTGATAAAAATAGTGTCAGGTGCCACGGTGCATATACTACTACCACATCGAATATCCAGAAGAGCCAAGTTTTTTCCGTGAACAGGTCATTTTGACTTCGCCGCCAGTGGCAGCAGCTCAGCTCGGCAAACCGGCAGCGAAGTATTATATGCGGGATCGGTTCACCAGCTCTTCTAGTGGCTCTGGGAGGGGTCATTGAGGCTCATTCTGTGGTTATATAGCGAAGGATCTTCCTAGACGCCATGCTGAACTCTATGCAGGTCTACTTGGACAGATCGTTAGCGTTTGACCAAACCGAGTGGCGGACGGAACCTTGAGATGCGGGAGCCTCTTTTGACGAGGCGCGCGCCGAATTATCTTGCATACTGCTAGCTAGATATCTTATTTCCACTGACACCAAAGGTCTGGTTTTGCGAGAACGAGAGCAACGGGGTCGTCTCTCCGAAGCCAATATTCCTACCTTGGGAGGCTAGGTTCATCACAACTACGGTATATCATAACCGCCGTTTTCCGGCAAGCATGTCGGTTAGAATCTAGAGACTTCTGACTCATGACGAACGCGATGGCAAGAGACACTAAGACATGCCCGCTTACTAACACTCCATTGAGCGCACACTTTTCTGATAACTCCGCGCCAATCAAACAAGCAGTATAGTAGTATGCTGCCCATCCAAACAGACACGCGGCCATGTTTCTCTCCGTGGCCATCTTGCATATACTTCAGAAAATGCAATGCGAAATCTCGTGAAAGGGTGGAAACTTTTTGACTACTCCGCGATTTGTCGAGAGGAGGAAGATGTTCCAGCGGGGAACTGCATACTCAACAGCGGTCATCAGAGACTTTGCAACTCTAATGAGTTTGTGCTAGCAAATATGCAACGTCATGTTGAGATGTCGTGATTACGTGGACATCATATTCTAGAAGGAAGATATGAGTATATAAGCCATGCTGGTTCTGAGTTGAAAGGGGTATCTTCCTCGGCATCTTCAGGTCATCAAGAGATTTTGCAGACTCAACTGTATCAAAATCGATAAATATCTGGATATCTTGCTGCACAGAAACATTAACACTTTCCCCTTGTCTGATCATCACCATGGTCAACAAACTCCTCCTCGCCGCCTTGCTTCTGGGCGCCAACATCCTGGCCAGCCCTGTCCCACGGGGTGAAAACCTCATCGTCCGTGATGATCTCGATGTGAGTCTTTAGTCTTTGCTTCTCCCACCTATGGGCCATGAATAGGACCTTCACTAATCCATTTCAAAATAAGTGCGCCTGCGATGTGATGGCCATTGGAGACGGCGATCTCGCTAAGAAGTGCTATTGCTACAGTGTCAACGCAAAGAGAGGCCTCGTCGAGATTCGAGGAGGTGGTGAGGACGACGACGACGACAAAGATGATGATGATGATGATGATGATGATGGTGATGACGGTGGTGCTGGCGGGAAGGGAGAAGGCAGCGGTGAAGGTACGTTGTGCTTAAGTTTTCCTTAATTTTGTTCGTCAGAAGTCGAGGACTGACTGGGAGTCTCTACAGGCAAAGGCGGCGGTGGCGGTAAAAGCGGTGGTAAGTATACTCACAGATCTCGCTTATCGTATATACAGGTCATCACGAACCGACATGACTGACCCCGAGCGTTTAGGTAAGGGTGGCGGAAAAGGAAAAGGTGAAGGCGGAGGCGGAGGCGGCGGTGGGGGTAAAGGTACGCATAACCCTGATCATTCGTCCACTCACATGACCACTCCTCCCTGCCTAGCACTGTGAAAGTGCCAAAGTGGCTTTGCGTTACGATGGTATAATGCTGACAGCTTGAACAGATGGTGGAAGCGGTGCAGGCTTCGGTGGCGGAAGCGGGTATGTCCCCATGCGCAACTCGTGGATTTCTTCTTCAACTGTTGACGCTTTCTCCAGAGAGGGCGGAGGCGCCGGAGGCGCCAAAGGTGGCGGTGTTGGCGGAGGAAAGGGTATATTGACCCCAAGGCGCTGACCTTGTTTGTCCTTAATGCATGTTTCCAACTCTCGCTGACTTGGCTTCCGCACAGGCGGTGGAAAGGGAGAAGGTGCTGGTGGTGACGATGGTGGTGACGATGGTAGTGGTGGCGATGGCGGCGGAAAAGTGAGTACTTCCAGACGCCTTGCATCTCTATCTGTTCCCTTTTCTGTCTCTGTGCGGATGAGACTTGGGTCTGGGAATATTACCCCTAACTTACTGACACATTTGTTTAGGGCGGCGGTGCCGGTGCTGGTGGTAGTGGAGCCAAGGTATTTCATCCCATCCCTAGAGCCTTCGTGGATGATATGATAAGCTATGGCAATTAACACATTGGCTACAGGGCGGAGGCGGTGGTGGCGGCAAGGGGTACGTCTTGAGAACCATTTATGCACTTTCCCAGCTGTTTAAGAGCCCTACGGGCCTGCCATGGCAAATTCAGCTCCCGAAGCAGGACATTGAAGTTTCCTTCCGCACTCAAGTTTCTGGAAGCATGCTACTGACTTACCTGTCCAGTGGCGGCGGCGGAGGTGGTGGTGGAGGAGGCAAAGAGTGCGTATTTATGCTCGCAACCCTTCTCTGTGTACTTGGAGATGTCGCGAATATGGAATCCACGAAGCTTCTGTGGCTGACTCTGTTATAGTGGCGGATCCGGTGGTGGCTACGGCTCTGGTAAGGGAGAAGGAGAGGGCTCTGGCGAAGCAGAGGGAGAGGGAGCAGGCAAGGTGAGTCCCCATAAAATCTTAATCATGTTCGGCGGGATATGATGCTGATTCAACCCTACCAGGGCGAAGGAGCTGGCGAAGGCGCCGGAGAGGGTGTTGGCGGGGATGACTAGTCGTCCACTATGGGCTTGACGCCATCACTCCTTTACGGCGCACCCATTCGATGGCTCTCTACCTCGATTACCTCGCTCCTTTACTGTTTTCTACAATTTCGTTTGATTAGGGTACATCGATAAGACAGCTATGCCCCTGAAATACAGCCCATTACTCGCATTTCATGGGCTTTTATCTTGCGTGAAATGTGAAATGTGTCTCAGGACTGAAGGGACAATACCCTGCGGCTGCACCAATAGTTTGTCATCTGTGAGAGGCTAAACACGGGCGGTGGCAAGGCTCTATTAAACCAGAGTAGGATGGGGGTCTGCCTGTCTGTGCTCCTTAATTCCGCACATCACGCGATTCGGAGTTTACAATAGTCCAGAGTGATGCTTCAAATCAATTACCTTGTCAAATACAATTGATAGTTCGTCCTCATATTCGTTCATGCCTATGTCTATGCCCCTATCACCTCCTCTCTTATCATCATCCCAAGCACAACCTACCAAGCCCCCACAGCTCACAATAGGGATATCAGTCCCCGTAGTATAAGTCGCACAATCTGAAAGCAAACACAAAGACGCACCTCCCAACTCCTGCAGCAACGCCAACCGCGGCGTGCCCCCGTAATACTTCATTTTGGCACCCCTATCTCCGGGCTCGTCTTCACATAAAATGTCAGCCGTCCTGACGAAACTCGGCGAAATTCCATTCACCCTTCACCCTGATCCTGTACTGCGACCACTCCGGCGCCGGCGTATGCGTCATGTTTCTCCCCGCGGCTTTAGTCCCGCGATAAGGCGCCGAGGGCGCCGCCTGTTTGAGCCGGTACGATGTCATTTGACGCCGTGAAGATGATGGATCCGCACGGAAGCCGTGGCGCAGATCCAGGACCCGGTTACGTCCAACTTGTATACCTTCTCGAATGGCTCTAGGATGAAGTCGAGGGCACGCTTAGTCACACCGGCGTTGGCATTCATGCTGTCGAAGCAGGACTTTTGCGAGACGATGGTGTCGAGGGCTGATTTGCATGGGGATGCGGGAATTACGTCCGTGTGAATATACGCTAGTTTTTCCGGGTATCTTTTGGATAGGGCGGTGAAGTCGTCACTCCGATGGCTGGTGTCCAGCGAGAAGACGCTACCGGCGCCGTTGGCGAGGCAGACTTCTGCGAGGCCGAGGTCGATGCCTTGGTTTGCCCCAGTGACCGGAATCAAGCGTAGGAGAGTGTCAGTCTGGGCATGAGTTGTGATTCACTTCTTCAGGCGAGTTCTCGGTGTGCCAACCCCTCGTGTAAGTCAGGCATACGTGAAGTTTGCTGGCATGAACACAGACCAACTGCTCTACATTTGGGGCTAATTGTCTGTTACCTCTTTAGCAATTTCCTGATAATGAAGTTGTATTTCAATGCTATCTCCCAATTGTGGCTGGGTAGTGGTAGTGGGGGGCAGGGGAGAGAAGAGGAGGTTGGGTTGGGTTGGGTTGCTGGGATAGCTGTCAAGGCGCCGGCACAGAGCCACTTGCTGAATCTTCAGTATTTGGCGTCATGTTGTCTGAAATTGATGAATATGACAAAGAAACAAATAAATGCCCTTGCTTGCTGGTACTGTCGAAACTCGATTTCCAATTTTAAGTGAAAGAAATCGTTGATATGATAGGGGTCATTACTGATGATGGCGTTGACCCAACTGTCCCGGAAACGCGTCCACCACTCACTCCGTGGCTAACCGTTTTCCGTCCCCGAAATCTTGGTATAGAAGTTCGTGATTGGCTCAAGCTCAGATCGAGCTCGTGTCGTGACCGCAGCCATCGGTGAAGAAGAATGCCCCCGTCTCGCGCTTTGTATGGTGGGGATGGGGATGCATCCCTCATCGCCTCGCAATCGTCTTGATAATGCGGAGCCCCAGAAAACGGGACAAGCTTACTCCAAGACACTGTTAGCGTGTGGGGAAGGAATGGCTCACATACTCCCGGATTTCAACGTCAGACGGGAACGAAGACTAGGATGGACAAGTACGAAGTTGCAAGAGTAGATGATGATTGGTTGAGTTTAGGGGGTACGATTGAGCCCCTGGCAGTCTGGAGTGGTCTTCGGCGGAAATGCGAAGTGCAGGATATGATAAAAGTGTCAATACCCTGCTGCTCAACGGTAATTTCCCGGAATAGTGGCTGACTTGTATAGTCAACTAATCACATTTGGCTATTTGCCAACAAGTTGATCCCTTGAATTCTCAACATACCGGCAAACCACATCCTTATCTCAACATGGAGAAGCCAGCCAGTCTTTCCGAGCACCTCGAGACGATGGATGTCGATGGCCGGAAGCACCTGGGGCAGCGCGTCGAGTCGACCTACGTCCCGGACACCGAGGAGGAGCGCAAGCTCGTTCGTAAAATCGACCTCTTCCTTCTCCCTACGATATGGTTGATGTATCTGCTGTCCTACATGGACAGGACCAAGTGAGCCTTCACATTGATGTTCTGCGTGCTTCATGAGCTGATGGGCATGAACCCAAAGTGTCGGCAATGCCAAAGTGGCCGGTATGGAAGTCGACCTGGAAGTCGACTCGGACCGATACTCGATATCCCTTGTTGTGTTTTTCATCGGATACGTGATTTGTGAGGTGCCTTCAAAGTAAGCCAGCCAGCCTGGTTGATACGAGTGATGCATTATAGGTCTTGGAGAATGTGTGGGAACTGACTCAAAACTTCAATAGTATGATACTTGCGCGAACAAGACCCTCGATCTTCCTCCCGACCATCATGGCTCTCTGGGGTTTGGTCACCATCGGCATGGGGTTCGTCCCCAACTACAAGGCACTTATTGGCTTTCGTGTCATAGTCGGAATCCTCGAGGCTGGCTTTGCCCCCGGTGTCCTGCTCTTGCTTTCCAGCTGGTATAAGCCCGCCGAGCAGTCTAAGCGCTTCGGCGTTTACATCTCTGCTGCCATTCTGTCCGGTGCTTTCGGTGGTCTCATTGCTGGGTCTATTGCCAATGGTCTCGATGGTAAGACTTTCGCTGAAGATTTCCTGGCGCCAAAGCGACTAAGTTGGGGTTCCCAGGTGCTCACGGCTTGGCTGGATGGAGGTGGCTGTTCATAGTCGAGGGTGCCGCTACGGCTGGGTGGTCCATCATTGCGGCCTTTATCCTTCTCGACTTTCCCGCAAACTCCAAGCGCTTGTCGGAGCGAGAACGTCAACTGGCCATCGCACGTCTACTATCCGAAGATGCTCGAGTCCAGACGGATGAGACTCCCGTCCTATCTCATGGGCAGGCCCTCAAGCAAGCCTTGACGAGCTGGCGTGTTTGGGTAAGTCACTCTTCCAGTTGTACAATCAGCCCTCCCTATGAAGTAAGTGCTCAGTTTCCAACGTCATTATTCCCCCAGATATTCGTCGTGGGGTATATGGCCGTCGTCGGCTCCTCGACCCTATCCTACTTCTACCCCACCCTCGTCAACGGCCTCGGCTACGACAAGACGGTTTCCCAGTACATGACCATCCCCATTTACGTGGCCGCCTTCATCTGCACCGCCATCACGAGCTACTCCATGGACAAGCACTCGTCGGTGCGCGGCCTCGTCCTCGCCGCGTGGATGACCGTCTCCATGCTCTGCGCCGTCATCACCTGCGTCGTATACGACTTCCACGCCCGCTACGCCCTCCTCGTCATCTTGGCCAGCGGTCTTTGGGCTTCCAACGCTCTCTCGCTGGCGTACGCCTCGTCGACTTTTGCGGCTATGCCCAACGAAGTCCGGGCTATTAGTCTCGCATTTGTCAATGCTATGGGGAATTTGGCACAGATCTACGGCGCCTATCTTTTCCCGTCCGACGATGCTCCCAAATACTTGATGGGCTTCGGGGTTATCAGTGGGCTTTGTTTCACTGGTGTGGTTTCGTACATCGTGCTCCATCTTCTTCTCCGCAGGTATCCCCAGCGTCCCTAGCTTGGAGATGGGCTGTTGGGATTGAGATAGATGAGGTCGACTCGTCGCAGTGTGATGGATGATAACACTACTATCGACTGAGTGGATGACAACCTCATAAAAACCAGAGAAGTTGCACCGCGTCATAGTTTGGCTTCATGCATTTTCCTGTGCTTCTTGATGTTGCCCTTTTCTCTTGATTATTGTTGATCAAATCCGAGGGGGCGAAACGAACCCCTACTTGTATACCATCCCAACCCTCCACCTCGAAGACTGGAGTCTCGTCATTTGCACGAGTGGGTAATGAATGAACGCGGGATTATGCGATGGACTTCTCAGTTTTCATACTTTAAGGCTCGTAGTATTGAAAAGTGAATCAATAGAGGCCCACGCTTGTCCAAAATTCAGCAATACTCAATCCTAGTCGACCAGCTGAAAACGAATCTCCTGGACAAATGATCGAAATGAGTTGAGACTTCACATGAGTAGGGGTATTGTAGCAAGTGTTTTACCATAGTGTATTTTGCAGAGCCCCTATTCGACCTATTCCCACGTTTCATCACGCCTTCCCAGTACTACCACAAACGTCCATCTGCCACTCCATGAGCTTCTGGATATCCTTCGTACCCTCCTCCATAAGCGTCGTCAAACTAGCCGTCGGCGCCTTCTGCTTGAGATGCGCTAAATAATCATCCAACACCAACTTATTCACATTGATCTTGCTGCAACCCCTTGCAACACACTGTTCCATAATGTCTACGGGGAAACCATTAGTGCCATGCAAAACAATCCTCACTCTCCCGTTCACCTTCTTCCTAATCATCTCCAACCTCTCGTACTCCAAGACGGGCCCCCTCTTCCCATACTCCCCGTGCACATTCCCAAACGCCGGCGCCAGAAAATCAATCCCGGTAGCAATGAAATCCTCCACCTGTTCCCCCGTGGTCAACGCGCCTTCCAAGTCCGCCGTGTCCGCAATTCCGTCCTCGCCACCTTCAATCCGACCCGGCTCCGCCTCGGTGGTAATCTGATGCTCATTACAGAACTTGACTAATTCTTTGGTCCGGGCCAGGTTCTCGTCCATCTCGTAGTGGCTCATGTCCACCATGATGGAATCGAAGGGCAGGTCGGCCGCGGCATGGCGGATCAGGTCCTCGTCTTGGGCGTGGTCGAGGTGGATGGCCACCGGGACAGAGGCCCCGCGCGCGGCGTGCGCCGCGGCGTGGATGAGGAGCCCATTGCTGTAGGTTATAGCCCAGGGGAAGACTTGGAGGATCAAGGGGGAGCGCTTTGATTCGGCGGCGCGGATGAAGCCCAGGATACACTCGATGTTATAGCTGGATGACAAATGCATGAGTCAGGTTTTGATGGATTGGGGAACTTAGAGACGAAGAGAGTTCGGGAGGACTCACGCGATCGGTGCGACGACTCCGTACCCCCCTTTCTCAGCCGCCGTGAGAATCTGATACGTTTTATTGTTTTTCTTCCAGTCCATATTGTAAATTTATTCCCGTTGTTTGATGCAGTTGCTGGTGACAGCTTCGCTCTACTGCGCTCTATATAACCGAGCCGGTATGCAACGCGAGTTTTCACGACGCGCATATATCAGGTTGTCTGACGGTTTACCAAGAAGTACCCAGTGACCGCTGGGTCCTTTTCCGACATTTGAGGGATCAACATGTGAGCCTCGACACGCCCGGCCATTCCGCCATGGTGCGTATCGTGGAGTGTATGGCAAGTAGAGCGTTCCTCTGCATGCCTCCGTTTTGAGCCTGACCCCGCATACAAATCATCCTAAGGGTTCCCCAACCGCTTGCCGCGTCTCGGGGGCAGGGTGGCAGCTTAGACTTTAATTCCCGGATTAGGCATCATCGCCGAGCTAATGATCAGCTCGGTTGAGCAAAGTTGGGAATACATGCGGGAAATTCAAGGTGTTACCTTCAGACGTACATGGCCGTCTGCATGTTGTCATCATGTGGTGTCCTAGGTTCACCAGTCTTGTTAGAGGACAGAGTTTCTTCAGTTAGGCATAGTCTCAAATACTCCACCCGGCAACTTGAAATGAATTGAATCGTCGTACCATATCCATACCCATGGCTCCTTAACCCCTGAATACCCATCTTAACAATACAATGCCCGGTCTCCGCATAGCCGTCGGCGGCGATGACGCCGGTTTCGACTACAAGACTACCCTCGCCCAAGACCTCTCCACAGACCCAAGAGTAAGTGAGGTGATAGACGTCGGCCCAAAGTCGTCCTCGGACAAGACAGCGTACCCCCAGTATGCCATCGCCGCGGCGGAGTTGGTGGCCCGCGGCGAGGCAGACCGGGCGCTGTTGGTCTGTGGCACCGGCTTGGGCGTCGCTATCAGCGCCAACAAGGTGGCCGGTGTGCGGGCAGTCACGGCGCACGACAGCTTCAGCGTTGAGAGGTCGGTCCTAAGCAACGACGCCCAGGTGCTGTGTTTGGGACAGCGCGTTGTGGGGATCGAGCTTGCGCGGAGGCTCGTGAAGGAGTGGTTAGGGTATACCTTTGATCCGGTGAGTCGAACTACTCTGATGATGGGTCCTAAACGTGCGTTGAACTGATTTGGCACCTTAGAAATCAGCATCTGCGGCAAAGGTTCAAGCGATAAACGATTACGATGCCAGGTCTTCTGTCAAGGCATGAAAGTTGTGTGTCAAAGTCAACCATGGATGAGCCGCACCATGTCATGTTAGGTTTCAATACTGAATCGTGACGAGATCCAAGAGAAAAAATGGAGGATACCTTATGAGATAATGGAGAAGATACGGCCGTTACCCATGTCTCTAGACTGCTGTTCCAGGAGGTGCCTCAGGATATGGATATGCAGTGTATAAGTTCGGCAGGGGCGAGCAACCAAGGGGCCGGGTCAACGATACTTCGAGGGCTTAGTTATGAGTGAGATTATACATAGTTAATGAGTTAATTGGTCGGTCATCAGTTAGCCAAGTTTGGCCCACTCTGCCTTCAAGTCATTTCTCAAGCCCGCCATGGGCCAGCCTGTACGGGCCTCGCAGGCGTCGATAAGCGAAATAATAGTGTTGCGTTTGGTTTCATCTTGCACACATAGACCGGCTGCATAAGATTTAGCCTATACGTATTTGAATATGTCAAGTGGCACCACATACCCCCAAAGAGACATTGTGCCGACATAATTTGGCATCCCTCGTCTTTCGACTCCATGGCGACGCCACATATTGTGGCAACTGCCTCGGATAACGTACGCTGTAGTAGCACTTCAGTGAGCCGGAATGACCAGTAAGAAGCTGAGAAGAGTGCGTAGGATGGTAAAAGGTCCACGTACCTGGGTCTTCAGATAGCCATCAAATCCAGCCGTGGCAGGCCGATGCAGGGTAACGAGGATTTTGGCAAAACTAATATAAATCAACATCACGCCAGGACCTGAAAATTCATTGGCCCAAGAGAAGGTTGTTAACTCACTACATATAAGTCAGTTCTATGTGTCAGGAAGGTTAAATAACTCCGGGATTCGGGATTCCCTGAAAAGATGTTGTCACATACCGAATACACTTGCAACGCTACCCCAAACTGAGGCGGGTGAACCCACAGGCCCTGAAACACCCTCGAGTGATTTGTTGGCGTCGGCAACGGCTCAAACTTAGGACCAAGGAACGTCTTCCACCTCTCCAACATGGCCATGAGCGCCTCCCCCATTTCCGCCCTTGTCGCCAGCGTTCCTTCCTCTGGGGGCGTCGTATCCACCTTGGCGCAATAGTTAACCGTCTGCGACAGCAAATACACCGCGCGGTCCGCCAACTCATCCTGACTTAGCTCAGGAAAATCCTTGACGGGCCGCCAGAAGCTGAAGCAGCGCCTCCTCTCGCGAAACGCTGCCCAGACGTCCTGCCTCAACCACGCCCACCAGACAGCTTGTTGCAGCCCTCCCGAGGCGCCGTGGACGTCCTGGGAGCGTTGGATCCAGAAAACACCCTTTAGATGCCGCTTCCAGTTGCTGTCTGATGCGTCAAGCATTTCGTAGGTCGAAATGACGAGAGCTGTGGCGAGAAGTTCCTCCGAGTGCGCGTATGTGTTGTACTGCAGAGCTGTCTGCACGTAATGAAGCGTTTCGTAGTAGTACTGAACGGCCTCGCTTGTGTCTGTGCCGACTGTGTTTCCTATGTTGGCTTGTACTATCGCGTCGTGCCGGGCGCTCAGAGCGAGGATGGCTTTCATTAGGCCCAGATTTCGTAACTAACAAGTCATCAGACGAACATGGTTCAGGGGTGCTAGCTGCGCCGGAACAGTAGGGAAATTGTTATCCTATGGGACTCAGAAAACATGGTTCCAACTGTTATAGTTCTTCGATCGCGACCGTGGGGTTCAGTTGGGATATACTTACAGCCAACCTGATGGCGTACGTTGAAAAGTGTTTGTGCGGATCGAATAGGTCGAGCTGCAAGGTTCACAGGATCAGCCTCTGCGCAAACTAATTAATGAAACGAACAACTTAGAAGAAAAAACACCATGTGATGCACGATACGTGACGCCAAATGACAATGGCCCAGCTCATAACGGCCACCCCCTGTCGTACTACCACGATAAGACAAAATCCCATATCGTCTCTACAAGCGACACAACATGCAAGAGTTCCAACCGATTTTGAAACTTATTTGTACTCTAATGATTGTGACTCGACCGCTTGTTTTCCAAATAGTATGTCGTTTTTGGCTTCAAGCAGACTCACCCATAATGATGCCCTTTCCGCGAAAGCTCTGAACAACAGAGCCTCATGGCTTTGTAGTAGAATGTCCTGGTCTAGTTGCCAAGCATGTCTCTCGGAAACTGCCGCGGACTCCGCGGCGTCAGGGGCAGACAGATCGGTTACATTATTAGCCCGGACCGTGTAGCCATCGTTGAAGACCGAATCTTCAGGCACAGGGCTGGGGGCCAAAGAGAAACCGCTATCAGCTTGGGCCGCGTCTGTTGCCAATAGATCGAGCCATCGTGTCGATGCGAGGTCAGCCGTCAACAGCTCTGATGCCATCGTATCAGGTGAATAGGCGTATCGATAGGGATCGATCAGGGGCCCCATTTCTCCTGGCTGCGAAACTTCCCCTCGAGAAAGAAACAAGGGCTGTGGGCTGGGGACTATTGCAGCTACGGGCATTGAAGCAGTCTGGCGCTTCTGTCTTACTGCTACAGCATCCGGTTCTCTGGTTGGAACTCCGACGAAGCTGACCGCCGCAATGGGTCTGCTTTCAGATGCCGAAACGGGTCCAGATGCTGATTCAGAGTATACACATTCCCGACTAGAAGTAGAACATGGCCCGCAGACCGGCGCTGGTAATGTTAAAACAATTATTTTACGTTCAGTTATGACGAGCTTGACGTACATCGCTCATCACATTTCTTGTGCCTTTTCCTGCAGGTCAGACTAATACACTCGTTAGCGACCCAAGCCAGGAAATATATGTCTCTGCTAAGACTGAGGGCAAAGAGCAATTGCAGCGGTTGGTCCAATTAGAAGCCATGGAAGAGCTGAGGTCTCGCGTTGGTCATGGTGACTGCTCGCCATTGGCACAACACCGAATGTGACTTACCAACCTGTCTTGGTTCTCAGGCCCCGACTTCGAGATTTCCGGACCCTTTTTCTCGGACGCTCGCCGTCCCCGCCAGGGTGGGTATCAACAATGCTCGCCATCGAGCTTAGGCGCTCGAGTCGCTGCATGGCGATGGCTGGGGCATACGTAACGCGGTAGGCAGTAGTATCCAGAGGGGAAAGAAGCAGAGAACTGTGGCTCGACTCGAGGCACACATTGCGGACAAAGACAGACATCTCTGGGTGGAGTTTTTCCCCAGCCAACTAAACCACCCCACAGTGGAAGGGGTCCCCGCTAGGCAATCCCCGCAGACGTGGATTTCCTCGCTTGCCCGAATTCTCTCATAGGGACGCAAGTGTCGACCACATTTTTCTCATCAATCCTGATCCTTGACGCGCGCTAAACCTCCCTCAGGTGAACCTTACTCCACTATCTGAACGGCATTTGTGGCACGGTATTATGGTGCACTTGTGGCCGCGTAGCGCGCCAACCCCATCGGTTGCATCGTGGAAGTGCAAGAATAATGACAGAAAAATGTTTTGAGATGTGGGTTGATGTGAGATCAGCGGGAGGTGTGATCCCCTCTGCCAAGAGCCGCCCCATGGGCTTTCCCGCAATGCTTAGACAGGACGCCGTTGTTCGGTCGTAGGGCTTTCCACAGAAAGCCGACAACTCTGCAACCGTCGTGATATAAACAAGCAGTAGCTGTGCCAGATGCAAATTGACGGCTGATGTCGAGCAAGTACTTCTTCCTGGAAACAGCAGCCAACACACTTGTGCCTCGGCATCTCAATGCCCTCACCAAGGCAAACCCGCACCTCTCCGTAACAGAGTCTGAAAGAATTGTGTTTTACACCCACCATGATCTAGAAACCGTATCTGTCATCAGCGGTGGCAGTTCTGGCCATGTAGGTGAAGGTAATCTCGCGGCTGCCGCATGTGGTGATATCTTCGCCTCAGCCCCCCTGTACGAAGCAAATCTTGGCAGCGATGAAAGCGGTTCCATCAATAGAAGGCACTATCTCATTATCACCAACTGCATAGGCGACAAGCTGCGTTTTGGGTTAGCTGCCCAAAGAGCCAGAGCGTAAGGGCTATCCAAGAGCGTTGCCATGGTTCCTGTTGACGATGATATTTCTGTCGCCCGGGAGGAGGGGGGGGGGAGGGGGGCCAAATCTAGTGCTGTTGGTCGGAGGGACAAGCCCAGTCATGTATTTCGTAAGTCTAAGCTGGAAAAGGCATCGAGGTTGATATGGGCTGACCGTTTCGAAGCTGTGAAGATCGTCGGGGCAGCAGCAGCAAGGAAGTATAGCTTCCATGGATGCGTTGACATAGGGCGCGCGCTGCCAACGCTCCAGTGGTGTCAATTGGATCAGCTCTAGACCACTGTCCTGTTCCCGGGCGTCAAATCCATGAATCGATTCCCTACAACGTGTGTTAATGGTGCTGGAATCCATAACGTGCCGGCAAGTTCGTACTCGCCACCAGGGGTTTGTCATGGTACTGACCAGAGGAAGCACAAGGACTGCATCCATTTTCATCAATCGAAGACCTCATCAAGCATCCATTGCCTGTGCGGCCCAGAGAGGTTGGCAGAAGCCTCTCCGCCCGATGATACAATTGCCCTGCTGCGTAACAACTGCGCTTGGAGCTCAGAGCTCGGAGCTTTGACAGATGAGACCAGCGCACTAGGTATGGTCGATGCAGCTGTAAGGGTTGAATTATGCTGACATCGGAGATCAGAGTCTAAATGGAACGTTAGAATAGCGGTGCTTTCGAATAGTGGTGCTTTCGAAACGTCACTTAACGCTCCCGGCTTCTCCATACCTGTGCAAACCTCTCTGCCGCTGCTAGGAATTGTGGCTCCGAAGGCTTGAAAGCTTCTGGACCTCTTGGATTCACGTGCAACGGCCGTTTCATGACCTAATACAGTCATCCCAAACACAAACCAGCGCAGGTGAGATCGATCGAGCCGTAATGGATGTGCTCCTGCCATTCACCGAGGCTTTGGCGAAGACCAGCGAGATCCAGGCCGCAGTCAAGGCAGCGCAAGAAAAGGCCGAGGCCATCCCGTGCCTCGAGGTGAAATTTTGCAGTGCCACGTACGTCGCTGGTGCACAAGCCCAAGAGCTTCCCGATCCGAGCGCTTGGGCATTATACGAGATGCTCAGTGGCATGTTCAAGGGAATTCAAGAATTCAAGGGACGACGTGCAATGTGGACGGTTTAGAAGAATCCGATGAGGGAAGGATCTGGTTGAACCTCGTAGTCAAATAGACCTCTGCAACTATGCGTCGATGCATACTTATGCATCTCAGATACTCCGAAAGACGAAAAATAGCATATACAGTATAACCCGAACACCCGAACTTCGTGTATGTGACAAACCACAACGTATGATCGCGCGTGGAGAGACTGGAGGCGTCAGGGAATGTTAAAATATGTCTAGAACCCACTGACGGCAGTTTCCGTCTGGGGGAGGCACCTCCTGGAAGCACTGAAGCGGGTCATCGTAGTCAGTTTGTTAGCTGCAGCAGAAGTTTGTACTATGTAAAGTACAAGTACCCTCAACCTATTACGCGAACGGACTGCCTCTGAATGTGGACTGACTTCTGTCAAGTCTCAGCGAATGCGACGAAAACCTTTTCGCGCGCCGAAGCTTCAATTGGTCGTCCCTCGTTTTCACCTGGTTTGGGAGGTAATTCGTTTACTCCGTAGGGAATGTGTGAGCGATGACGCTGAAGTCTCTATTTTCAGCGAACTAGAACTTGACACCAGAGACGCGGCACTCCCAAAACCCTGCATGCCGACCACGACCGTGGCTTAACTTCTTCCAACCGTTACTTAACCACATGTTCATATACCTCTGGACACCAACATTCCGGAGTCGATCGTCATTCACATGGCAGATTTGTAGCCGTTTTGTTCCGCTTCCAACAATCGTTTCAACCCCTTTCGCAAGCCGCGCAAAATGACTTTGGCTTTCGTTTTCGAACACGTCGATCAGCAATCGTGACACCTTACAGAGCTGTTGCCATCCACGCTCGACTGTGGCATGTCCAGGGGGACAGATACATAGTGGGCTGTGGGCGAGCGGCGCGATGGCAGACGACAACGGAAGCCCCCTGCAAGTTTCGAACAACCTGAACATCCCGCCACCGCGACATTCGAGAATACCGACGTCGAAATCCACACATAGCTACCATAGTCACAGCAGCCACGAGACGGGCGAGTCTAGTAGGAGCGCAAGTACCCTCTACAATTCTCTCGTGTCTGGGGACACTGCGATCCAGTTCGACCACAATGCCGATGAAACCACCACACCTTCAAATGAATCGAAGCGCCGGCATCATGACACCAGCGAAGATGCGAAGAGGAGACGCCGATCGCATAAGCCCCGATCGAGCGGAGGCTTCCTTCTATCGAACCCCATTCTTAATGCCCATGCGCCAGTGCGCGAGGATGCGCGCAGAAGGTCGAGGATACCGGTCAACAACGGGAAAGGCAAGAGTCCCGTAAGCACCCCAGATAAGACGAGCTCAAGCAGTTCCCCACACCTCGCCGGCGACTCCCCCAATATGGATCATGGGGGAAGACGTGTAAGCCGCAACGGACGGCCAGATACACCCTCCAGCATCCCTCTGCCGACATCTCATGTGTTGTCTATGGACCCCGAATCTACACAGATAGTGAATATGGCACTGAGCCTGAATGAGTCGCGGAGATTTGCGCAAAGTAGGAACGTATCAAGTCCTGTGCCCCCGCGCCTCGCCCCCGTTCCCGACAGTCCAGCTGGAGGCAGTCTTAAGCAGCACCTGCAGCAACAACGGCGGACATCACGCAATATATCCCCCAAGGCCGACAGAAGCAGCCTCATTCCGCGCCAGGTATCGGTTTCGGGCCCGCGGATCAACGCCCCCCTCCAGCCGTCATTTGACCCAGAAGGTAACTACACCTACCACTTTTCCTCTTCTACCCTTAATCGGGCACAGAAGGCGAAGGAACACTTCGAACTTATGACTCAATACCGTCGACTATTGCAACTGGTCCCACCGTTGAAAGAGAGCAGCGCGCAAAGCTCGACCAGGCCCTCTACGTCTAGTTCCCCTAGCTCTCCTACGACCAGTTCTACACCGCAAAACCCTTTCAACAGCACCCAAGTAACTCTGGGCAGGCCTTACAACCCCCTGCAGTACATTCGAAACCGAAAAGTTCGAGCTCGGGAGAGAAAGGCCATCGATGGGGAAACCCAAGGATTCGCGGATGTGACTAGAGTCACTGATTGGATCGACCAAGCTGCGACGTTGACTGCAATGTCGCCGCTACAGCCCGACTCCTCTTCCATTCCGGTTTTCTTAGGGGCGCACAATTTAAGTGGTCAACAACACGCGTCTTCATCCTCTACCCCGGTCCCAACACCAGGCGCTTCAAAGTCCAAACGGCCGAGGATAGACTGGGTCTTTGAACCAGCTGACTTACTAGCTGATATTTATTGGGTGGAGCAGGATGACAACAAATCTCTCATCGAGGACCGCCACTACACGCCGTTGTTACCTAAGAAGGCGACCGCTGTATTAAGACCGATATCCCAGAAGAATGAACCTGCTACAAGCCTTCTCGTGACTCCTGAACCTCGAAAGGGCATGGAGAGTAGTGATGCTTCCGCTGAACCAAGACCCTCAGAGTCTAATACAACCTCGAGAGCAGATACAGAAGTGTCTCATAGCAGTGCACGGGAGAGAGCTCGCCAGAAATTACATGATCTGAGAGGTATAGGGGGCATGCATCACAAGCACAGTGGTTCTGTACATAGTCACCACGACTTCCTTCGCCTGAGGAAAGGGTCATTCTCGGACACATCTGAAAGCGAGAATGATCGCAAAATTCGCGATCGCAGGGGAACAGTCAGTGCTAATAGCAAGGCGATTCTCGAAAAGCAAATGGCCGAAATGCTGGCCAAGGAGGCTGCAGAAGAACGGGGGCCTGTTCACAATGATACAGATGTCGCGCAAGACGCGTCTCTCCGTCCAGCGATGATGTCGCCTGACAAGAGTTCAGAACCATCTTCCCGCGGCCATGGCCGCAATGAATCTCGAGTAGAAGACATTGAATTCTTTGAAAGGGTCAATCGCGCACGAGCAAGACAAGGCGCGTCACCAATTCATTCGGGCCGTGCCAGCTTGGAGGTTCCTGGTTACAGTTACAGAGCATCCATGGATCTCGACTCTATGCCAGCCTCTCCTGACATAAAGCCACGCCGAGGTAGCAATTTCATACCGCCAATTGGTATGGACCTCTCTCCGGCTAGCAGCCGTCCGGGATCTCCGGCACGGAACCCATTTTCCAAAGTCAAACACATATTCCGGGATCGCAGTCGGGAACGGAGCAACGGACAAGCCTGGAACGACAAGGCAGAGAAGCCTGACAGCCCCGCAGTCGAGCAATCTGACCCTTATGCTTTGTCTCCCATATCAGCTGAAGGTATGAGCTCTCCGGAACGTCGGAGATCCAAGAGCCCAGCACAAAAGATCATCTCACGGCCCACTGATGCGAGCCACAAGTCTCACCGCAGTATGGGCAGCATTAGACTTGGAAGGGACGAGCAAATTGGCTTGAGAAGCATCCTCAAAGGTGGTGCTAAAATAGATGGCATCATCCGCGGTGGCGTGTCGAAGATGTCTGATCTGATTTGGAGGAAGGATTTGGACCTTGCTGAAGGCGTCTCTGCTATGTCTAGCGACGAGTCAGAGGCGGAGCCTTCAAGAGGCAGACGTCGAAGAACGGTCTCGTTATCGCGGACGAGCTCGATCCGGCCAGGTCAAAACCTGCAACCCAAAAGTTACCTGGATGAGATGCCTACCTTCAAGTCGGCCTCAGAGCTCGACAAGGCTGTCTCCCGAGACACCGAGTTCACTTCACTTCCCGTCACGTCACCAGTCTCTGGCCCACCTAGCCATCGCTCGCCCCGGTTCGAGCGGCTTAAACCACCACGCATAGACGTTCTCAGCGCCTCACCCACATCCTCACCCAACCTGCTACCCCAAAGGCGTCCTTCCACTGACTCTGACATGTCCGACGCCGAATCTAGAGCACGAGACTCGGGCCAGTCGGGGGATGCCCCTCAACAGTCCTCTGCACAACTCAATGCTGCATTGTCTCTCGCAGCCCTTTCGAACCGTTCGCACCGCAACTCGATCACCAAGTCACAACAGTGGTCTATTTCTGACAATTCAGCCGCACGCCAATGCCCCGCCCAGCTTTCTAAACATGAAGTTGCTCGCCTTCGCGCGCTGGTACTCTCGTCTGGCATCAAAGCAATGGAAATCGCCCGCCGTACTGGGGAATCACATCCTCTCTTCGCGTTGGACAATGGAACGGTCGGCATTCCCTGGACGGAGATGTCGCGCTTTGCACCGCCTGAGAGCGCCAGCCTTGCTGTGCCGCAGATAAATGTGTATCCCACAACGGCACGCATTCTAGCCGCCAGCATCGAGAGGTCGGGCGTGGAGCTGCATAAATCGACCGAGGCGTTCGTGCAGGGTGATATGCGCAGGCTAAAGTCCCGAGTTGATACACTCCATGCCCACGTTGCATCAGACCTGATCGACATGACAAGGCGAGCTGCTGACGAGGCCGACGAGTGTTCCCGGGACCTGATAGATGGACAACGACTAAAGGTGAAGAGCGTCGTGGATCTTATCGACACGATGCTGCAGCGACGGCGAAGGCGGTTTAGATGGGTTCGCCGAGCCGGGTGGCTGGTCGTCGAGTGGGCACTTGTTGGCTTTATGTGGTACGTCTGGTTCGTGGTTATGATGGCCCGCATCTTCCTAGGCATTGGCCGTACCATATGGGGCGTGGGGAGATGGGTCCTCTGGCTGTGATCATGTGCAAGACACCAAGTGGGCGCGGCACGAAAAGAGAAAGAAAATGAAAACAACCAAACAAAAGAAGACGAGGCGTAGTTGCTTTGGATGCATGGGAGACATCTTCGCTCCCTTGGAAGGGAGTCTTGATACCCGGGTCGGTTTTGCTCTTTTTCCCCTCGTAAAATGCTTAGTTGGATTCCCTTACATAATTCTCTTTTTTCCCCTATTCGCTTCACTATAACAATTTCTATGTTTTCTTTTGTTTCACTACTACTATAGCATCTGCCAGGAGTCGGTCATTCGGGTACAAAACTAGGGCAAGGGTTGGCTGGCTGTTCCGGACGCGTCGGTTTGTAAGGAGCCTCGGGTATATAACATATTGTAAAGCTAGTCTGATTTTTCCTTTCTTTTCGAGTACACTTTCTAATAACAATCACCACTTTTGTTCTTCCATCGAATTGGTCGTGTTTTTCGAAAGATAAGTAGATGCGGCGTGGTTTGGGCTACACGGCCGAGATGTTGACGAGGAACTGGATGTGAATATTACGGAACTCCATGTACAACGAAGGCCTTTGCTGGTCGGCTTACTTCATAAGTTTACTACAAAATGACAACCCGCGAAGTCGCAGATCGATTCCAAGCAAATTCACTAGAGATGGGTGAGAGAATGGTGACTTAAGCGCCGCCGAATGGCATCAACAAAATTAACAAGCCTCAATTCGATGTACCGAGAAAATGGTATTGTGCCAGTTTCGTTCTGGTTAAGGATACACCACCCAAGGCCACGGCTGTTGGTCCGGTCGAGAATCGTACTACTTGTATTTCTAAATGTTCCTGTTGTTTGTTGTTTCGAGCTGCCTCCACGGCATTGAGTCAGTCAGCCCCTTCCAAAGTCGCAAAATCTCAATGGTCCTATTGCACTGTCCCAGGGATATTGGAGCAATACTCGCGTGTCCGAACACAAACTTGTACAGACTTCTGGCGTTTTCTCTGCATGCCACTGATGGTTTGAACGACCAAGTCGTCTTGCAAGTTTTATTCTACCGCAGGATTAAAATAGTATACAAGGGGCGTAGGACGTTCCACATCTGGATTGTTCTAAAATAACGCAATCGAATATTAAAAGCGGCAAGTCTTGCACAGCAGCTCTTCCCAACAGCACGGTCTACTCGATTCTCTTCTTCCCCTCCTCAGCATTGAGGTACCTCGCCGTGCTGAGCCCACGCTCGTGCTTAACCACAAATGGGCCGAGCAGCTTATCTTTCCTAACCTTGCTGATCGTTTCCTGGTAGCCCTCTATGGCCCACGGTCGTGGGTTAAGCTTCGGCCAATTGACCTGTGGTTTTTCATTAGATTCTGTAGCTTGTAGAAAGGGCGCTCGAGGGCGTGGGCAGACTTACGAAGAGCATCCCGTTCTTGAGGACGAATTGCAAGCACCATGCCGCAACAATTGTCCAAAACAGGATGAATAATCGCACGGGCAGTAGCGATGCCGTATCCGGCATGCGAGGCGTGAAGAGACCGACGAGGACGAAGAACACGCTTAGAGCGAGGGTATACGGAATGCTCTGAATGAGGACGGGTCTCCGATCCGCAAAGACGAGCGATGAGCCAAGGCTTCCGGAGCTTGGCTCATATGCGCCGAGGAAGAGATCGAAGGCGTCCTGCCGCGGCCCATCGCGGAAGTTGTTGAGATAGAATCTCGTGATAGCCACGTTCAAATCCCGCAGCTTTCCTGCGTTGGTGCGTGTGCCCATACGTGTGATGTCTGTCTTCATTGCACCGGTTCCGGCGTAGGCGCGCGATACTGTGTCAGCATTATCGGCCCACAGGTTGCGGAAGAGGTAGTAGAAGTCGTGGTCAACAGCAGCGAACGTCTCGCCACGCTGAAGAAGGCCTAGGTCCACGAACATGCGATCCAAGGTCCAGCGCGCCAGCATGCTTTGCACAACATTTGTACGGTCGAGCGAGTCCATGCAATTGGTACGCACAACGCTAGTTTGGAAGTTGCGTGTTTCCAGGCCGCCTTGAGCGGGCATATCCACGCCGCGGAAGTATTGTTGTGCTAAGAGAGCATCTTGGAGCTGGTCCACCAGCATCATGGCGCGATGCATCTGCATGCCCCTGGTCTCGTGGTGGTAGTCGAAATAGACATAGTGCAGACGGTCGTATTCATGTTTCGAAGAACTCGGCTCAATGACATGAAACTTTTCACTTGTGTTCGCGTCACCACTGACACCCTCCTTTGGCGATGATACCAGCTTTTGCACCATTTGCTCATAGGTTTCTTTCATGCGCTGCTCACGGCCCTTCTGATTGACAAGATTCACCAAATAGTTGTCTCCGTAAATACGGATTTGTTCGTCGAAGTGCTTCTTCGCGGCAGGCAAACCTGCCTCAATGGTCTTCACTTGAAGGGTCGGGGTGTACTTGAGCGCGTTAACCTCAGCCCAGTAGGCAGGTATGCTGCCTCGAGTTTGGACGTAAGACAATATCTGCATCTCCCGTCCCTCAGAACCGCCCAGTTTCCCGCTCTGCATATCAGTGCTTCCTGCGAAGCCGCCCAAACCACTACCCGTATCGTTGAGCATCACGATCTGTTCCGTCTCATTGTAGTTGGCTGCATGTCCATTCTCGTCGAGGCCTCTTGTGAAGTATCTGGTGCCGGCTCGATACCTGGATTTCCTTGTGATGAGGGCAATTGTCAGCGGCTGACCCTTCAGCGTGGTCGGTCGGATCTCGAGAGTCCCCCACATGATGGGCAGGATATAGGGGTCAGCGGCTGGCTGGGGGCCGTGTTGCGATCGATTGCCCATCTTGCGAAAGTCGATGAGGTCTGACTGAACGAATCTGTTCCAGAAGAAGCGGTCGTCAGCGCGCATCCACAGCGGGCTCGACGAGTCCATGGAGGCCTGTCGCTGAAAGCTGTTGGTGAGGTCGATCGAGTACGAGAAGTACATGGGACCTTTCATGACAAAGGTCTTGAGGAGATACAGGAACTGGTCCTCGTCTGGGTCTCGGATCTGCCGCTCGCGCATAGGAAGGAAATCAGTGGATATGACCTTGTAGACCATATGGCCCTTGAGGCGGCCCATCGGTTGGGCTTTGGTGACAACGATGACATATTTGTCGAGTCTCAAGCTGATGATGCCCAGGATGCCGGCGATGCTAGAAACACGCGAGACGCGCTTGTTGGGGTAGGCACTGCCCTCACTCAGTCGCAAGTCCCCGCTGGGACGGTCAAGGACGAGAGTCGGAGCATCTGGAGACGAAGGCGAGGTGAAGGTGTAGGTGTCGGGCGCCACCTGGACGTTGATATCGCGAAAAGGGAGACTCATGACGGGCAGATTCCAATATCAGGACACAGCAATACGGGCCAGGTCAGATTTGGGTGTCCGTTGACAATATAAATCGCCAGACAAAAAGGCCAGGAGAAATCTCAGGGAGGCCGAGTAGAAGTTAACAAAACAAACAAGAATGTGCAAAAGAGGGGACAGCTTGGTGATGCCAATAATTAGTAGAGACTGAACTGTTTAAAGATGCATTCCAGAGGAATCCTTGTAGGGGTCCGCAGTATCCGTACGAAGAACCTTGATCGTGGTATCAGCAGAGCTCAATAGCAATGCTGATGTAGAAGAGGACTGCGAAAGGCTGACGCTTCTGAGTCTCGCATTGCTGTCACCGACTAGTTGGAACTGTGGCCACTTGCGCATTGAATTTCAGGGTACAGTTGGGGGAACGTGAGAACCTGCCCAAAGAACGAATCAGGAGTCCGTTGGGTCTTCATTGTCTCTCTACTGGGATTCTGTCCTCTCTGAGGTCCGAGCAGTCCCTCCAGCAGCTTGAAGCGAGATCCCAAAGCCGCTGTGGCTACCCTGTGGCGTACACATGACTAACTCCTGCGAGCCGTTTTCCCACAATGTGTTTTAAGGATACATACCTGAGCAAGCCGCTTTGAACCCGAGCCTGGCCAGAAGTGTCCTTTGGTCGGCTTTGCATAATGGCTTGTAGGACTCGTTCATAACGTTTGCAGCCATAAAACACGAATACATACGGACTGAGTTACAACGGTTTCCTTAAATCTTCAAAAAGATGCTCCACTAACTTACTTCGTGCACTAGACTCGAGGAATCAGGCAGCACTGTGCAAAGACTGTTCGAAGTAAGTTCTACACTGTCCATTAGCACTGTAGTACTCATGTACTGTTTCACTATTATTCAATCCCATTGGTCTGGACTCGTACTAGTACAGATACGTACCGGTTCGAGTGTCTTGGTCTTGCTGGTCTGAGTGCTGCTCTAGTCAGCAGCTTATCTCGTACCGCTACGCTTTCATACTGGTCTAAAGCCTTACTAGTAAGTATACCGTACTGGTTAGTAATCTCCATCCGTAGCGGTATGAAGAGTACTAGTCTAACCTTAGGTTGTACCAATTTAGGCTGTGCTAGCTCGTGCCTATACTGGTGTGACACTCATAATTAACTATACTGGTAAGTGTCTGATTCCAATCACCGGGGCTGTACTGGTACTACAAAGATGCGTGAGGCTCCGATCCTAAGTCAGCTCCGAGGGGTTCCTAAGTACTACAATCCGTGCCTGCCTGCCTCGTACCCCTCCATACTGACGACGGGCAGTAAATGCCCACAGGTTTAAGGTGAAGATGATGGAGACGGACAACCAAATCCTCAACAAGATCTGCCGTCCGGGAGGGTTACAGAGAGGAAGATCGAGAGCCTTGTCGCTCTGATCGGATCACAAAAAAAAAGTACCTCAGCACGTACGAACAATCGATTGAGCCTCAACAGGTCCTCGAACAGAATCATCCCAACAGGTGGACAACAAATAAAGCCTCAACAGGCAAAGGGACCTAACTTTGAATTCTTCTCTACTTGTCGCTTCTGCTTGCGGGCCCAGAGAATTTCAACCTAGATTATCCAGGTCCTTTTATATCCTTGAGAAGGTACTCATTGCATGAATCACCCGAAAACCGAAAACAAAGGCCCAACAACCCTGTCCCTAAGTCAATACCCTCGGCCACAGCTTCCCACAACCCCTCTTGGCCAAGGTTCTGTAGCCTTTTATCACTCTAGATATCCTGCTTCCGCTATTTCCGGTCTCTTTCCCATTGATCCATGTGTATTATTGATATTGTGGCCGCTTTTGCGCTCGAGGAATCCGTTGACCGCTAGCCCTCCTTGCCGGAGACGCCCTGGCCCAATTGTAAGCAATTCTTCTATAGATCTAATATTACAAAAGGTCGGGGCGTAGCCTTAGGACACCTATCATACGATATATAAGGCTAGGGTGGTCTTATCATAATTTGATAGTCGCTAGCTAGCAGGCCTCACTTCGTAGTAGGGGATATGCTTGTTATTTATACGCGCACAGGATGGATAGTAAGATTCTATACTTCTCAAGAGTCTTATGTATGGCCATGCTATTATCTGTAGCTTGGAGTTAAGCATATTCTCTCCCTTGTCGTCGTTAACCGGTGCCATCTTAAAGCGCTGATAGTAGAATAGAAGGAAGAAGGGAAGTTACAGCCTTCAGGGGCTGCCTGCCAAGGTATCATTTTTCGGGAGCAGTTTTCTGCTGCGCAGAGTAGCCGGAACCGTGTAGAAATCGGAGAAAGAGAATTCCTAGAATTTTCTATGTGACTATACAATTTGTTTGTAAATAGCTCTAAAAATGGTGACGATTTGCGTAAGTGAAGTTGAGGTTTTGGTGGGGTCCCAAGCTAATTGCTGTGCAGAATTGGGGTGGCCTCTGGTACTTTCTGCTTTTGTCTGCTTCCGTAGGCCCAAATATGCGACAGAAGACAATTAGAAGAATGTTTTTCTCACACCGGAACTGAAGACGCCATCGAACAAACCCTCTTCTTTTACCTATGGGTATAAAATTCTATCAAGACAACTCCAGCAGGCCTTATAAGAGTTTCTTCAACCCGACGACTGCCCCTTCCGGCCAGCCCTACCCGCGCGGGATTGAGGTCTTCCAGAATGATTCAACTCATGCAGATAAGAAGGTCAGTGTTTATCTTGCACAAAACTACCATACCTTATTGAACTTTAAGTGGAATCGCCAACTCGCACCCGTTACGAATGCGAAACTTCCGTATTCATGCAAAGACTCGTGGCCATCTAAGGCTGAACTCGATGAATGGAGTCACTACCACCATTTCGACTTCATTTTCGCAGCGCGCACCAATTTCGTCTACAATGCGCCCACGCCGTTCTACTGCGGGAAAAAGTGCTCTAGATGATGTGACTTACGACCAGTGCTGAAATTGGGAAGTCACACTGCCTTCTCAGCACCCAACCAAACTGTTTATGTTGCATAACTCTTATGTGCGCTTGCATACGTACGATCTCAGTCTCCTGACTGTTAGCGGGATGAGGCGAGCCTGAGGACTCGAAATGGGATACCTAGAACCTAGAACCCCATGTCGTACTAAGTAGAGAGACTTTTAATGTGAACAAGTTCAACTGCCACCCATGTCAATTTCGCCTGAAGCGGAAAGGTTAAGCACGTCGCAGTATCCGCTTTCAAGTCACAATAACTTCAAATAGTATGCTAGCTTGAGCACTGCTGGAGTGAAGAATCTCACGGCCAAAGGCTTCACAGGCCATGCATCAAGCATAGCAAGTGAAGGGCCACGTTATGTCTCTGGCGCCTTTTCATGAGAATTGAGTCAATTTTGGACGAGTAGCACTATTCTCACAATTGATATGCTCCAGCGCAAACCTATAATGCGGTAAATCTCTCTCAAAAGGACATCTTAGCTCCCGACTCCGGGGTTTAATTCAGGTGGTTTGATTGGTGCGCAAAATATTCAACTTTGAATCGGGCGGAGAGCCACCGAACGTCATCCCCCCAAACTGACAGGAAACAATACCCCACATGACCATCACCAACCAGTTTCGGCACAACGGACGACGTTGCTGGCCAGTGGCGCTACTCGGTAGCACACAACGCGCAGAGCCATGGCCCCGTTGGACAACGATACTTGGCTGTTCTACGCTCGTGATATCCCTAGGCGGCCACGAAAACCCGAAAGCCGCCCGAAGTCGCGTTGGAGGGTCCTTCAGAATTGGAGAAATAATGGTGAAAATTCTGGGCCCCCATTTGATAAGGGAGACAGCTCATAGCATAATGCCAGAGCCCCTCATTTAAGCTACATCTTCTGATGGGGGAGCAGATCCCTTTCTCTGATCGCTCTGTTCTTCTGACTCTTCTGTTTGAGCACAATTTACAACGAAAAGTGCCGTTGTTGTCTTCAAGATGAGTCCACTCGAAGTCGAGCCTACCAAGGCCAACATTGGCGTCTTTACGAACCCAGCCCATGACCTTTGGATCCGCGAAACCGAGCCGACGGTAGAAAGCGTCAAGAAGGCCGAGGGCTTGAATAAAGGGGAGGTCACGATTGCCATCAAGAGCACTGGTATCTGCGGGTAGGTGCCCTCTGGCAGCATGTCAGCTTATAAGCAATTGCTCACCAATGTAGATCCGACGTTCACTTCTGGCACCATGGCTGTATTGGACCTATGATTGTGGAAGGCGAACACGTCCTGGGACACGAATCTGCCGGCCAAGTCGTCGCAGTACATCCATCTGTGACACACCTTCAGGTTGGGGATCGCGTCGCAATCGAGCCCAACGTCATTTGCAACGAATGTGAACCGTGCTTGACCGGTCGATACAATGGTTGCGAGAAGGTCCAATTTCTGTCCACACCACCTGTGCCCGGACTGCTGAGGCGCTATGTGAACCACCCAGCCATATGGTGTCACAAGATCGGGAACATGACGTATGAGAACGGGTCAATGCTGGAGCCACTGAGCGTTGCCTTAGCTGGCTTGCAAAGAGCCAAAGTCGAGCTCGGAGACCCGGTTTTGGTGTGCGGTGCAGGTCCCATTGGACTAATCACCCTGCTCTGCGCCAAAGCTGCTGGCGCCTGTCCCTTGGTCATTACCGACATCGATGAAGGACGACTGAAATTTGCAAAGGATATCTGCCCGTCAGTGATAACACACAAGGTGGAGCGCATAAGCGCAGAAGACTCAGCCAAGGCGCTCGTGGCTTCTTTCGGCGGCATAGAGCCAACCGTGGCTATCGAGTGCACTGGGGTCGAGAGCAGTATAGCGGCTGCCATTTGGGCCGTCAAATTCGGCGGAAAGGTGTTTGTGGTCGGAGTAGGAAAGAATGAGATGAACTTCCCCTTCATGCGGTGCAGCACGCGAGAGGTTGATCTGCAATTCCAATACCGATACTGCAATACCTGGCCCCGAGCCATTCGCCTTGTGGAGAATGGTGTAATCGATCTTACGAAGCTTGTTACCCATCGCTTCAAGCTAGAAGACGCATTGGACGCATTCAAAACCGCGGCCGACCCAAAGACAGGAGCAATCAAGGTGCAAATCCAGAGTTTTGATTAGGTGGGTGATTCAGCCTGGATCAGCCTAAACAGCGAAAGAATTTGGTGTAGTTTCGAGGCGAACAGTCATCTGAGAACCATTTGCGAAAGCCGTACAGAAATATACGAGTCGTGAAGGCGAGACGGTTGCAGTGCGAAGTGTTGTCCCAATACGGTAGCAGGTAGAACTAGAGCGATCTTCAATGCATGACGAGGGTATATCGTATGAACAACTGCTAAGCTAGTTGCTTCATCTATTCAGAAGCATTTGCAGTTTAAGCTGGATGAGTGTGACGAAACTGATAAGTCTGCTTTCTAGGCTGAATTCCGAGTTCAAGCTCTGCACGACTTCTTCAAGGCATCTATTTGCCCGACGCTTGTGACTGGTCAATGCTCGGCAGTAAGTCTCCACTAGTAAAAGAGCACAGGCCATCACCACCGGGATTGCAGCTGTCAGCATTTGGCTTGAAGCGAGAATTTCCGGTCCAACTGTAGTTTTTTCACTCAATCTCAAATCCACGCCCAAGCCGACGACGTCCGATTTCGCGCCCCTGATTCCCTAATTGCTCGGCAGACACCTCCTCACGACTGCCTGTGAGCTCCTTCATCCACCATACTCAGCCCAATATGTCCTTGATGGCAGTCACCCGCCCGGTGCTCCGGCAGTCTGGAGCTCTGAGCCGCATGGCCGCCCGCAGGTTCGAATCGAGTGTCACGGCAAAGGGTGCCGAAGCCGCGAAGGAGACTGCTTCAAAGGCTGCCTCCAAGACCTCGTCAACGGCTTCGAATGCTACGGCAAAGGCTACTGAGGCCGCAAAAGAGACTATCACCAAGACCTCGTCGACCGCTGCCGAATACACAGCCAAGGCATCCCAAGGTCTGTCTCGAGTCACCTCAGCTGCGGGACCGGCCATCTCGGGCGCCGCCAAGGGTCTTGCGAACTCCCTGGGCAAGGTCGGTGGCCGCACAGGAAGACTGGTTGGCTTCGTTGAGAGTACGTGGAAACTGTTCGAAAGAAACAACGCTACGTGCAGAATTGCATGCGGGTGGTATCATTGTGTATTGGAGCAGTGACTAACTTGAGGCCGCGCAGGACAAGTTCCCCACGTTATCTACTACTCCAAGGTCGGAGCAGAAATGTCCAAGATTGTTTTCCACGGCCAAAAGATGTCCCCGCCGTAAGCACTGGGATTTGGGGTTGAAGGAGGCAAAGTGCTGACCTGTCTTTACAGATCCGTTCAGACTGTTCAGAGCTACTGGCAACGTGCCCTGAAGTCGGCGCAGAATCCCAGCTCCCTTATCCAGGCCGCATCCGAGACTGCTTCCAAGGCGAGCCAACAGCCGGCTTCCATCATCCAACAAGCCAGGAACGTGAGCCGCGCCCAGCTGATTGCGGGTGGTGTTGTCGTTGCCGAGTGCCTGGGCTTCTTCACTGTTGGTGAAATGCTCGGTCGATTCAAGATCATTGGATACCACGGCGAGGGCACCGCCGCTCATCACTAAATGGCGAGACTCAGAATATTTGCAGCGAGCGAAACACCCGAGCTAGACGTCTCTTTGTGCCGCATATCTCGACATGGACATGGATGATGAGAACGGCACATTGGCGTGGACAGTGGACAGTGGACGACACCAGAGACTTGCTTTTGGTGGCTGTTAGATAAGCAAAGTTGCTATCGAATCATCAAACACTGGTAGCGTGCGCCAGGGGTGGATGGGGGAAGTGCAGGGATGGGCCACGTTGCACCATTCCCTACCTTGTATAGTAGTCATTTGCCCTCATGGACTCGCACACCAGTCTCCTTTGTTAAGCTTGTACAATAACATGAGTAGCATGAGGCGGGCAAGGTATAGAGTAATCGCGAAAGTCATTACTTTCCATAAGGCCGGTTCCGGTACGCCAGTTCCGGTGCGCCACAGTGGTTTCTGCCATGCTCTCTGCATTGCCTGTCTTTGCTCTGTCCAAGATTGGTCGTATTACACATTGCTTAACAAATCACACAATCGAGTCAGGTTTTCCTGAAATGGTTTTGCTTCGATAGAATTCTTGAATCCCCATTCGTGGACTCCAAGTAAGGAGGGGCCACGGTTAAGCAGGCCAGTGGCACAGTCCTGAAAGGAGAAATGAGGCTTCAACGCAAGGGCAGCCCTACAGGTAATGTGAAATGGCACTTTCAGGTTTGTGTAACACACGCCTTAGTGGCTAATAATAGACCGTCTCCATGGCTAATTCGTCTCCTAACGTTCTACCAGGCCCGATATCTGTAATGTTGGCGGAGAGGATAGCGAGGTATACATGCCCTAAGCCGGGTTTTTCTGTGGCAATTATTCATCGTCTTTCGTTTTCCGTGGTATGACGAAACATATATCTCTCCCCCGGGAATGGAAAATACCGGTCCCCGGGTGGCCACCAAAGCCAGTCACTCGGGTGCTGTGCTCAGTATGTAGGTTCATGGTTAGATGCATTTCCAGGTGCGGCAAACCAAGCCGTGTGGAATTTTTGAGAAGCCGTACCGTCCTGCATCTGCATCTGCATCTGAATGGCAGTAAGAGTAGTACCAATGTACTGGTCCTATCTTGCTTCTTGATTTTGTGTGTATCTGCTACCCCAGCAAGCAACGCACCCAACTGAGGTATGTGGAGCGAGCAATATACCATCCCTTGACCGGTCGGCACGCCCGAACACCAGTTTCTCATTGAAAATGAAATGGAGGTGTGGTAGGGATGGAATTCCATCTCGCCCTTGTTCTGCGACAAGGCCGATACGAATATGCTGCCTCCCATTAACGCATGTCATCTCGATGGCTGACTCGACGTGGAGACAAGGGAAGCCAAGTCAACGCGAAGACTCAAGTTTGTAAGGAGGCAACATCGTCTAATGCAGCAGCCTCCTTCTAGCCCAGCCGGCTAGTCAGTCAGTCAGGCCGCCCACCCTCCTCCTTCGCGAACTATCTACCTACTTACCTACCTCCTCTGCACGCAGCAGCAGGCCACCGCTCGCTTTCGACAGGTCACCGGCTGCAAGACGAGATAGGACGAGACGAGACACACGTGCATGCATGTATGGCCATATGACCAGCTCATTCATTCATTTATTGCACAGCACGGCATAGCCCAACACTATCACGCGCACACACATAGACACATGGAAACACACGCAGAGAGTCCGACCCTTCCGTTCTATCGTGCCCAGCAAGGACAAACAGGGCCAGTGTTGATATATGTATGACAGTTGTTCTTGCAGCTCGCATGCAGAAAATCCAAACGACTTGCAGCAACATTACATCCACCAACCTGCCTAAGTGGCCAACCCCCGGGCCGGATGAGACCCAGGACTCTGGGTAGGATGCGGGTGGAGTATCTATGGTTGGTTGGAGGAAGGTACCCAACCCAGCATTGGGTTCTTTGCTGGGAAAATGAAAAGGGGAGAGGGAGGAGGAGGATGGGCAGCGTAGGTTGCACTGGATTAAAACATCTACTTTACTCGGGTCTGTATCGGGATTTGGGGGAATGTTTTGATTGCTTGTTCGATTCCATGTTCATTATGGCGATGGGATGGATGATGATGGTCTAGGTTGACAATACCTAGGGAATTGGCATTCGGGATTTGCCAAAAATGCAAGGACCTTGTACTGAGAATGGATGCCTCAGATAAGTGGCATGATAACTACCTAATACATGTTATAGCGAGGTGCAGTAGCCGGAGAAAACAACGTGGACAGACACGACTACGGCATGAGGGGTGTTTTTTTCCCTTAATTTCTTATCTTTTTTGTTTTTGTTTTTCTTTTGTTTTTTTCTTTTCAATTTTACGTCTTTCACCCATCTGACCTCGGAGGATCCGACCCGGCCAAGTTGCATCAGGCCAAGTCGTATTCTACTAGGTCTAGTAGCATCCTCACCTGGATTAAGTGACCACAACAGGAAAACTTATCGAGAATCTTTCATGAGCCACCACACAGTGAATATTAGTTCAGCAAAGGGGAGAGTTTATTCATGTAAAGATTATCCTCACATTAGATCCAAACACACTTTCGTGACCATAACGTTAGGTCGTGTTCCATGGCCTTTATATAGGCCGATGACTGGCCTGCCATCCAGCAACCCTCTTAAGACTCACATATAGCCGGCCTACACTATGCATGCAGCAGATAAAACGCCGCAACCAAAAAAAGAAAAGAAAAAAAATCCAACGTAAACGCCCCAGATCTATGCAACCGAGCAATAAAACTGGAGACAGCCGTCTATGTCCCGTTTTTGGGTCCAGAATACCCGCCTTTGCGCCAAAGACAGGCCGATAAAACAATAACCCAACGTTGATGACTGCGCAGGCCGAGGTTATAAGGAGAATGATAAGGTGCGGAGATGCAGCGTCCAGGGTTACCAATAAATACCCCCCACAAAGAATCATCTCGTCAATGGCTGACGCCAACCACACTGTCACTACTTTGAGCAACGTGCAGCCCACAACTGTAGTGAGGACCAAGTACTGTATATGGTCGTCTTTCCAAGCTAGCCAAGCCTGGGCAACCATTGAATGTCCGGGAAAAGAAAACATCTACCCATTGTGTGCTTCCATGTATTCGGGTCAGGTGTGCATCTGCTCCGGATTGATAGATAAACCTTCCCTGGCAGATTGGGAACGTCTCCAGGTGAACCAGATTCAGCCTTTGGCGCAACAGTCGCAAGAACTCCGTCAAGGGCAACTTTGACAACTCGTAAGCGCAAAGCAATGACGATGAGGCGAGTTCTGGGCCGTATGGCTAGTGGGATGGGGGATATGAATAATGGAGTAGTCGGAAGGCTATAGGCAGATGGATCTAATCCGTGATGGTGCACTGCGTGTGCAAGGATTGACCACGCCACAAAGTTCAGATTGCTGTTTCCACTGCGGAAGGTGGAACTGGAAATGGGCACTCCCGCTGTTACGTGCAGACGGGTGGGTAAAGTCGAGTGTTTGGCGACATCGATGTCTTACGTCATGTCACATTGTACTGTGTGCTGTCGATTAGGCGGTCGCCCGCAGGGCCAACAGATGAGTTGGCGCAACCTCGCATTGGCCTAAAAATGGACTGTTTCGAAGCGAGAGCAGGTCGCCACTAAGGGCCTCAGGGGTGTCGTGGTTTTGGCGCTAGTACCTGGTGGGAAGTGGTCTTTTTGCAGTCCAAATATGCCTGATTTGATTTTGCGATTAGCATTCATGACGGCATGTTGCAGGCGCTTGCCAGACACTCACATTGTACACGAGACCCTGAAAGACCTTGTGCCAATCTCCTTCCGCACATCCTGTGCGAGGGTCAGGACTTGCTCCCTGGTGAACCCTCTCATCCTCGTTAGTGGTGCCATGGTCAGGGCCTCGATTCCCTGCGTCATGCCAAGGTTGAACCACCGTCCTATATCTTTCTTGTGCTCATCCTCGGGCCATGGGTGAAATGGCACATCTTTGATTAAGTGTTCCACGTCCACAAAGCCGGCCTGCTTCAATAAGTGCTCCGGATCGGGGGTCACCAGGAGGGGTTTCCCGAACCGGTCGAAAGCTGCGTGTAGCTCTCTGGCCCATTGAGCAAGTCTGGAATTTTGAGGGGCGCTACCATCAACATTGTGGGGACGAAAGTCGATCTCGACATGCTCAAAGACGCCTGACCCAGGTTTTAGACGGCTTCATCGTTCCGTTAGCTGAAGTCCTTCCGAAAGAGCTGCATGCTTCTTGCTGACCTGAAAACATTACGATACAGTGTTTGCCAGTCCTTGACGCTGCCTGCCAGCATGCGCATGAAGACAAGGTCAAACGAGTCGGGCTCGACATCCCAGTTGGGATCTGTCATATCCCGCTGAAAGAATTGAGTGTTGGGAGGGATCCTTGACGGGTGTTAACGGTGCACTAGAAATGAGCAGAATATATACTGACGCGGATGGTTGCGATAGGGACAGGTCCCATCCGATGACGTGGGGCTCTTGGTTGTAGTACTTCCTAGGTAGGCTAGTCAGCGAGCAATCTAAATGGTTCGGAGGTTTGCCATACTCTGCCATGTCAATGGCCCAGATCCCCGTGCCACAACCAAGATCAAGGATTCGAGGCTTCACTCCAGGTGGCAGTGGCCGCTGATGAAGACCAGCGACGGAGTCGTATTGACGACTGACTAGAAAGAACTTGTGGAATATATCCATCCTGTCTAATTCTTCCTACATACAGGCGTATACGTTTAGCGGCCAGTTCATGGGCCTTGAGCTGGGATGTGCATACCTCGTCACAAGGGAATAGATAATGGCCTGCCTTGAACGTGCCATAGAACCTGCCGTTCTCCTGGAAATGGGGATGTCCATTTGTTGCAGGTTCCGGTTGAGAGACGGGCGGTGGCCCGCTGGAAAACGTGTTAGCCTGATATGTGTCTGTCCACAGCGCAGATTGGCCGATGGGATTCCAACCACGAACCCATTGTAGCTGTACCCGTTGAAAGCCATCGTGGCAACAGCCCAGTACGCGCTGGCGGTTGACGACAGGTGAAAATGGATGGTATTACAAAATGGAACCGACTCGACGTTCAGTCGGGAGGGGGGTGGAGAACAGAAGAGCAGTTGGAGGCACGATGACAATGGCTCCTGCTGCGTGTAGTGCTGGGCAGGCAGTCTCGAGCTGAGAGGAGCGCGAACAAAGAGGTTGAGGATGCGAAACGAAGCGCGTCCTGAAAGGAGACGGAGGGGTCGTAGGTTGGATTGGGGATCAAGGTTTAGGATGTAGTGGGGGGGTCGGCGCCAATTTGAAGGTGGGAAGGGCAAAACTTTCCGGCATTCAGATGATTTAAGTACATGCGTGTAAAAGACATGGATGTAGAGCAGAGGACTGAAGGACCTTCGAAAAGATCCCCTTGATAGATCGATAATTAGGGTTCAAGGATTAAGATCTCTGGGGTGGGACCTCTGCGTCCAGAAGGTCATCATGGCACGACTTGTGTTTTGGCGGCACCACGCTGTGCTCCAATACCGTTTTTTTTTGGCCCTCGTCGTTGTTGGGTACTTCGCGGCCGACTTAATAGGCCAACCGTTATAGCCAGCTCAACCCAGGCTAGGAGGTATTTAGTCTCGTTTCTCTTGTGGATTTGCTGTGGAGTACGGAGCAGAGGGAGGGTGTTATTACCTAGGTACCAGGTAGCACCCGTCATCAACAGGGCTAAAAGTAAGGGGGCTTCTCTAATCCCTGAAGACGCAAAACGTGGATTATGGAACCGGGAGGTACATGCCTTTACATGGAAGGAAACGCTGCAAGTGCCGTAGGGCACGGTGTGGAGCAATAAACAAGTTAAAGCGTGAGTTAAGTATGGTACACAAGTACTTTCCAGTAGTCGAGCCGTTGCTTACTAGGTACCCATCCATGTAGTGCTGTTGCCCAGCTGGAGGTGTCGCTGGCACCAACATCACGCTTCGTCATTGAGGCCAAGACTCGATTGTCCTTTCAAGGTCGCGTCGCGCCAACACCTAGGTTAGGACCTACCTACCTGGACTCTCTCGCGTACGATGGAGCGAGTCTGTGGGCGCTTGACGTTGACGTTGAACATCAGTCGGGCGGTTACACATCTGAATACCCAAAGATACCTTTGTTCAGCACATGTAGGTACTTATGTTTTCTTGCAGGCTGAAGGGCTCAATTCCCGCTCACTGCTGCTGCCAGTTGTGCTCTTCCGCCATTGGAGCTGGGGGTGGATGTTCCCTTGAGCCCCGCTAACTGCTGGACCCAGCAGGCTGGCAAGGTGGGATGGAGACCCTGGAAGCAGCCAATTCAGCCCGCGCCTACCCGCAAATGTTATTCAAAAGACCTGACAAACCCTTGATGAATCATGAGGAGGAGCGGAATCGCAAAACACCCTGTTCAAGCAATATTCTGGCACCGCATGACTGACCGGGCAATCCATATCTGCCATTTCTCAGCAGGATGTTCGGAAGAACGCAGGCATCGTCGTCTCGGGTGATGCAAGCAGCACTTCGTACGCCTGCAGCACTGATGACACTGACAGGTGCTGCCGCCGCGGGCTAGTGGTTTTCTCCCAGACGCAGGTTTTGTGTGTTAATCGTCAACCTCGACTGCCTGGATGCACACTCCAACTTGACGAGAGAGACCCACTGTGTCATGCCAGATCGGCGACGGTCGATACGATCATCGTCCAACAGTGGTTTACTCTGTCGACAAGAGGTTCGCGCGTTGGCAAGTTCGTTGCCCAAGGTCCCGCAAAAAGAGGACGCCCAAGTACGGAGTACCTGCTTCTCAATTTCTTCAGCATTAGCGGGGCTTGCGACCTCATTGCCCAATGGCCGTCGGTACCATGCCGTCTTTCACTGGCCTCTGTATCTGTTTGGAATTCGTCATTGGGCAGCACAGCACCGAACTTGCGGCACAGGCGAGCCGCGTCCCTGTCGCCTGGGTCGGTCCAATGTCCGACTTTGCCTGCCGGGATTTGGCTCCAGTGATCTGTTTTGACCGGCAATCATTTACAAGGACCACACAACCAGCCATACGGCAAGCTCGAGAACTAGATTTGGCCCATACAATTGCACCGCGACTCATGAAGGGCTCCAGAAGAACTGCAAGGAGAGTCGGAGAGTCGGAGAGTCCCATACATAATCCTTGTTGTCGTCTGGTTCGCTGCGCTGCCGTGCCGTGCTGCAGCAAGTAATCGAGCCTATCCCTTTGACCCAGTGAGCCGGAACACCAGTAGCCAGTCACGGCTAACCCCAAGGCGGCTTGTAGCGTTTTTGGTCCCGAGTTGTTTGGCATATCCCCGAGGTCGGTGCTTACAAGACCCTGGTCCTACCGAAATCCCTGTCGCGCGAACTACATGAACCAAGTACGGATACAGCCAGGAGCCTGAGGCAAGTATCCGAAATTGGTACTTTTGACGCCACAATCTATCCTTTGCCAAGTTCACCAGAGGTGGGTTGAAAATGTACCGAGATTTTGAAGCTAACAACTTGCTCAGCACCTTCGGTCAGTAAGCCAATGCCAAGTTATGCAGCCAATACTCCTCTTCTGTTGCGACCATGTGCCAGGATGAGGCGCTAGAATTCCCCGAAGCAAATGCTGCATCATATCTCTCGGTAGGCTCGATCCGACCCCTTTGTTGGTCTTATGTCAAGATGGGTTGCCAAGTTGTCAAGGTTGCCTTTGGTCAAGCGCTGAGTTGTTACCGCCTTTGCAAATGGCATTGTTTCAAATATTCATGCTTTCTTGCTCCCCAACAGAACCCGCCAGTTTGGTTTCTGACCCAAGTTTTCGGGTCGACAAATCTTCGTCTGGTACGTACTATTTCCATGTCTGCCCGGACCCCCTGATGTACTGTACCTTAGCTGTTCTGCAGTGTATTGAGACATCTCGGGTTGTACACTTCAGCACGGCCGTTCATGCACCATAGACATGACGGGCCAAGCAGACATGGCACGGTGGGAATGCCGTTATCGAGTTGTGGAAAGGCATTGGATGAAGACTTCCGCCCTGGGAATGCGTCCTGGTGTGCGGACTTCAGGCATGTCTCCCATTTGGGTGTACAACAGTCGGAACAAACAATCATCCAACCCCAAGCTTATGAGGGAACGGCATTGCTTTTCAACAATCATCATGGCGTGCAACAATGGTTCTTTCGATACCGTGCGAGCATTTGGCCGGCCTAAGGGAAGAATTTGTGAACCGATTTGGGATTAGTTCGGACCCGACTGTCTGGCACTCGGTGGAGAAGCTTTTAATTGAACACCCAATCAAGCACAGCTACGTTTCGTCCAATTCGCTTGGCAAGCTCGAAACTCCGACCCGCATCTTGGACAACTTGAGACAAAAAGTCATATGCTCAACACGCTGGTCCATTTTCTATGGGCATGCAAAAGTTGCTGATAGGAAATAATCCGCATTCAATGGGTAATTAGGCACTGTCACCAAGTTCTATGGAATCTGCAGTTCTCAGGGCCACAGCTACGGTCAGTCACCAACCAGGGTCGTCCGGCAGTTTGTTCTTGCAAGCCAAAGCTGGGGTTCTTTGGATCAACCAGCAGTTCTTTGACCAATTCTCAGTGTCACCCAAGGCCAATTACCGATGTCATCAGCCGGTCTGTCCTTGGTTTCATTGTCGACTATGGAATGTCGAGCTTCTTTTATCAGCAACCACGAAGCGAACTTGCGGTGTACAACAAGCTAGTTCGACCTACTGTTCGCTTGTGCGCTCTCGCGTTTCCAGCCGTGTCCAGATCGCTAGGCGTTTGTCGCTGCCGGCAACCGCGAATCTCCATCAGACTCGGCCATTTACAACTTACAACGGCTTATCGCAGAATCGTACAAGATCTTGTTTGTGTCTTGGCTCGGATCTAGCGATTCCTGCATACAGGAAAACATGTCCAAATGTGAAGTTATGCTAATCCTTCAAAAGGCCAAAAGGCGATCCCGGTTCCACAGCTCAGCGTCCTGCTCGGTGCGCCTTCGTTCATAACAGATCCAGGTGTTTCTCGTTTCCACCGCTGGAGGAACACGGCGCAAAGTATATGTTTCCATTGTTCGATGCTGTGAACGGCATACCCCGTCCACTATACATGTCAAGTCTCAAATTATGACTTATCAAGTCGCTTTTGCGGCATGACCTGTCATTTGTTCCCCAGCGCTGTCCTTCACATACCGACTCGTGACGGTACTGGTCATGTCCGGACTTTTGAACACAGTCTCTCCAGGTAATTGTCTCCGCCGAGTCCCGGGGTCCTGCTCCATATTCCAAGCGGTGATGCTGATCAATTGGCAACCTGTCAAGCCCTGCATACGAATCCGTCTACCTGTCGGTTACTGGTTAATTCCTTGGCTGACTAGTGAAGAAGCATGTCATACAGGAGCAACTAATATAACTGTGTGGAGCGCCCACTCGCGATTCATGATTTGCCTCCGGCTTCCGTAACAGGCAGTTGAACCGAGAATAGCCTGAGGTGCAACTTATTGTTGAACCTCGCTGAACCACAACGTCGGGTCCGACCCGGAAGTTAGCAAGCCCATCATCCGCGAGCGTTCATATACCCAGTACCAAATTACTTTGTAGGGCGAGTCTTTATGCCTGGCACACCCACGCTGGTTTTTCTACGGGAAAAGGTGACGATTCGTATTTACTGACATTTCTCCGAGCCTGTTCAAAATAAGGGGGGAGGGGGACGGGGCTACGCAGTGGTACAGTATACCCAGAAAGCTGGGAGCTGAATGAACTTTGGGTTGCATGAAAGCAGCTTGTAGCGAATCCCAATTGCGGCCTGGCAGACGTTGTAACAAGGGTAATCCGTCTCTATTACGCATCACGCTTCTCGTGAGTGCCTAATGGAATAATTCCAACGATTTCAGCTTGCCAGTAGGTGCAATGGTGATATTACGACGCTAGCCTCCAGGGTAGACATTCCCACCACCATCACGCCCACCACCAACCAACGCCAAGATTAAATAATTGACAGTCAGCCATCACAACGCCACAGCCCTACCGTTGGGCTACGGATGTCCTCTTGATATCCTTACGTGGCGTCCACAATGACTTCCCGTCCAAATACGAATAGACGCCACCAGTACCGAACTGCGTAGCTCCCTCCCCTCCATTCCGTGTCTTGGGAGAACGCACAAATCTGACTAACCGTAAGCGGTCTTCGGACTCGCACTGAGATGCTCGGAGTCCATCATCTACATCATCTCGTCGGAAGTTGACAGCAGTTTCAGGAGCCGTAAAAGGCGGTGGGACAGCCATGAGACAGAACTCAGTCCGCACTTCATGGGGAGGGGCTGGCATTACTAAGCCAGAGATATGTGACGGATTATTTTGATGCAGCCCAGCGCCATTGCTACCTTATCATCATTGCAACTATTGATTCATCTCTACGCGAGACACAAATTCACCAGTGAATATCTTCCCTGCTCGGTTGGCACATGCGCACATGCCCCAGCCAACATGAAAGTACTTTGGCCCCAGAGTGTCGGTAATGCTTGTCTATCGGGTATGCAGCGCCCTTTTCCTAGCTTGCGCTACCGGCCCCTCGCCCCGGTTTCTCGTCTGGGCGCCCTTGTGGTCGAAAATAGAGACATTGGTTTCATGGGTAAGTAGTTCAAAAGGTTGAAGTATTTTGCTCCCTTTTCTGTCGCCAAGTCCAGTCCCGGTGGATCACCTGCTTCCTTTACCTAATTAGCCCAGCACACTCCGCTGCGTCCCAGATTCTTGGGAATTACAGTTCAAGCAGCATCCCCCCAACCCATTGATCCTCAGGAGTGTCAATTTGAGGCCAAATTTTCCAAAGCGAGGCGCCTGGTTAGGGTTGGTTCATGTTGGTGATGCCAATCCGAATAGTGGTTGGTGAGAGAGGGCCTCGGTGCCGGTTCGGATGTCGAGTTCCTGCGCGGAATGGTTTCCTTCACGCTTCCCAACGAAACAGACACGGCAGCATTTGCAGCATTGGGCAGAAACCTGTCCGTCTGCCATTAAAATTACCATTGCTGTGCATGTTCATTCCTTGACGCAAAAACTCTCAGCTCCCGGCACTGCGGCCGTCGCCTCGTCCAGGAGCCAACTGCTTCTCCTCCACCTTGCCCCACCTCTCCGGAGCATCTTGTCGCTCTCACAAGGCCAATAAATGATGTCAACAGTATGAACGTATGATATATGATCTCGTCTCGCCCCTGCCCTTTCCTCGCCGTTCCCTTCCTTTGCTGCTTGCATGGACCTGATACCTCGGGTTTCCAGGGATATTTTGATAATCGAGCCCGGCCTGCCCAGCCTGCTCATATCCATCCCTTCGCTTGGACACACCAATTCCCAACAAGCCGGTTCGTGGTAACGCCAGGGCAGACATGCATTGAAACTCAAACTAAACCAACTCTCCTGCCGCCGAAATTCGGTTCCGTTGCCTTGGATCCATCTAACACTGCGACGGCGCACGCGTCGCATGTGCTGGTGCCAAACTGAGACAAAAGCAGAACCATTCATAAACGCAAGGGCGACTCAAGTGTTTCTCCCCGAGACCCAACGTGATGTTCTAATATGACGGTTTCACTAGACGATATTGACTGTCTGACATCATGAGAGGAGAAGCCGCATGTGCTCCATCATTATCAGACCGATGAGAAGTCAGGCGCGAGTCAGTTTATTGATACAAGCTATGCTCTGTTTGCCCAACTACCTGTACCCTTGGGGCTGTCATCGCAAAAATGAGCTCCAGTTCCAGTTCCCTACTAATCTAGCCCCTGGACAGATTAGGCTACGACATGCGGGATACCAACGCAAATATCCATGGACCAGGGTAGGTCTGCAGACAACGCGCCGAGGCCACCCGTCATGAACGTAGGTTGAAAACACCATCAAACGCATCACCCTTGGCCTCAATCTGCTACCATCTTGGGCGAAACCACAAAAGGTCTTATGTGTGACCTAGTATCTATGGAGACAACTGTCCCCAACCAATGCTCATTTTGTTACACTTTTTCCACTCCTATGGGAGTGCGTTGTGACCCCACCAATCAGACATCACGTATTCGTCCTGTTTTGGCCGAAACACAGAGGCGTTGCAACTCCTACTTGCCAATCTTCGCGACAGAGGCCTCTCGCGGTTTCGTGAGGTAACGCCTACCACTCGTACTCTCCTGTTGCCTTGTGGAAGACGTAGTCTTTGCCATTAACGCTAAGCACGCCATCCTTCAGGACACACTTCCTGCAACAGTGTCAGTGCTGAAGATTGCATTACAAACGGGAAACCATCATAAATCGAAAACTCACCACTTGTTCTTGACGCGCTGCACCTTGTCGTACATGCACAGCATGATCTGGCCGCCGTCCTCATCTTCATCGTCATCTTCAAGGTTGTCGTCCGAGTCATCAAGATCTGAGTTGATAGCTTCGTCATCCACCTCGGATTTGACATCGTCATCACCTCCATCAAAGCGAGCGGGACCGGCATCGTCGGCAGGTGTTCGATAACACGAGATGGGGTTCGCGCGATCACGCTTCGTAATACGCTTCAGAGGTAGCATCATTCCACCCCCCTCCATGCTCCTGGCTCTGGCCTCTATGTGAGCACGCAGCATGCCATCAATCTCCACGCGTCCCAACTCGGTGGTCTGACCAACCGCATTTTTTTGCAGCAGGACACCCGTAGGACCATCATCACCGGCACCATCCATCTGCGATGGATTCGGTCTTTGGCTATTTTGCATACCCTGCATTTGGGCTTGTGCGTGGTGTGCCTGTGCCTGAGCCTGGGCATGCACACGCTGTGCTTGGCTTGCTTGACCAGCCGTCATTTGTTGGCGGTACTGCTGCTGCGCATTGCCTGGATACTGACCAGGATGAACTTGCGGCACAGACTGACCAGCGGGCCTCTGTTGGCCATTATACTGGGGATGAGAACCGTTGGGTACCTGTCCCATGCCGCTTTGCAGCTTGCTGATGGACGCAGTGGCTCTCTCGCCATACACGTTCTGCAAGTTACTGATGACACGCTGTTGCACGTCTGTGCTTCCAGGGTGAGCATTTGGTATCTGGTTCTCCAGACCAGGTTCGACTTTCACTCCTGGCTCAGTCTTGATGCGACCATCGCCAGCGGGCTGACCTGGGAACGACAAACCAATTTGGGCATGCTGGGGCGGCGCCTGTGGGTGCTGTTGCACGTATCCTGATCCATTGGAGGGAGCAGAGCTAGTGGGAGGCGGTCCTTGCATCGGCTGTGACACAGGAACTGGAGCCGGAGCAGCGGCCGGAGCGGGCGGGTCCGGCTTGGGATCCCATGGGAAGACAGCAAGCTGCTGCTGAGAAAGCTTCTTCTGCCAACCCTATTTATCGGGTTAGTTGTCACATTGATTGGTTGCAATGGTTTCTCATGGAAAGCAATGTTAGAAGAAGAAAAGCGACGTCGTGTAGTAGAATGTACCTCCAATCCCCAGTTGAGGTCTGACTTCGCAAATGCAAGTGTGACTCTGAATAAGTTACACGCAGCGGGAAATGGGGATGAGACGAGGGAAGGCACGTGATGTTATGTAAAGGCACCAATCGGAAGAATGTCATGCAAGAAAGGAACAACTTTTAGCGGGGAGGCAGCAAGGGGCATAAAAGCCCCAAATAGCGCCAGATCGCCCCCTCTCCGGACTGGTTGCTCTCAACCACCCCAGGTTAACACCGAGCCAAAGAGATACTGCCGCAAACGACGCAGCCGCCTCCAAACCCAGACAAGCGAAGACGCCATACCAGCTAGGATCAAAACCATAGGAATACATAGAGAGTGAAATGGGAAAGAGATGGATTGTGAGATTTGCGGGCGAGTAGCGATGACGAAATGCATGGTGGCCGATGCGAGGCAGACGTAGGAAAACACGAGGCACTCACCTGCTTCAGTTGTTCCAAAATGCTCTCATCCACGCCATTCTCCTCGAGGTCGACTCTCGATGACTCGATGACCTCTTGGATGATCTGCTGATAAACAGCGCCGACTGCCGCGTTTGACATGATGAAGAGTACACGGTCAGCGGAGTGTTTCGCAACTGATGGCTTGCTGGAGCAATGGACAAGAGAAAGCTGCGCGCTGGCACCACGATGCAGGACTTCAGATGATCCTGTCCCCAACACGGCTGCAAGGCGCAACGATCTCGTCTATCAAAATGATGCGACTTGAGTGATTACGGTAGGTGAAGGGACTCGTAGATGCGATGAGGCGATGGCGGAGGGTGAAGGTTGTGGAGCAGCCTGGAGCTGTTCTTGCGTCGATTCCGCTCGCACGCAGACCGTCGCCTCCTCAAAAACCGGTACCTTCGATGCGTAATTATTGTCTCTTTCTACGTCCCAAGTTCCACGCTTCGTGATTGCGTTGCGACGTGGTCGTTTTGCTGAGTTCCTAATACTGCATTCGGATCTAGATGTTGTAGAATGCTAAGTTCGCTTGGTCATCCTGGTTCTGATCTACTTGATTCCGGCGGATCATGTGATACGTTCTGATTAGATAAGGACAGTACAACCCTCAATTACGCACTGTATATCGCTAGATAGTAGCTGGGAGTAGTAAGTAACTATACTTTGGGAAACATATAACAGCAATGTTGAAGTTTTAAAAGACCAATGGGGATATACAACCAACTCAGGCAGTTTTCTTCTTTAAAATCATAGTTTTTCCGTGTCGAGTCGGAGTCTTTCCCGAAGCAGCAGGATACCGTGCTGTTCTTCAGCCGGTATCCAGCTCTGGAAGTTGTCGCAATACCTAAACCTGATGACACAATCCTCCATCCTACACCGTGCGTCGGATACATCCTCATAACGAACTTAGAATAGCGAAACCAGACCAATATGGTAGTCACGACTTCTTGGAGTAGCAAAGCACAAATCTTGCCCGCCTAACATCAATCTGTGTTGACTATCTACTGGTTCTTGTTTTCTCTGCAACGACATCGAGGTTCGATGCGTGTATGCAATGACTGCGGTCTCCAATATTATATACAGGTAATCTCACAAACTCCTTCTTGGTATCCTCCAAGACGTGCACCGTACCTCATGACCAAGTCAAAACCGGGTGAGGCCGTTTCGGGGGGCGGGGCAAGGTAGCATAGACACCCAAACTCCTCGCTAAAGCGCAAGACCTCGAACCGCAGAACCGTGGATGCCAGAATGAAACCGTAAATACCTACTTGTTGTTGTCGATAATGATTCTGACATTCACCATTCAGACTGTCCATTTATCGGATCGTCATCTGCTTGGCCATTTCCGCCTTGCCTGAGGAACCACTGGCACCAACACCGGCAGCAGAACCTGCCTTCTTCTCGAAGACCTTCCAAAACTTCAAGCTTTCGTCGGCAGCTAATGGTCCACATTAGTTATATGTCCCGAAGAGACGTCGCTGTATCAAGAAGTAACTTACCAGCAGTTGCAAGCATTTGTCCGTCGGGGCTGAGGCAGCTGTGCAGCACTCTGCTCTCGTGCGCCGGAATCTCCACATTGCGAACCAGGGTGGGATAGCTCCAGATGCTGAGAGAGTTATCAGGGAAGCCGCTGGAGCTGACAATCTCCTTGTATGCGGTGCTCCAGCGCAAGCTGGTGACCTGCGAACCAGTGTCGATGCTATTGACACGAGCACCCGAGGTGGTGTTCCAGAAGTGGATATGACGATCGTATGAGCCTCCACCGGTAGCAAGCAGGTTGGCGTTCCACGGACACCAAGCTAGAGCCTTGACGGCAGCCTTGTGGTTGGTCTTGGTGAACTTGGGCACGGCCAGGGACCGAGCATCCCAGATGGAGACCAAGTTGTCATTGCCACCAGTGGCAAGCTGAGCGCCGTCCGAACGCCACTCGAGGCCGCAAACCTCGGAAGTGTGGGAGACCAGCTCAGCGACCTTGTGCTCGGCAATGCGAACATCGTGGTTGTACACGAGGCCACTGCGGGCACCAGTGGACAGGAGATGCTTGTTCCAGCCCATGACACCGACGCGCGTATCATGGCCGAACATGCTGCGGACCTTCTGGCCCTCGGCAACATCCCAGATCTGGACCTCGCCCGTGCCAAGGCCGACACCAACATATGCACCGTCGCCAGACCACTTAACGCTGCTGACGTACGTGTCTGGGCTCGTCTCCAACAAGCAGCTGACAGAGCCCTCGTCGGCAGACCAGACATAGACGTTTCTCTCGAGACCAATGGCGACTTGGTTGCCGGAACTCCAGTCAAGAAGGTTCAGGTAATAGTCATCAATGAGGCCGGGCGCGTCCAGGACGCGCTCGGGAGCAGTCGCTACACGACGTCTGAACTGGGCCGAACTAGTGTTGGCAGATTTCAGAGGACGGTTGTACTGCTGTCGGAGATCAATAGGCTTAGAAGACTCCGGGGGCGCGGGCTTGAACTGGAGGATGCGGGTGTTCAGGTTGACTCCGCAGGCATTGGCCAGCGAGTCTTGGTATGCGATAGTATTGGGGGATGGGCGAGAGTATGTGGCACCTTCCTCGTCGTTGATGTTGAGGCCCTCCAGGGCCGCAATGGCATCATCCGTGGCAGAAGACAAGACGGCGGAGCCTTCAGTGTTGCTGGTCTTGGCACGTTGCTTGTCCGTGACATCGAGCTTGCCGGATCCGGCGTTAGAAATGGCGGAGCTGTTGCTGCGGTTGGGGATGAAGCGATCAGCGCCGTAGGTAACAGTCGTCTTGCTTGTCTTCTGTCTCAGGGACGTCTTCTTGGATGATGAGCTCTTGGTATTTCCGGTGCCAACGAGTGTGAAGTCGGAGACGCCGAGCTCGAGGGCCTTGCGGGGAGTGCAGACACCGCGGGCGATATTAGACTTGGGAGAGTCACGGTGTGATGATCTGGAGCTGGCCTTGGCGAAGTGCGAAGACAGGTTTCCTCCGTAGACTGACTTGCTGGACGGACGGCTTATGTCGGCTGACTTTCTCTCGGGTGTGAATGGAGACGAATCCAGGTTCTGGGACACCGGCGCTGTGGCTTGGCGTTGGCGTGGAGAAGGGGTCAAGGGCATGCGACCGCCAGCGGTTCGGGAGGAGAATAGTCCCGCATGGGACTTGAGGGGGGTAGATACAGCAGCTGAAGCCATGTCGTCTAATGTATGACAGCCGACGGTATCTGTGGGTGAGTGAACTCTAGCGAGTTGCAATCCAATGCCTCGAAAGAGATATGAAGCTTCGAAAATCGAGCGAGCTCCAAGAGACTCAAGCTAATGGTTCCTGGATGGTTTGTGTTGGTTAGTTTTCCTGTCGTTGTGTTCGATAGATCGAAGTGTGCCTTCACGAAGGACGGAAGTCGGAAGCGATCAAATAGCTGGTATCCCGTGGAATATGCAGCAATGAGATCTAGTAGACTCGAGTGTGCTTGTGCAAGGCGTATATAGCGTAAAGCTAGGTAGCAGTGAGAGAAGTGGGAGGGTTTCGGTTTGATAGAGAACCAAAAGGACTTCTCGAAATCCAGCCGCAATGGACTTCAAGATATACGCCTTTGTTTGTATGGGGCGCTGTCAAGGGCAACGGTGGGGGAGCAACGAGCTGCCTCAACGTGGGGTCGGGCACTTCGGGCACTCAGAATTTCCGATGCGACTGACCAAGACTTGGCGGCTCCTTCCGGGAACAAACGTCCGTGCTTCGGGGGATGCAGACGCCACGCAAAAGGTCGGGCGCCAGCCGACGCTCGCCATCGCTTCGTTACCTCGAAGAACTTCGCAACCTCGCCCGTGTTGTTCAAAGTCAAATTCGACAACAACTTCCCCACGTTGACTGATGACACGTCGAGTCGAGCGAGTCCTGCGTTTTGCAGACTTGATGTCAAGTGCGACTACGTTCAACGGCTCTTTGTTCCATGATCCTTGATCTTTTGCACCCTGACTGAGCCGGCACTGTACCTTTCCTCCCCAGTACGAGGTTTCTCCCTCTCAAGACGGACTCCATTGGACGGTCTTGGGGGATTCCGATATAAGAATCGCCATAATCAACTGCAAGTCTACAACAACGCGACCATTTCAAAATGGCTCAGCCTTCGACCCCGTCATCATTTAGCCAGTCCCTCTTCGGTGGCCCGTCAGCGCCGTCCTCTGTCGCCCTCCTTGCGCAAGCACCTCAGCCGCCTCAAGCAGACTCATACACCCCGACAGTTTCGAATGCACTGACGCCCGCCTCCACTGCGTCCTCCAACAACACCTTCGTCATGCCGAACTCGCCAATGAAGAACAGAGCTACGATAGACGGCAGCTACCGCCCCAAAGTTACGAGAACACTAGGCCAACGACCAGCATGTCTGGTCAATGCCTCGGTGACCTACTGCGGGAACAACCACATCTATGCCTTTGGGGGGTTTGACCAATATACGGACGAAGTGTACAACCATGTGCTCAAGTTGGATCTGATAAGCCATCAGTGGAGTCTGGTCGACAACTATGGGGATATTCCGGGCGTGAGAATGGGTAAGTAAGTTCGGGAGAGTGGGATATATTGTGTAACTGACACCTGCTTCAGGTCACACTGCGACCTTGTATCAAGGCGACAAACTTCTAGTGTTTGGCGGTGAAAACGAGCACAGGACATATCTGTCAGATCTCATCGTCTTCAACCTCAAGACGGCACATTGGACCCAACCGCAAGTTAGTGGGCCGGTTCCCAAAGGCCGTGCAAGGCATGCCGCCGTGCTCCACGAGGACAAGCTTTTTATCGTTGGCGGCATTACGGGACATGATAACTATGTCCTGGATGATATTTGCTACCTGGATCTCAAGACTTATACATGGTCCAAGTCTTGGCGGTTTGTAGGCAGGTTTGACCATTCTGCGTATATCTGGGGTGATCGAGTATGGGTGTTCGGAGGCCTCAGTGAGGACATGGACAAAATTGGCGATCTGTGGTGGCTCGACTTAAAGGGAAGTCCGGCCTTTGAATCCCCGCCTCATATGGGCACATCAGACCGTCACCCTACCACGAACCGTGCCAGCGATTCTCCACGTCAGCCGTATTCGATGGGCGGAACAGGGGTAATTGGGGCATCGGGGTATGCCGCAAACTCACGTACAGCGCAGGTCAACACCCCCTCTTTCCAGTTGAAGACATACGCGCCAATGGCACCGGGGGCCATATCAGCACTCAAGTTCGTTTCAGGCCCCAATGTTCCTTCGCAAGGCTCGGGCTACCATTTCCACTTGTACTCGTCGGGAACTCTTCTCGATTTTGTGACACCAGCGGCTACCATCACCTCGAAAGAATGCTCATTATCGGCGCTGGACCTCGCAAATTTGCGATGGCAAAAGCTTGCGGAAGGACGCGAGATCTTCAAGCATGGATATCGTTGGCATTATTGCACTATGAACGAGGATGGCACCAAAGCCTGGCTGCTAGGTTGCCCAAAAGAGGGAAACGAGGGGCCCAATGACTACGAAGAGTACTTGAGTGACATTATGGAGGTTGATCTTCGTCGTTTCGGATTCCTTGGAAACAACGCTGTGGAAGCTCGACCTGAGTCTTCAAGGCCGTCGTTCCACCGAATTCAAGAGCAGCCGTCCAAAGGGTTGGGACTTGACCTTGCCAAGTTATTTAACCAGCCTCCGGAATCGGGCAGCGGAACAGACTTTGTCATCACCGCGCTTGTCGGTGATTACGAAGACGAGGATATGATGAGCTCTGGTGTCATTCGTGCGGGCGGCGAACTTGCCCCAGATCAAAACTGGCTTGCCCCTGATGCGCCCACTTCTTCGCCCATCCACGTCCACAAGCTCATTTTGCAGGCTCGATGGCCGCATTTCGCTCGACTATACAATGCCCAGATGGCGGAGTTCCATACCAAGAAGATGCACATACCAGAGCCATACAGCGTCGTAAAGGCGTTTCTCTATTACCTCTACACAGACAGTATACACGCAGACGACGGGGTGACGGATCTGTCGGACGTTGCGGGCCTGCTCGTTATGTCCAACATCTACAACATCCCTCACCTGCGTCTCCTCTGCGTAAATCGGCTTTCAAAAGAGCTCGATGTCGTCCATGCATGCATCATCTGGTACTGTGCCGGACTTGCGAACGAGGAATGGCTAAGGAAGCGGGCAGCTTCTTTCTGCCTCACTAACTGGGGTCGCATTGTGCGCACTCCTGGCTTCCTACGATTACCAAGAAGTGCGCTCGTGGAGTTATCCCAAGAGATTGATACAGAAGGTCGCGTGATTGGTGGAGAGGAACTTGAATACGTCGATGGCATGCATGGCAACCGCTATGATAACTGCAGCATATCTCGAAAGGATAGCATCAGTAGTGACCGCACACAAGCGCTTCCATCAGACATGGACGACTCCGAAGGCATGGACCTTGCTTGAACCAGATGGACCAGAAAACTAGATGTGGGGGATAAGGCACGGCGTATGTGATGAATTTGAGCGATGAGACCCAACCTTGCAGGATTCCCAAGATGAGGGATGGGGTTATTCTGCGTAATGGCATTCTGGTGGCGTTGGATTGGCACACAGGAAAACGGAGCATGGCACCTGGATGTGTGGGCGGTACCGGGGGGCAGGCTGCATTCATCTTGCTTACAATTTCAGAGCTTGCAGTCATCTAACGAAAGGGAGAGCTTGGAGAAAGGGACCATGGCTGTGGGGTTTTGGAGAAAAGAGACTCTTTCTCACGGCCGAACTATTTGACAATCCAGCCGAGAGATAACTTGGCGGGGCTTGTTCACATCCGACTGTATGCCATAGACGTAGCTCGTAACACTATTACCTGAAACTCCTCGATGGCGAAAAGACGCGCAGCACGAGGCAGCTAGCGGTCAGAAAGAAGAGGAGGCTCATTTCAGGCACCAATGCAGGCAGGACGCACCAGTTCCGTACATTTTAAGCAGCCCTGGCGGTTCCTCGGCGCGAGAAACGTAATAGACTGGGAGCGGCGGGTGGACAACGCCCCTTGCCTCGGGCGGGTCTCCAAACGCAGCCGGGTGCGGGCTCGGAGAGGGGGTCCCCACCTGGCCACGTGCCAGTATAGATGCGTTTTGGTCCAAGATGTCTCCGCGATCTTCGGCAAGGTGAAAAAGAAGGTGAGGAGCCGAAAAGGAGAAAAAGAGACTGGAAGGAGGGGTAGGAGAGAGTCAGAAGAACCCTGCCCCGGCCGCCACGCAATGATACAATCCTTCCCCACAGGAGTTTTGGCCAAGGTACTTTTTCCATTATTATTTTTATTTTTACAGTAATGGTGGTTTTGTGGCCAACCCATCCATCCGGCCGCGCCGAAGGTCATAGAGTATGGGTGGTGCGGGTTGTGCGGTAAGACTGTTCGTCTTATTTGTCGTGGGCTAATTAAATGCGAGAAGGCACAAAAATAACAGAATGATGGGATGGATATTCGGGACTCCGGATGAGGGGCGAGTTGAGGCGAATTCGAGGTTCGGGAGCTGAACAACCCATCCGACGATAGTGAGTTAATTGGGGCTGGGCTCTATGCGTGGCAATGCTCTGGTCCAGTGGCTTTTTTCCAACGGTGGAAGGCTCATCGTTGCAGACTATTTCCTGGCTTAGCGTGCGTTCGAATTAGTTACCTTATTAGTGAGGCAGTCGCTGGGAAGCTCCCAGACACGTCGTCACCGTCGGCCGTCTACTGTATATGGGGCGGGGCGCTGGATATACTCACACTACCCTGTAACGTGTAGTTTAAGAGGCAGCTTTAGATGTGTGTATGGCATGTAGGTTTAACTACAGTCACAGAAATTTTATATAAGATTGCTCGAGTAAAAATGTATCATCCTTCATTGTTGCAATTCATTGCTGATGCTGCAAGTCTACTTAGGATAGTCGAATAATCAATCCATGCATGTACCGCAGAAATAAAATCAAAGCAATACTTTTGTGTTCCGACCTTGAACTCCATAAATTCAGACATTCAGCCTGTCCAGCAGCAAAAACGCCCATGTTAGGAGTAGGAGATAACCTCCCGGTGAAAGCCACCTCGGCAACCATAAAACATACGTGGAATGTGTTTTTTGTGAACCCAAACAATGTTGACCTCCATGGAAATAGAGATAGGAAGCAGATGAAGCGGAGGGGAGTGATTCGGAGCAGGCTGAGCGAACGTCAATACAAAACCGAAGCAAGTCCTTCGCAGAAAGATAGAAAGAGGGGAGACTCCGTCGCATCTACCAATATCTATATCCACCACCGCTTGGCACGTCTGTTGCCATGAAGTATCGTTAGCAGTGAGGCATTACATTAAGAGAAGGGTATCCGCAGGTGTCGGAGGAGTCAGTGGATTCATCTATTCGTCCATCCAGCTCCAACCTCATTCGCTTGTCGTCTTCCAACTGCGGTGTTGTCTAAAGGTATTTCGGCCTCTATTCGGTAACAGAGGGAGAAACCCGGATGCAGACAAGAATCGAAACGCTTTGGTCCGAGTCGAATGGTCGCCAGGCACGTGGTCGTCCGTTCGAAATCGCCCTGGAGATGAGTATATACGAATACGCTGCAAAGTCTATCGGGGTATAAGCGGCGGGAGCCTATTAGAAAGGAGAACGCCGACCCAATGCAGAAAAATGACAAGTTTTCCGGGCCGTGTCGAAACACCGAGGCTATATGCAACTGTGGCAAAAGCCGCGAGTATCCAGTCTATGTGTGATGTGTCTATGTCGAAAGTCGTAATGCGTAAAGCGGTACTCAAACAACTGATCAGGGGAGGGGAGGATCCAGACAAACAAGAGCTGCGTCGATGGCGCTTCGGCAGGTGTGGCTTTCTGGCCCACGTATACTCGTGCCCAAGCCTGCCGGATCGTCCGTGGGCCTTGCTCGAGCTGGCACTTTGGGGTTCATGTGTGCTTCGACGGGACACACTACATCTGCATGTCTTCGCCGATGCCGGGCAGTCCATTGGCCATGTTCATTGACATTGGGTTGTTAGCGGCGTTGGCAAAGGCACTTCGGAGCCCGGCAGCCTGAGCTGCAAGTTCGCAGGCCGGCGAGTGAGACTTGTGCTTTGAGTTTGTTAGCCTCAGCCCCAGTACACAAGAAGCCGCAGGACTTACGTATTTGAGACCGTTCAGATTCTTATATCGCTTGTTGCAGTATTCGCACTTGTGGGGTTTCTCTTTTTCCATACCTAGTTCACCAGGATACGGCGCAGACGTTTCCGGGTTGACAATGGAGAAGGTGCCGTCCTTATTCTCATGCAACTGCTGGTTCTGGTGTCCGTGCTGTTTGTGGTACCTGGGTGGTTGCTGATTAGCAGGCGAACTCGGGGGGCGGGGGAAACCGCAACGCGACAACTCACTTCAGACCGTTTTGGTTCTTGTAGGCCTTCTCGCATCCAATGACGGGGCACTTGAAGGGTTTGTCCTCCTCTCTGGGTATCATTAGACCGGCTGGGTTTGCGCTGATGGCACGTTGGAGGACGGCAAGTTGGTGGGGATCCGTAATGTCTCCGAATTGAGACTGGTCCAGGCCGAATTGAGCCATCTGCTGTTGAAGATTGCGCTGCTGCGCAGACGCGCCACTCGGATCGTACAGATGCTTGGCGGGATTGTCGATGAAGAACTGCAGATCTTGGCCGAATCCTGAGAAGTCATTGAGGTTCATGTTGGCACTGAGATCGGTGGAGAGGTCATCATCCAGGCCGTGAGCACCAGCACCGGCCCGCCCGCCCAGTGCTTGCTGTGTTGTTAATGTTGGGGTGTTGACAGAGGAGACAGTGGGGTTGTTGGGGAAGCCGAAACCGGTGGCACCGGGTGTTGATGGTTGCGAGGTTCGCAATGCCTGCTGGGACATGCTGGTGCTGTTCATATTCAGCTGGAGTTGCGGGCGCTGCTGTTGACCGAACATTTGGCGCGTCTGTTGGATGGTTCTCTGGTTGTTGTCGTCCATCTCCATGGTGCCAATGGTGTCGTCCATCTCCATGTCCGCAATAGCGTCCAGCTCGTCGTTGGTTTGCACATTAAGCAAATGGGACTGCTTGTGCGCCGAGTGGTTCATGCCCGACTGACCTCCCAATTGCATACCTCCAAATCCCATGCCGGCCATACCGTTATTTATTGCGCCGCCATTTTGTTGGCCCAGACTGAAATGAGCCTGGGTGTGGAACCCTTGCGAACCCTGGCGCCCATTGTCCATTGAAGTATTTGCGATGGAGGGTCTACTGGTAGGTATTCTTTGGCTCATCTGGTTGCCGGCTCTGCTCGGCTGAATTACGCCAGTGTGTTCCGTTTCATAATGACGCAATAGGTCGTGCATCGTTTCCAGCTCTTGGTCGCAGCACGTAAAGTGTCGCAAGAACTCAGCCTCCATCTTAGGGATGTAAGAGGAAGAGTGGAACGAGGGCGACTGATACGCGCCCGCGAATGGCGACGTTCCGGTCATGAGAAGGCTGCAGCGGGAGCCGAAAGCGTCAGTCAAGGCACAACAGATTCGGATTACAGTGAATGATTCACACGTGAGGCCAGAATGTCTCAAGCGTAGTTGGCGGTGGATTAGACGGAGGCAACTTACTCGTCCTTAATGTAACTGCCCACCGAGATGCCCCCCCAGCTCATACCGTTCATCAAACTACCAGCAAGGCTCTCCCGGCGCGCGCGCCCGTGGTCGCGATTGGGATTCATGGAGATGGGTTTGGGGCCAGCGCTCACGAAGGAGTCCTGGCGACTGCGGCCAAAGGCCGAGTCGAGCGCCGGTCCTGTCGTCATTTCTGTATCGTAGTCGTCAATGGTGATTGTGAGATCGAAGTTCAAATCGCGGTCGGGGCCGAGTTCAAAGGCCGAGTCGCAGGCTTGATCGATTCCAGATATGCGGTTCGGCTGTTTGCTTTTGCCAATGTCCAAGTGGGCGGCGACGGGCGATGCAGAATTGGAGGTGCGGATCTTGGGGATGGCGATGTTGATGGGCTTGGTGCGTGTTGGGCTGAGGCCGAGATAATTAATGTGTGACGACGAGTCGACCGGCGTCGCGGGTTGTGGTGAAGGGGAAGGCGACTCAAAAGAATGGGAAGAGGAGGGCGTTGGAGCAACAGCGGAATCGACGGTAGGGGAAGATGCACCGGCGGTTGTGCGGCTGACAGGGCGCTCGGTATTACTAGTCATTGTCCCCGTCCTGCCATTGCCTGTCAACCAACGGTTTAGGCCCTTCATGGCGGCGATGTGGGGGGTTCAGGTCCGGACAGAAACGTGTATCCAAATCAAATAAAACCTGCAGCGGATGGGTAATCGGTAAACGATACTGTCTCAGCGAAATCAAGACAAATAATAAGACCCTTGCAATGAGTTACTGGAGCCTCCGTTTGATTTGCCTGGGGAGGTGTGTGAGAGAAGTGGAATGGGATGATTCATGGGACGTGGTTGGGATAGAGGGATACGGATGCTCAAGTGTATTAGATGTAGACGATCTAATAATGGGAACTTGACGTCTTGCGCCGCCGCCTCTTTTGCAACTGTCAGAAGCCTGGGACGTACTCGAGGTAACGACGGCTTGTGCGACCAAGTTGGTTCAAGGGTCCAGGTTCAGGGAAGGCGCTAAGGGGATAAACGGTATGCAAGCGGGACTTGGGACTGGGTGGTAGATATGTAGTAGCGGTGGGAAAGAACGACCGTCCTTGTTGCCTCTCTTGTGACTGTGGCACCCCAACCAAGCACAGAGGCAGTTGACAAGCTTTTGGTAACGACGTGCGCTTGTTTCCATGTAGATTTGGCGGCTGCAGATGCCACATGCAGTGTGAACTCAAAAACGATACGTCCTTCCCGTCACTTCTGAGTTTGGTGGTCGGCGGCGTGAGGGTATCGTGTAAGTGCACCAGTGTCTTTCCGGCCGGACCGCAACCCAGCACGCGACAGCATGAAAAAGCGCCCGGGGTGATCCCAGACACACCGGGAGAGTCTGGAATCTCGAGGTGGCTCGTCGGCGCTTTCAGCGACTTTCAGTGGAGAATTGCACCGCGCGTTCGAGGATGTCCTGCGAAAGAAGTTCAACCTGGAGACATTCGGACGACGAGGAGGGCTAGCAGCACCGTCACGGCAAATATGTTCCGAAAGTGGAATAGGTGCGGTAGGTAGAAATATACATCAATGCCCGTGATTAATGCCCCCCAAGCCCCATATTACCTTCATCGTGGGACCGGGGTTGAGAAAGCCAAATGCCAACTAGATTTCCAGTCTGCTGGGAATGGGCTGTTGATGGGTTGGTGTTCATTATGGGAAAAGCCAAACCAAGGTACCTCGAACGGCAAATAGGCTAACAGCAAATGGGCTTAAAGCAAGCAACCAAGCCCTTGGTGAGTAACAACTTATGACAACTCGAGCTCGAGGTGACATTTCTACGTATCCGCTTCAGGGTCCGGAAGCAGCCATTACCAGCTGGCGAATTCTCAACTAGTCGTGTGACCGACTGCGGCTGCCGACAGCATCAGTTGCGGTGAGCATTGCATCAGAAATAAGTGAGGAAGAATGATGGTGTGAAGTGCACACGATACACATCCGTCCTGGCCTCGAGGTTAGACCCCACGCTTACAACCCAGCAACTCGATTCAGTACCGATCAGGCAATGCAACGGTGCTGGGATTCGCTGCAGGCAATCTCTCTGGCGGCGGAAACGCTTGCATACTTGACGTACAATATGCCCGTGAGAACTGACATCATTTTTACTCCTTCATGACATTGCACTTATTAGGTTGGTCGATCGCCTACCTCAAGTTTTGACTCCTAGCTTTCTCGTTCAGTCGCTTCTGGGGAACTCCAACCAGCCAGCGTTGCATACCGAGGGAAAATAACCATCCTGGGTAATAGACATACATACTATGATGTTGTCAGAAATCCCACTTGCACCCCGGGCAGAGGCATGCAAGGCTGGCCTTGGGTCACATGTGCCACGTCCTGGGCACGGCCTGACGAAACCCTGCGAGGCTCGTGGGAAAATGTGGGTGGTCCCACCAATGAGGATAGCGAAGCGACAGGCCGAGCAACATAACTCGACGGCCTTGCCCCTGGTTGCCACACCTCGTCAACTCCATACCGGGCCCTATTGGATCCAAACGTCATAAAGGCTACGCTGAGTGGTGACTCTTACATGTTTCCCTTGATGATAATACAGGCACAGAGGTGTATGTATGGTGCTGAGTCTCCGGTGATTGCCCAGTCGTCTGGGCAAAGTCTAAAAGTGCTCGTCATCTTTTCGAAATCGAGGGCCCGAGATGGGCATTGGGAGAGCAGACGACTGGCAAGAGGAGCGTTTTGCTTGACTCATGCCGCCGCCGCCGCCTCGAAGCTAGCCGGCCATGCCCATGTGCGTCTCCCACGCTTATTGGACGGGCTCGCCCAATGCGGCCACCCTCCGCGCAGACCAGCCTTAGCGGGGATTCATCTTGGCATGGGTTGGGACCCATACACGAACCTAACCATATTGACCCGGTTGTGCAACGGACCACAATCTGCAACGAAATACCATGGGTTTTCAAATCGCCATATAGTACTAACGAATAGTAGTCCGAAGTTATAACTTCATATACTAACAGAACTTATTTTCAACAGTACTATAGTAGCAATAAAATAGCTAAAACTAATTAATTAATATAACGCGATCACAAACCAATTAATTATCGAAGCTACTTGTACACTTCTAATATTACCTTTCTCTTCCCGTAACCTTGAATTATTAGCTATATTAAGTACCCCTCTGGCCTACAGTTACTTCTTTTTGGTTAGATAACGCTTACTAAGTAGGTAGTTAGTCTCCTTAAGGTACTCGCTATTTTAGTATAAAAGAGTATTCTCATATATTATTACGGTATATAAATAGTCATTACCTTGTCGCTTTTATATCAATGTTTAAGACTTGTTACGAACCATTAAACCTGGACCAACAAAGAAGGCCTGTTGGCAGGCCAGAGTGGACACGCTCGCTAGGATCACGGGACCCCGCATCGGAAGAACGACGGAACGAAAGGTCACGTGACTAAGTACCTCGGTACCTGGATATATTGGATCGAGATAGATCCAGTTCGAGCCAGGCTCGAGAGGATCATGGATCGATCCAAATGATCCAACAGGATCAGTGAAGGAGAGATGGATATATAATGGACAGGACTCCCAGGCATTTCATAGATAGACAGTCTCTACTTCAGTCATCAATCTAAGCATCAATATAACCCATTGGTGAGGCAAACTGCCTTGACGACTCTATTCCCAGTTACCCTACTTGAATACTTCAGTTACCCAGAGCCCTATACTCCATACGTCAGACCCCGATATTATTGCTAAGGACTCCGCAGCAGGACTTACTTACTAGCACAAACCCTTACAGACTCTTTAGTGGTTTACGCAGCTAGACTATTATAGGTTTCGTTACAAGGGTCTGAACACGTTATCGGTCCTTCGTACGGAGTTGCTGTGTACACTTTTCCTTTGGATGAGGCATCGTTGTAATAGTTCCCGTAGTTCTGTGCAAATAATTGAGATCAAGCTAGGCAGGAAAATGTTGGCTCTTGCTGTCTTTAGAGTAGTAGCGTGCACGGGCCGGCCCCGTCGGTACTTGGCATGGGGGTGGTATTTCGGCCTGACACCATAGTTACACCTGCAAGGAATCAACCATCACAGATGCAAGTGGAGTTTCTTTCGCCAAACATCCAACGACTATTCTGCTTTTTTACTAGTCTATTCGTGGTAATTACCAGTGACCTCAAGCGCTCCACTATGATTATGGTCGCCGGTTTTTTCAATGGGCGAAGGCACAAAAACTTGAATATTGGCTTCCGCGACAATCAACCAGTTGCCACCTAGACTAGCATTCGACCATATTAACTAACCTTGACTTGACATATGTCTCAAATGATTTGGTTTGCATGCTGTGGTACGGTATGTCCAACCAGTGCATGCGCTCCAATAGCGTCGGCCTGATTGAGACGGCCGCAGTTGGTCCACACGCTCGCTCTTGCATAGAATTAGTATGCGAGGAGTGAATTCTCCAAACACTGGTCTTCTACCATGGTCAATTACACCCCACTCGAATCAACATGGCCAATCTCACTCATGTCGTTTCTACTGTATTTATTCACTCATTTGCTCAATTACTGCAACGGTGGACTCGTTCATGCTCAGCTTGTTCATGCATTGATATAAACGAAGCAACACACCCACAGCTGATTATTCGCTAAGAATGGTTGAAGGGTTCTGCGTCTATGAAGATAGATAAGCATAGCTACGACCACCCAACAACCGACACGTCAATCAAATTTGATTCCGTTGCCAGATCTATAGCCTCGTAAACAATCAACCGGAGATCCTGCCCCCCACACTCCCCCCCTCTCTACCGTGCTCTGACCGATGATTTGATATTATTCCTAGGTATCCCGGACTTTCATAGTCTGTCAAGTCGCAACTACTTGCCCAGAATGGACCAACAGCATCGCTCACCGCCTGCACAGTAGGTATATTCAGGAGGACGGCAGACTCTTCTGTTTCACACAGCAGCATCGTGCTGGAGACTAATGTGGTACTCTACTGCATACGCATAAGGTATATTCACGAGTCGCGCCAACGGCGGCTTATTGGACCAGCCGGTTCAGCTGCGTGTTCTAGAAGCCAGATGGATGCATTTTAGACGGGTTCCAAGGGGCTACACTAGAGCCTAAGAATGCCATCTGACGTAGCACCTGGTCTTACCGCAACACGCCGCCCCCCAGAAGTATGCAGCAGGATTGCATTTCTCCGTCGTTGGTTTTGTTTGAACTCCTGGAGAAGGACCGCATCGCGACTTCTGCAACTAGCTTAAAATGTGTTCGATCCAAAGGCAATTATCCCCTCAAATAATGGGACCCAGATCGCCAAGAATTTGAAACACCGCCGGCGGCTGTCGTTACCACATTCAAACAATGGAGATTGTCTTCGATTCCTTTCCCCTCCGAATTGCCCCTTCCAGCCTTCTAGGACGCTACATAACCCGGTACACAACCCGGTACAGTGGGTACCAACTCCCCAACGTTGGAGTTGCGACTTGTTACGCAAGCTCTTCATTTCTTAGCCAGCCACCATAGAACCGTGGCAAACGTAGGAACCCGATGCTCGGTCTGAGCGAATTTCGCCGTTTAACTCGGCACCGATAATCGAGAATTTAAGTAAGCAAGGTAAGGGAACGGAAGCGCTTCCATGGAAACTGCCAAACTGCTGGTAGCGATCTCACGTCGAACTTGAGTCCGCCGCCAATCTTATTGGTTTGTTGTGGTAGGGATGGCATTCCCGCCTTATACTACGAGTGCGCCATAACGGAATAAGAGCCGTGCGCCGAAACCAAATGTATGAAGGCCATTGATGTGGCGCCAGCCTAGGTCGTATCTCCGATCTTCTTTTCTTCGAAGCCCGGTTTATTTGGAATGAATCGGACATCCCGCATCTGAAAGCCCACAAGGTTAGGGTGAGTTTAATATATGAATATATCATGAAAGTTTCCCAAGCTCAAGGGGTTGTTTACCCGTGGTGAGCATCCTCCGGCTCCGGAATGACTTAGCCGAGATTAACCGAGATCCAGGGATTCGGAACTTTTTTCTACAAGGTTACACAACTGCCACTAACAACCATTACCAATAGCGAGAGAGATAATCTCTGCAGAGCTCATCGCCTTTTCCAACCAGACACGAATTCTCAAATCTCCCATTTCGTATCAACACGCGCCTTAGATTACAGGTTAGAGAACGAAACTTTCCAGCTGCATCTGGATGCACAAAGCCGTTCCGGCGCTCCCGGTGCTCCCGTTATCATGGTTGGCGGCACACTTGCAAGGGTTATATCGTCCTATTTGTACTCTGAGTCTACGTATATGTCGTTACGGAAGAGCGAACAAGATGTGAAATTGACGAACTGCTAAAGACGGGTGCACGACGGGGTGAGCCGTGCGGAGGAGCATCCCCAGTAGCTGCAGGACGAAAACTTTCGACTGACATGAAGCCCAACTTTATTTGATTAAAGTAGACGAGTTTTGGTTTCCTTGGTATAACCTCTAAGGTGGATGCGAATGCGAGGGAAAGAGTGAAACTATCTGACATTTGCCGTTCTTTTGCTAATAACTCTAGAATGCTGGAGAAGTTACCAATTCAGCGGGACGCGCTACAGGTCGAAGTCGCCGAGCTTCAACCTCGCCTGCATGGTTGCACTTGATGAGAAGAGGACGCCGACAAATCCCGAACCAGTAGGGTTGTTGAGACGTTGCAGCATGGGAACACCAGCTGGACGCCAACCAAACGGTTAGGATAGGACATTGTGGCGGGAGAGCATAATCGTGCAACACTTACCACATTGCGGCAACGAATAACGGCCGTCAGTGGGATAATTTCGTGGCTTGAAGGGATTCAGCAAACCTGGCAGTCGGGATTCGCTCGGGGTCTGGAAATGGGTCAATTCGGCCTTCGAAAATCATCATCGTCCCATACACGCATGATATCATGGATAGTTTTCGGAGCTTTCCTGGCAAATTGGCTGGAAAGTGATGTTTCTTTTAACCGCCTGCTTACGTCCATTTTTCGTTTGTAAACACGATGTTTTTCATATAAGACCAATATAGGCACTCACACGGTCAAATCGTGCGTTTTGTTTCGACAATCAGATCACAGCGGAGCAATTCGGATATCTTGCACCGAGCTCCCCCGCCTCCCCACCCATTCTAATCCGTACAACATACAACCTTATACGCCAAGTCCCTCTTGAAGACAACATCACACGCACGTCATCATTCCAGAATAGAGACTGCGATTTTCTCAACGCCACAAAAGCAATTGAATTCACGGCATCACCTATCATCCGATTAACCAGATCAATTTTGCCCTTCGGCCGCTGTACTACCTCCCACATCTGATCAAGCCGCCAACATGAAGGTCGTGTCGAAAGAAGAAGAGAAGGCACACTACAATGTCGTGCTCAAGGGTGGCTTCATCGGCGGCTCCCTAGGCGTTGGCCTGGGTGTGTTGGGCGTCATCGGCGCTTCGAAACGGTATCCAGCCTTCCGGGGCCTAACTTTACCCTTCCGATCGTTCTTGGTGACGTCCACAGCGACATTCGGCGCCATCGTCAACGCAGAGCGCTGGAGCAATGATTTTCAAAAGCGTAATAATCCGATGAGCTTCTACAAAGACGAAGCGACGCGGGTCATGGAGCTAGCACGCGAGCAAGAGACCACTATGGAGCGCCTCCAGCAATGGGGCAAGACGAACCGGTACAGCATCGTCTTCGTGTCGTGGCTGGCGGCCATGGGCTTATCCCTGGGTCTCGTCGGCCGCAACAAGTACCTGTCGACGTCGCAGAAGCTCGTGCAGGCCCGTGTGTACGCCCAGGGCCTGACGCTCGCGGTGCTGGTGGCCACGGCCGCCTTCGAGACGCACGACGCGCGCAGCGGGCAGGGCCGCTGGGAGACGGTCAAGGTTCTCGACCCGAACGACCCCGAGCACAAGCACCTCATTGAGAAGCGCATCCATAAGGAAGAGTACGAGGGACAGGATCTGTGGAAGGACATGGTTGCTGCTGAGGAGAAGAGGATAGCCGAGCGCAAGAGCCAGCAGTAGCAGACGCCCGAATTCGAAGCTGCCCAATCCCAATAACGAGCGAATGGTGGTGGAAATTCATGTTGTTTCCTGATTTGAGCAAGACAGCCGAGCAGCGAGCCGCTGGCTTGGTGGGTGGGGGTGGCTTTGCATCTCGACTTGTAGAGGCCGGAGTTTGGCGTCATTTCCTGGCGTTTCAATTGGGTAGTGTTCATCACTATCCTGTAGAGGATACCCATCGAATAAACTGGGAGGCATTGGTCCATAAAATGGGTGAGGTCCTGAAAAGTATTCGGGTTGACGGAAAGCATGCTGGGCCCTACGTGTACACTGACGGTCGATAATGGATAAGGCGTCAAACCGATACAGATACAGATACAAATACAAACAGACCTGGTGTATCTTCAAAGCAAACTGCGCTCCCATTGTGAATCATAGCTCAAAACAATCCCCTTTCCAAGTACCGGGGTGTTCCCACGTACGCCTATTCATTGGATAGATATCCGGGGCTGCCACCCAGGCCTCGATATCCCGCAGCAGATGGCGCTAGCTTACATAGCTTTCTCGTTTACTCAGACTTCGATCGTGAAGTGGCTGATTTGCGAATAGTACGCATGGACGGCTAGCTCCAATATCCACACGTCACTGAACACTTCCCCTCCGTCAAACCCCCCTATTACCACGAGCCGGCTATCATATAGTATCGAGCCGTGATAACCCCGGCCACTCGGTGGCAGACCGTACACTTTCCTCTTATCCCAGGTCATCGTCACTAGGTTGAGCAGGAGCACATCATTCGAGTACTCATTTCCATCGTGGCCGCCCACGACGAACAAATAAGACCCTACTATCGTCGCTGTATGAGATAACCGCCGAAACGTAATAGGTATACTCACGGCCTTCCAGATGTGCGCATCGACGTCGTACACCCATACGTCGTTGAAGCACTCTCCACCATCTGACCCACCGTAGATGATGAGCTTGCTTCCGACCATGTTTGCCGTATGATACCCCCTCGCCTTGGGTTTGTTGTCAGTCGAAGGCATGCCGCCGCTCGGGGACCCAGACGTCGGCCCCGATACCAACTTCCAGCTCATCTTGTGTATATCGGATACATCCAGCCTCCAGATGTCATTGAGTGCCCTGACGCCGTCACCGCCGCCAAAGACGTAGATTCCGTTCTTGTATAAGCAAGCCGTATGTGCCCGCCGCGCGCTGGGGGCCCGATCGCCCACGATCCGCGGCCGATGCCAGCGGAAGTTGACAGTGTCCAGCACATAGACATCATTGTAGTATGCCGGGCCGTCGCCGCCGCCGAAAATGATAAGTTTCTTCCCCACGGCGGTGCATGTCATGGCCCGAAGTGGAACAGGCATGTCACCGACTACGTGTGGACTGCTCCAGTGGAACGAGTCCGCATCCAGCACGTACAGCTCGTTGAAGCAGGCGCGCGAGTCGCAGCCCCCGAAGACGAAGACGTTGCTACCAACCAGCGTCGTCGTATGTGCGCGGAGGGGCGTGTGAGAGACGCCCGACACGGGGGCGCGCGACCAGTACATGCCCGACGACGGGGCAGCGGGCACGTCGAGAGCCATCTTCGAGTCTTGGAGTGGGGGGAAGGCAGTGTACGGGCCTCTCAACCGCGTCGAGGCGGTGGTTTTGCGAGGGGCGGCGGCTGTCGTCGTCGTCGAAGTGCCGCCTACGCTGGTCTGTTGTTGCTTGCTGGCGATGGCGGACGTTGACCGCAGGCCCATCGGCCGTTTCGAGTCGCTATCTATACCGTCGGTGGACGTGTCTATTGGGGGCACTGGGGAATTAGCAGCAGAGGCGGAGGCGCCATTGCCATTGGGTTTGAGGGCGGGCGTCGGTGTCGGGTGTGGCGGCGGGGGCGAGGCGATAGGAGCTTTGGCTGTGAACGATTGCGAGCGCTGCCGGATCGACGTCTCTGAGGCCTTGCGGCGGCCGTGACTCTGGCTCTTGGACGATAGGTGACCCGGCGTATGACTGCGTACCGGTAGGTTGGGTGCGCGGTCGAGAGCCTCCTCGTGCTCCTGTTGGGACTCCCAGTCGGAGCCGGGAGCCGTCAGTTGGATCTTCTGTGACCTCACCGTCCGGTGTTTGTTGGACGATGGCGGGCGGGGATTATCGGCCATGGCAGCGGTTGTCGTGATTGACTGTCATTGCCCCTCCTGCCCTTATGTTGCTGTATTTTGCAGTATCTCGAAAAGTCGATCGGCAGTCGTGGCAAAGGCAACAATCTGGGGCGGTGGACTTGGCTGGCACGCAGCTTATGTTGATGTTGGTCGGTAACTTGTTTGGAGTAATTTGGTTGCAAGTCTCAGCATTGCAGGTGCAAATGCAGATGCGGCTTTCGGTATCGCAATGAGTGCCCAGGTGATACTGCAGGAGGTAGGCCAACACACAAAACATAAGGTACGGAAGATCGCGTCGGATTAAGTTGCAGGATGATAGACGATAATTAATACGTCGCATGTTATGATTATTATGCGTTCACAGCCGCATCGTGTTTGGCCGGGGATCCCCCTTCAATCTTCTTTTTAGTACATAGTAAAGCTACTTTACTTCGCAGTATCCAATGTATCTGCGCAGACGGCAGAAGACAGACCTGAAAGCCAGCAGGCTGGCAGGCTGTAATAAGGCCCCTGCATTAGGAAGCTGCAGCTGGCCATCATCAATCAAGAGCGAGCTGAGCGCCGCCGCCTGTGGCCTGGCCTAGCTCTATGCCGTTCCGGAGAGTTCCAATTCGGCTATCATGACCTAGACAAGGTTGCATTGCAGTGCAGAGACACCACGAAGCCTGTGATGATCCACTGTCTGCAATTGGCCCGTTTGGAAGTTTCAGAAAAATCTTGTTGGTTGTCAACATTTGACCCCTTGTGCTGCCTTGTCACCTGATTGATAATTATTAGGATATCTGGTCTATCTGGTGCATGACGATGATGCACTGCTGCGTTCATCTATTTGGAGCACATACCTGACACAACGCGTTCAGTCACAGCGAACGCAGGTGAAGTCCAATAGCACCCAGTAGTCTGTAGAGACTGGCACTCTTGGATCCATGCGGCATGCCATGTCAATGCAAATTGTATGGCATTCTTAATTTTATTTGTTGTTCTACCGTTGGGTTTAGCTGATCACGAGCAGCAGCTACCACCTAACCTTACTTGGGACACTAAAGAGCCCGAACAAGCGGGTAGTTTACAAGACTTTCCATACTCGTTCAGTTCTTGACCTCCAAAAACATGTTTAAGAGAATATTCAAAGTGCCACCTTGTTGTTGACGTTGACCAATGGTCGAGGCACTCTGGACCCACTATACTCAATACACAATTGGTGGGGCAAGCCGCTCGTCTAGATCGAGGTCTGAAAATTCCATGTCCAATTGATACTGTACGGCCAATAAAATTCATGCATCGACATCTCATCTCAAGAGGCCAACTAGTCGCTTAACGGTCGAGGTTGGGTGATTGATTCATCAAGAATTCGAAATGACTGCGAACGGGCCTGCCGAGGCGGCGGCTGTTTCAGCTACTGCCTCTGGGTCTGATGGAGCTGTCAAGCGGCTAAGCGACAGCGATGGATTAAGTGGCCGACCCATCGATACGGTCGATGGCCCAGCATTGAAAAGACTCAAGACAGAACATACAGATGAAGACAGCATTCAACCGCCGTCGACAGATAGAAGAAAGGGAACCGCGCCTGTCAAGGCGGAGTGAGTTTCTTCATTGAGAACCCACGGGGCATCTGCTTACAGCTCTCCAGGTATCTCATCCCTACCTCCGACTTGAACGCTCAGGTCCAGGTAGACGACGATGCAGCCGAAGCCTCTTCGCATAGAGATGACCCCGCCAATGGCAACCCAGATGCACGGGGAGACCGCAAGGGCAAAGACAAGAAGGGGAAAGGTCGTGCCAAACAGAACGGCCAGAACAAGGAGCGGACGTACGGCCACTTCTCGGATGAAATCAAAATCTGCAACAGCATCAACTTCTCCAACGAGTTCTCGCCGCGCGAGTGCAAGTTTGCGGGGCGGTGCAACATGTGCCACGATCTACGCAAGTACTTGAGCGAAGGCCGACGGGGCGACGTTGAGAGCTTTGGTGGTAAATGCCCCGTCTTCGAGAAACATGGCCGGTGTCCAGCTGGATGGAGATGTCGTTTTATCAAAAGTCATTCCAAAGAGCTTGAGAGAGAGGATGGCCGCAAAGAGATGGTTCTCGAAGGGGCTGCCGATGACGACGATCAGAGACCTGGGGTCGTCAATGTCGCAACCAACGATCAGAAGTGGACTTTGGCCAAAAAGAAGGCTAAGCTTGAGAAATCGGATGAGTACATCAAGTGGCTCAATGCCGATATGGACCTCACCCGAGAGTTCTACAACCGCAAGAAAGCATCCGGCAACGACAACCCGTCCGAAGCTGAACAGACTGCTCGAGAGGAAATGCGAGCTCAATTCGTCGACCCGCCATTCAAGGCGTCAGAGAAGAGACGACTCTACTTTGGCAGGGAGACTCCGGTATTGGCACCGCTTACAACACAGGGTAATATGCCTTTCCGCAGACTGTGTGTAGAACTTGGTGCCCAGGTCACTTACTCCGAGATGGCAATGAGCATGCCTCTTATACAGGGCCAAAAGGGGGAATGGGCATTGATGAAGGCTCACGAAACGGAGATAAGTCCTCCTCGGTTCACCCCTTCGTCAACTTCCATTGTTAAAGACTACGACAACTCTAGAGATCTCAAGTACGGTGCGCAAATATCTGGCAATCTGCCGTGGGTGGTTATCAAGGCGACTGAGGCTCTAACACAATATCTTCCCCACCTCCGCGTTGTCGATCTCAACTGTGGCTGTCCCATCGATATGGTTTTCAAGGAAGGTTCTGGCTCCGCGCTGCTCGATACGCCGCCGAAGCTGGAGAGGATGATTAGAGGAATGAATGCCGTCTCTGGCGAGGTACCCATCACCGCAAAGCTGCGGACTGGCGTCAAAGATGGACGACCGAATGCAACCAAGCTTATCGAGAGGCTAGCTTTCGGCAGTGATGACCAACGAGACAGACTCGGAGCCGCTGGTTGTGCTGCGGTCACTCTCCACGGACGAAGCCGACAACAACGATACACAAAGAGTGCAAATTGGTCATACATCGCAGAATGTGCAGCATTGATCAAGACGTACAACGAGCAGAAGAGCGAGCTAGCGGACACAATACGAGAACCGGACGCCAACACACAGGCCAACAATAACGATGGCAAGATGTACTTCGTTGGCAACGGTGACTGCTACTCCCATGTCGAATACTTCGACCACATCGACAATGCCAAAGTCGACAGCGTTATGATTGCCAGGGGTGCGATGATTAAGCCATGGATCTTTGAAGAGATTGAGAAGGGACAATACTTAGATAAGTCAGCCACCGAGCGACTTGGTTATATCGAGAAGTTTGTTCGTTTCGGTCTGGAGAACTGGGGCTCAGACGAGCTGGGCATTGGCTTCACTCGACGATTCCTGCTTGAGTGGCTGAGCTTTACTTGCCGATACGTTCCGGTCGGCCTTCTAGAGTACCTCCCGCCGAATTTGAACGACCGCCCGCCCGCCTACAGAGGGCGCAACGAGCTTGAAACTCTTCTTGCCAGCAGCAATTACAAGGACTGGATCAAGATCAGGTAAGCCTCCCAAACATTGCCGGTCTTGGGGTTTGTACTAATTACGTTTGCAGTGAGATGTTCCTTGGACCTGCTCATCCGGGCTTCAAGTTCCAGCCAAAGCACAAGTCTAATAGCCATGATATGGAGGCAGAAGGATAGAAAAGCAGGATTTGACAGTACTGCAATACCGAAGATCGACGTTATGCAGGCTAGCTACTTAAGTAGGTCATGGTTTGTTTCTATTGACCTCAATAGCTCAGCTTATGATGTAGCTAGCTACCTACGGAGCTACCCAACGTCCGCTGTGAGACTATAGATAGATAGACATCACAGCTTGTAGCGCGTTCTTAAGCCATCAAATGAAAACACGAATCACTGCAAACATGGTACTGAACTTGGCTTGACAACCCGTAAAAAGTCTTCACAGCTACGGTGTCGCAGGTACTTGATTTGGCCATGACAGTTTTCCTGAAAAAGAAGATGGCCATCATGGCGGAGTCGGAAGTAAGGCAATGCTGCGTTCGACTTTCGCAGTTGTTTCACTTCTGCATTGGGATACAGCATGACAAAAGGAATGAAAACCGTCCCCACCCCGCCCCGGCTATAGAGGTTGTGTTGGAGATCAACTTCTTCTACCTGGCATCAGTATGCAATTTTGCTCGAAAGGTCTGAATCTTTCCATATGCTCATCGTAGTTTATACATATATAATGCATGGCCTGAATTCCCTCCTAGGGTATCTGTGACTGTTCTTCCCAATAACTCACCTTATGTCGGAGGCAGGTACAAGGCGAGTCCCGAAAGGTTGACTAGCCGAGGCAGCGTTGTTTCCCGCCATGAGAAATTACATCCAGCTCGTGAGGCGACTTTGTAGTTGACAGTAGGATGAAGCTTGTTGCATTAAGTCGTGGTTCAGATGCGTACTTCTACAACCCGCTGAACTGAACTTGCTATTGCATCTGAGGTGACGTGTTGGGTTGTGATCGGCACGTGCTGTCCTGTGATGTGACATAGAAAAGCGAACTTGGTCCTACAAACGGACATACACTTGGATTTACCTACATGAGTACGATCTTATGCGGTTCGAAGGTATGAGTTCCCTATATGTTTTAACCCTTGGCCTCCTGCTGCCCTACTTGAGAAAGTACAGTGGGATACCTAGAAGTACTCCGAATTGAGGTCGCACCTGCTGTATCCTGCGGTTCAAATGCCATGTCACTCACTCTCTGGGAAGGAGCACCTAAGTCCACACTCCCAATACTTCAGTGAACCAATTTGGAGTTCAAGGAAGCAGCGTGGCCAAACCGCCTTTTCGGGTGCCTGCTTCGTCCTCGTCATTCATGCAATGCCCCAGTAACACTGGCTTGAATCTGTGTCGCCGCTATATTTTGACTGCACGGCGTGCCTCCTACCTGCTTCAAGATGGAACGCGCCGGTCGCAACAAAATCATAGAGCTGGAAAAGAAGCTCAGTTACGTCAAAGCCGACCAGAAGAAGTTCGACACCGCCCTTGACCTCATTCGTGAGACCGCCACCCGCCTGAAGTTGACGTGGGCCAATATTGACGCAGAAGCTGAGGAAGAGATGAAGCAGAGAACTAGAAAGATCAAGGCACATGGACAGGTCTCACAGCAGGGTATGGATGACATGATCAAGGATAACATCGCTCGGGATCTGTTCCAGGCTAGGCTTACCAGAACAAGATCCCAATAGACTTGAACGCCCCCATGAGGCTTCCTACTCAAAGGTTATCGGACCTGGCGTCCCGAGGCTCTTCAGCAGTGCTTCTCCTTACGTCTCCCAGCTCAGATACTGGAGTAAGCCAACCTGACCAAGATGTGCTAGGGGTAACACGGCTCACGGAAAATTGCCTCTTCAATGACCATTAGACTCATGTTATATCTAATCAATACCAAATTATCAAGTCGCGTCTCTCGTTTGCAAGATCTGGCCGTTACTCATCCTTCGCCAGATGGGACCGTGCTCCCTTCAGAGCAGCGAACTACATCTCTCCCATCAGACCAAAACATGTCTATGTCGACAATTTGAGGTACCCATCTAGTTCATCCTGAGCCAGACAGGTATATCCTCTAACCTTTACATAGCATTGAGGGTCCTTTACTTGTCATGGTTTGGATGCTTCACGCAACACGAAGCGTGGTCGCCAGAGCGAAGAAGGCTCTGAGTATGCCTCCTCAGACGGAGATTCCGAACAAGCTCCTGCGAACTCAAGACATTAGCTCAAACCGAAACCATGGCTCAACTTCGCCAGTACAGCCAGACTCTAGCTCATCTGCTCGACCACCATGCCGCTACCAAGTAATCAAGTCATTCAAGGCAGCCAGCGTCCATTCAAAGCTACCGCAATGCATATCGGCACGTACGACACCAAATAATACCACAGATGAACAGGTATGGGCTGGACCAAGAAGTAGAAGTAGAAGAGCTACACGTCAAATTAGCAAGAATAGTGGTAAGGCCGATAGTGGGCAATGGAGTTTAAACCGGGCATTACTTCGTCGATGGAGTCGAATGGAGCAGATCAATTCTTGTGTTCGCCTTTCTATGTCAAAAGATGGGACATAGCTTCTAGTCATTATTAGGGTCCGATGTTGAATACTAACTGGCTCCTACTCATGTCTACTTGAATGCCTACTCTATGGCGTATTCAGTTCAGCACACTGGCAAGGTAGAATGAGAACCAGGATATGGGTTCAAAGTAAAGAAAAACAAATCCAGCTAATGACTGGGAACTTGATCCATATTGTTGCTACCAGGATGGAAACTTGCGGAAGTAGATCAAAAGAACATACCTAATATGGTGAGAAGAATATATGTAGCCATTTCCAACGTCGCCCTGCTAATAACTAATACATACTGCGACGTACCGAGCGCAAAGCTCACTGCCCCCGGAATCCATAGCTTTTCACTCTGCTAAAGTAGAACGCCTTGTCATTTTTTAGCGTGAACTCACCCCAGTCATCCGTCAACTTATTGTAGCTCCAGAAGCCTTTCCACATGAGCTTATTGTTCTTGGCTGCCTTGCCGGCGCTCTTCAGCGATAGCTCCATTCTATACATATATTTAGGACCGACGCCATTCGTCTCGACGAAGAGATCACCCTCGACATCAGCCAAATCCCCATCTGGGTTGTCGATGGTCGATGAGAGGCGCCAGCGCCCTTTCAGGGCGCCGCTAATTACGGCGGAAGGCAAATGAGGCGCGCCGTTGTTCTGGTGTTGCATCAGGTTGTCCTTTGTGAGATGATGTACCACGTCTTTGGGCTCGTCGGTTGTGAGTAAGCTTATGACAGCACCATCACGGAAAAAGCGGAGATAGCGATAATAGGTGACAATGTGGACTGGGCTGTTCCAGGTGATGTGATGACCTGATGCTTGGCCGGCACGAATGTAGTTCACCGTACTGATGTAACATCCATTGAACCGAATTCTGGGACGTTGGCGAAACATCTTCAGCCAAGACGAAGCGTAGAGCGTGTGGATTAAGGCGTGCGTGGTGGCCTCGCTCTCATCAGCCCGTCGTTGCTGAAGTTCTTCTACGCCGCAGAGATTCTCACCAAGCTGAAGTTCAGGGTCGAGTGTCTCCCAGGTTATTTCCTTCTGCCAGTGATACACCATGCTGCCGAACCCGAATTCGGAGCCGAGGCAGACGCGCCGCCATATTTGGTCTTCTGTGGCGATCAAGTAAGCGAACCGCTTACAGACCTGAGAAAGCCGGACGAAGTCGCCGACATCCAAGATAGCTACATCTCGAAGGATGTGGAGGAGGATCTCATCAGGCAAATCTGAAATGGGACATGGCGGCGTGGGCATTCCCTCAACTTCTGCTGTTGACCCTTGCACGCTCATACCAGCGAAGCTTGCGATCAGGTCTGGCAGAGACAGCGTGGGACCGTCCAGGGAATGTTGTGCAACATTGGGCACCGTGATGGGGGCGTTCGATGGGTTGATTTGAGCTGGCTTCCACCGTCCAGGGAAATGCTTGTTCTTGTAATCTTGGTCGACCCGGCTGTCCATCCGAAAGGCCTTGCGGTACAAGCGCAAGCTATCGCCGAGCTTGCCGGTGGTCTCCCTGTCCACGGCCTTTTCGTAGAATTCCAGCGCTGTCTCTGGCTCCTTGTTATCAACTTCCGACGATTCAACTCTCACTGGTTCCCCGGCTGCCCCATGCGTGCTCAGCTCATCGAAGGCATGTCCTTGAACATACTCATCGTCGTCCTCGAGCTGTGCAGCACCTTTGGGTACTGCTGTCCTCTTTTGTGATGCATCTGGCTTTCGGGGCGGCTTGGAGGCAGATGAGGAGGGCCCTGCCTGGCTTGACGGCTGCGAAGCCTCAGGCTTCTTGGACCGGGCTGTTACTTCGGCCCGCCACTGTGCTCGAAAGGTTTCTAGTTCCGATTGTATCTTCTCTGGTGTTTGCTCGATGTTGTGTGGTTCTGATGACATTGAGAGCAGGTTATAAATCTAAAAGGTGTATCATGTGGTAACCGTCAAGACCTTGGATAAGATTTGTGGATTCTAGGGAGATATCAGGTTGATAATTCACAGATACCGTTGGGAAATGCATTGTGAGATTAAAGCACGTTGACACATATGGAGGTGAGATGGTTTTTTATCTTATCGTTAATTTGCTGCTAGCCTTTTGAATGGACAAAGAGCTGCAGCGACTTGCAGGGGTTAGAGATCTCGCCGTTACATTGGCGGTGACATCATAAAAAGAGCTTGGCCCCGTCAGCCCGAAGGGCGTGAGTGCCACTTTCCCCGTTATTTCCAGAAGCTCGGATCCGGTAAGGTACGGGTCTAGACCGAGGTTCCGAGCTCGATAACTCAGATAAAATTGATACCTTTTCCACATTTACCTAAGTATTTATGACGCGCAGAATACTCTAGAGCTCGATTCCGTGATCGCAGCTAGGTTTTTGCCGTCGCCTCAATCACGCCCCCTCATCATCTCAACCACAATCATCCCTCACCTATTTTAAATTGCACGACGTCCTTCAGGCTACATCGAGCTTACACCAAGGGCCTTTCCCGGATATCCGGGGATTGCCCACGATGAGTGCTCCTTGTAACCATAGCGACAGTGGCCAAACATACGGTAGACACTCTGCTCCTGAGGACGCTTTTGCGGGACGAACAATGCTATCATCCCAAGACAATGGCGGAGGCGCCGACATGGACATTTCGGCGCGCCAGAAAATGCTGTCAGCCATCTCGGGCAGCTTGTTGACTTCTTTACTCGGTGCGTCATGCTCTCTCTTATTCTTTTTTTTGTGCTGGCGCTGGCGGATTCAGAACGGTCGCATGCTAACTATGGACACACAGTGACACCTCTCGATGTGGTGCGCGTTCGACTGCAGTCACAAGGCGCACCTCAAGTATACACGGCAGATCTTTCAAAACTTGTCGCATCGACGCCGAATGCATTTCGACCATCGAGTCTTGGAGTTACCGCCTGCTGTCGCGAAGTTTTCTTCATGAACAATAACGCTGAAGCCTGTGTTGTTGGGCCACGAATAGAAGGTTTAGGCGGATCAGCTGCGCCTGGCGACTGCGCCATAGAACAGACCCAGAAAAAAGCTTTCAACTCGACACTCGACGGAATGCGGAAAATTGCCCGCAACGAAGGACTCACAACACTGTGGCGAGGCCTTTCTCCGACACTCGTCATGGCCGTGCCAGCCAACATCATTTACTTCACGGGCTACGACTGGCTGCGGTTCAACAAATCAAGCCCCATAAATAAAGTGTCTTCGGACGGCTATGCACCACTTATTGCTGGAGCCGCAGCCCGAGTTGTTGCTGCGGGGGCCGTGGGCCCCATCGAGCTGTTCCGAACTCGGCTTCAGGCATCCTCGGGCGATTCGACGACAAATCATCTCGCAAACACCTTCAAGGGCATTAAAGAAATGGTTGTCGCCAATGGGTACAGGTCTCTGTGGCGTGGCCTCACCCTCACTTTGTGGCGGGACGTACCATTTTCCGGCATGTACTGGTGGGGGTACGAAACAATCCGGGGCAAACTCACCGATATTCGAGCAGAGCGTCGGGGTCGGCCCTTGGTGCGGGAGGACGGTTCACGAACCCGAGCGCGTAGTCGATCGCAAAGTAGGGAGAATCACACCGCAACCTTCATGGATAGCTTTACCGCAGGGGCTTTGTCGGGCGCTTTCGCTTCCATCATGACGATGCCATTTGATGTTGGCAAGACTCGCACACAAATATTCCGAGACCCTGCCAAGATCCCTTATGCAAATGCAGAGAAGACGACAGCACCAGAGCAGCGGTCACTGGTACAATTACTCTGGCACATTGTCCGCACCGAGGGTGTGGCTGGGCTTTGGAAAGGTTGGGTGCCTCGAACCCTGAGGGTGGCCCCATCGTGCGCCATCATGATTAGCAGCTACGAGATAGGAAAAAGAACCTTCAGGAGCATGAACGAGAGGGCGGCAAGGAAACAGCACGAAAGCTGAGGAAAGCCTGACGGAAACCGCATTCCCACCTGTTGATTATTTGTTGCACTGACCGGCGTTCTCCATGTTTATGATACCTACACATATTGCCCAAAAGCTTTTCTCCATAGAATTTGGTGGTGCATCATGAGATGATTTCAAGAGCAGAACCGGCGTTTCTGGGTGTAAGATGCGTTGTACACTAGCAAGACTTGGAGAGGCTCTAAAAGCCATCATTGTAATTAAAAAAAGCCGTGATCTTGTTAAGCGCTAATTTGGGATGATTTCCGCGTGATGAGGGCTACGAGGCAAAATCCATTTACACGTACATGCCGCTCCAACGCGAGCATTTCGCGACTGCTTTGACTCCGCAACGCGGTCAATACGCGTCTTGACGCGTTATCTTGTTTAATAGGGTTTAATTCGTGCCATCCTTGCTATTACGTGCCCTACTGATGACTTGAGGCTGCGCTTGCAATTTTCTGCCCTGCAACAATCCTACTGACCCTCCCGATTGACTATTGAGCTTCACCGAATTCAATTGTACCGTATCCACCGCCCCAACTGAGTTCCATCATCAATAGTGGAGAGTTGATGTTTAGCTCTTCCGTTCTATCTCGACTCGTCACGATTTCGTCCCCACGCATCTTGAAGTGTTTCCTCATTCAACCTCGCAGAGTAGTAGTACTTTTTTCTTCGCCGCAGAAACTTACAACTGCAATTGCATTACAGCATATTTCTGCAACATTTCATAACTACTCCTCTTTTCTCTTTCACACCATATTCACCCTCACCGCCTGCACAATGTCATCGACAAAACGCAAGGCCCTCACCACGGATGAGGGCAACAAGAAGGCCAGGACGGGTGGCAACGCAAGCATCACGTCCTTCTTTGGCGTCCCGAAGCCGGTTGCTGCTGTTACTAATGGCACTGCGAAGGGATTAGCTGCCGCTACCGCACCCGAGGCAACATCAGTCCTCAAGTTCGACAAGACGAAATGGGTAGAAGGCCTGACGGAAGAGCAGAAGCAGCTTCTGAAGCTGGAGATCGAGACACTGGACGACAGCTGGCTGGCTCATCTTAAGGACGACGTCAAAAGCAAAGATTTCTTGGAGCTTAAGAAATTTCTGGCCCGCGAAGAAAAGGCGGGAAAGAAGGTGTTCCCGCCAAAGGAGGATGTCTATTCTTGGTATGTTTTTCTACATGGACAAACTGCCCACCTGTCTGTCTACCACGATTGGCTGGAATTTGACCGAGCCTTACCTGCAAACGAATCTACGTCCAATCTAGAAGTCCAGTTGCTAACTTTGCCTGGCACATAGGTCACGACACACCCCATTCCACACAGTAAAAGTCGTCATCGTCGGCCAAGACCCCTACCACAACCACAACCAAGCCCACGGCCTCGCTTTCTCGGTCCGCCCACCGACGCCCGCGCCTCCCTCCCTTCGCAACATGTACATTGCCCTGAAAAAAGACTACCCTACCTTCACACCGCCGGCTAAGAATGGTGGCTTGCTCACACCGTGGGCCGACCGCGGCGTCCTCATGCTCAACACGTGCCTGACGGTGCGTGCACACGAGGCCAACAGCCACTCGAACCGCGGCTGGGAGAAGTTCACGCAGCGCGTCATTGACCTCGTGGCTTCCAAGCGCACCAGAGGTGTCGTCTTCATGGCGTGGGGCACGCCCGCAGGGAAGAGGGTTATCAAAGTTGACTCAAAGAGGCACTTGGTACTTAAGGCAGTGCATCCCAGTCCGTTGAGCGCAGCCAGGGGTTTCTTTGACTGTGGTCACTTCAAGAAAGCGAATGAGTGGTTGGTTACAAGGTATGGGGAGGGGAGCGAGATTGAGTGGGATTTGAACCCAGCGGCGACACCACCGTCTATGAAAAAGGAGGTAGAGAAAGAGGTAGAGAAGGAGAAGGAGAAGAAGACGAAGGATGACGTCCCGCCCGCGACTGTTGCGATAAGCAAGGATGGCGTCGAGGAGAAGAGCGTAATACTGGAGAAGGAGAGAGAGGCGGGCAAAGCTGGTGTCGCTGTCGAGGATAAGAACGCTACCGATTCAGAGGAAGAAGATGAGGAGGACTCGACGGAAAATGACAAGCTTTTCCAGTCGTTTGTCTCGGAAAACTACTAGTCCTCGAGCGGGAACGCATGGATTACGTGCGTACGGGGGGACTATTTGCTATGTAGGTATTGGATTGGCTGGAGTTTGTGTATAAAAGTACGATATAACGTACAACCCCACCTTTCTGGCCACCTAATCTACCAACTACAACAACTTTCGGCATAACAGATTATCGTCGGTATTGGCTATTATTATATAATGCCTCGATATTCAGAAAATTAGATTCAAGGCGCTCTCAACGATATCAATCAAGGGATATCCCAGCGCCAGGCTTCCCTCCGATGGGGCATTCCACGCTCTACCCTCTAATTATGACTCGGCGATGGCCTCAGCCATTCTGACGCGTCAATCGCGTCGATGAAGCTATCTAGGGATCAGGAAAACGCGCTGATTGGATGGATCCTCGAAATGGATCGCGAGGGTCGTAGCCCGTCGGCGCTATTCATCGCTAAGATGGCGTTGATTCTGTTACCTCAGGATCGTCGATCAGAGGGCCTCGGTCGCCATTGGGTTCATCGCTTTATTCAACGCCATCCAGAGGTCGGAAGTATCCAATCTCGACGCCTCGACCGTCAGCGATTTGATGGCCCATCGACGCAGAATATCGACGATTTCTTCGAGACGTACGAAGCCTTGATGTCAGCTCACGACTACTTTCCACATAACGTCTGGAATATGGACGAAACAGGCATCGCGATTGGCGAAGGGATCGAGGGTATAGTGTATGGATCGTCAGAGAAACATACAACATTCGTTCGGAGTGACGAAAGCCGCGAATGGGTCACTATAGTACATGCTATATCGGCGATGGGTAACTCGTTGACCCCAGCAGTAATATATACTGGCAAGAGCCTCCAAGCCCAATGGTTGAACGATTGCGATGATATACCTGATTGGCAATATACTTATTCGTCTAACGGTTGGATCAGTACAGATATCGCCGTTCGATGGCTTCGTGATATCTTTATACCTCGTACACAGTCAGTTGATCCCGACGAGCAGCGGCTCTTGATATTAGATGGTCATATCGCTCACGACAACGTTGAGTTTATGTGGTTAGCCTATTGTAACAAGATCTCGTATCGCTCGTTAGCGACCTCTCTCTCGATCGAGTACTGTTCTATTCCATTTAAAAAGTCGACGTTCCTCTCGCTATACATCGAGGCATATACGTAGTCGTTCACGATCAGTACTATACAATCAGGCTTCTCTGCAACTGGAATATACCCATTAGATCCATCGCGACCTCAGCCGACGATAGCCCCCCTATCAGAACGACCAACTACACCACCAACAGTTGGTAATTGGCTTGATCCGACAATAATAGCGACGCCAGTGACTAGCTTAGTAACTAGTGAGAGCCTGGCAGCGATTACGCCATTGCGATCGTCGCAACAGCTATTGTTTCGGAAGCTGACTCGTCGGCTAGATGTACAGAGCGTCGAGGTCGCTACTTTGACCCAACGTGTACACGCATTAGAAGCCGAGATAACTTCGCTACGCCCCAAACCACGTAAGAAGGTACGATTAGGGCCTAATGAACGATTTGGTAACATTGTACAGATTAAGGAAGCGATGGATCGAGCCCTTGAAGTAGAACGGCAACGAGACCAGGTACAACGTCGGAATCAGGTAATACTGGACCTAGCTAAGGCGTCAGAATCTATCAGATCTATACCTCAGGAAGCCCTAGAGCACAGCTTTCTATTAGAGCTGGTTGTACCTGAATAGCTATAATAGTACGTTGAATACACTGTTTCGAATACCTTCAATTGGATTACAGTATGTGGCCAGAAAAATATATAGCCAGAAAGATATATGGCCGGAAAGGTAAAGTTATACGTTGGATACGCTGTCCCAGGTGATTACCTCATTATCAGCTACATTGCACGGCCCCAAAATATAATCAACATTGCTTAGTCAACAACAGCTACATAGATGGCTAGTATGACGGTTTCATCACATTGTTTGGATGACTTCAATTCGTATACTGCCAATATACTGCCGAATAGGTAGTAACCACAGTACCTCTATATCCGCAATTGTGAAAATCATATTTAGCCCGTCCAGCTCATTAGCGGTAAAGATGGTCAAATGAGAAAACGTTTGCTTACGTGGTCTGACCTCGGTAACACAATACTTTATGCTGGTGCTCCTTATCGGAGATTCCAATGTCGCAAGATTAATTCATATGTTCCGGCATTTAATTATGAGACACCCTCTGAGATGGTTGCACGTCTTCAAACTCCACATTTTACCACGCCCTTGGGTCTTCGAAATTCGCATGTGAGAGGGAAAAAGAGGGACTATGGGGGGATTACAAAGGACTATCGGACGGAAACATTCCCCACGGCGTTACTACCGTTAAAATCTGGCCATGCCTACAGTTTCCTTGGCTTGATCTTCTCGCTGGCGTCTGCTATGAAAAGTTGCGGTAGCAGTGAACGTATAGCGAATGTGATTGGGCTGTTTCAACGCGCAAAAGCGCTTCAAGGGTTGGACTACACCATCGTGTGGTGTACCACGGGGCCGGCTTTTTGAGGGTATCGCGAAAACGTTCACTAGCATGTACAGGGTATCATGCAGAGATTCGGAAAGTGGATGACGTAGTAATTTCAAATCATGAGACGCTGTTAAAACAAAACCTGGCCTATGGGAAGCTCATGATTGCGAGCACTACACGGCATTGCGCATTACTTTTAAGTAGTTTTGCGAGAACATGCTTTGTCGTCGTTGGCATAAACTTGAGCGTGGCATCCGATGTCCGATTAGCACAAGCTCAGTGGCGGGGCCAATCAGGATAGCCCTACAGGGCATCCCGTGTTCTGACTTCATGCCCGCGGATCGATAAATTGGAGTCCGTAGCAATCAACGATCAGTCTGACTGAAGGTGATTCGAGTTGACAAACTTTTTGCCACTGGTTGACGGACAGATTGGAGGTCGGGCAATGACGTCCTGTTTGCAACAAGGCCTAATACTCGAGTATCACGGCCACGGCTTTGAAACTTCAATACATGACCTCATGCATGCAGGGACCATTAGTCGCGTTCATTATGCATAGCATTCTCCAAGTTGAATAGTGGTTCGTGTTAGTTGGAACGAAACGGCTTGGAGGCTCGAGCTCGGCAGTCGTTCTGAATGTCTTGTCGTCTCTTTAACGCCAGGCCGGGCAACTGAACCATAGTGTATACGGCGTGGAACCCCGGGTTATGCCCGATTAATGACTGAGTTATGACTGGGTTACTATACTATAATACCGAGGTATCCCATATTGTTATATTCTGCCACCTTTTTGGGCCAGTCACGCCATTGAACGTATATGGGCCAAGAGTTGGCAGTCAATACATGCCTGGGACTGCAGATCGATGGGAGTCCACGAACGGGTAACGCGGTTTGTTTGGCCAATTGGCCACTTGGCTTCATGTGGCTCGTCGTCAAGTCCCGTCAGATCCTCTTGGTTGACAGCTCATCAAAATCAATGCGATGGTAGCCAATCGATAATGCCGGGTGCCAGGTCAGTCAGGTCATGAACTCTCGAGTTTGATGAATGAGTTGTTCTATGCAACGGCGCGTTGGCAACGTTTGGGAATAGGGGTGGAGTGGAGCCAGTTGTAGGTGGCGTTGTGCTATTTAACAGCGCTTCGTGCTTTCAGTAGCTTGGCAAGCTCGCCGACGATCAGCGGTACGATATTGTTGCTTTTAGAATAGGCGTAGCAGCATGAAATTTCGTGATCTTCTCTCTGTACTCAGGTGAGTTGTCGGGTGGCGTACAAGCCTGCAGGATCTCCACATATGGTCCCGGACGGGAAAGGGGGATGCGTAATACAAGCCCCGAATGATAGGTGTGAAGGGTTTGGGGGTTATGAAGGTGACACCTGATCGCAGATACAACTGATATGCCCGTGTCGTCCACCATCGCTACTGCTGGTGGTGCAGTAGCTGGTGCAGTAGCTGGTGCCGTGAGGTCGCTTCGGGATTTATGAATCGTGTAGGAAATGAGGGTTCCTGCGGCTCAGCTAGCAAAGAAGCGGCTCCGACACTATGGTCAGTTCTGCATTTTGACGTTCCCAGTTGAGGTTAGTAAACAGAACGAGGTACCTTGGGTAGGATAGACTTTAGCCAGATCAATCATAAATCGGAATGAAGTGTCGACCATTGCGTAGATGGAGATAAGGAATATTTTATTTTTGCCGAGACAAACGAGCCTGGATATGAGAGAGGTTCTGACGTTGTAATAATAATCGGAGTTTTGGCCCACCCGCAACCTGGAAGCGGCCAAATTGAGTTTGGGGCAAATGGCTTGTGCTACAAATATCAAGTCAAGGTCCTTCATTTCCTAGGGATCTTCTCTAATTCGTACTTGGACCCTGGTAAGTACTTCAGCCTGGCCAAGAGGTGCAAGTCAACAAAACAAAATAAATGGCATGGCGATGCTAGGACGGCACAGCACGGCCAACATTAACATCCCACTCTCCCGCTGGATCTTTCATATGCATGAACAGCTTCAGATTCATATGACCCGACCGGCATCTTTGGAAGGATGGATAAGTACGGGATCAAATGTAACTATAACTGCCAATATAATATCCCAGGTTCGTTCATTGCTGTGCCTCCCAATCTATCACCGTGACCAGCCAGCCCTGGAGAGCGGGCTGGGAACATGGGACGAATGCTCGTGCAAGGTGACGCAGATTGCTTGAAGTTGACGCCTTGCCAATCTGGGCACTAGATTTAACTGCTGATGCGCCCCGGCTCGTTGGCCATCACACATTGCGCCCATGCTTGCGCTGCAGGTAGGAAAGCCTGCTCTCCACATCTGGAAATGCAGGTGGTTATTGCTTTCTTTCCTCGTGGTCCGACCGACCCCTGAGTTGAAAACAGAAAATTGATTTTCGGAGCGGTTTCTCCCCATCTTCTTGTCGTCCACACGTTTCTGGTCTTTGCTTTCTGTTCGGGTTGTCAGTTTTTTTTTTCCTCATACCCCAGGTTGCGCAAGAGATCTGCGATTGGGCCAATTCACATGTACCCCCAGCTGCTCCAGCTGCCAGCGAAACCAGTTGCATTGACTTCGTTCAACCCATCCAATTATTCCATCACTTTAAAGCACCTAAAGACCAGAGACCCCCACCACACCACCCGTCGTGTCGACTCAAGGTTCCTTACTGCTTCTGCATTTTTACGACGACCTTAGACGCCGTTCTGCACCGCGACTGCATCTCGCAAACACTATCGGCACTTTCCCATCCATCGGCCTGCCACCTTGACATTCATGTCGCACCAGGAACTTGGGATTTAGACCGCGACATCAGACGAGTCGGGCCACGATGCCGAGCCTCTTCTCCCGAATAAGGGGCAAAGATAGTCAGGCCAAAAAGTCCAAGAAAGGCGCCAATCTCGAAAGTCTGGTCCAACAATTGCCCCCACAACCGCGATGGGAAGACGCCTACAACCGTACTTCAGTCGAACCCGAGGAAGTCCAGGAACTGATCAGACGTTGCACTGGCGAGCTCAAGGCGAGGGGTATGACATCAATCCCTAAATCTCGCTTTGATTTCTGCACGAATTCCTGTACGGTAGCAATGTGGCTGACCTTGTGTGAACCCGCCAGCTCTCGACCTCCCTTTTCTGCTCCTGCCATTCCGACCGACCTCTAACCCGAGCGCTGTGCGCACATTTATCCGCCACTTCTTCGATGGCAATCAGACCATCCAGGGCGAGGCCCTGGCTCAGGAGTTGCGCCTGACGGAGCCCATGGTACGGCCTCTCTCTGTCTCTCTCTCTCTCTCTCTCTTTCTCTCAATTGGCATCATGGACGAGACTAACGCGAAAACTAGGTCATATCGGGTGTCTTGAAATGGTGTTGGAGCCGACTCCAGGGCGGTATTGTGGGATGGGACGCTTACGAGTTGTTCAAGGTCGGAGAGCAAGACTCGCGCATGGCCCGCAACTCCTTCACCACTTTCATACCCCTCAGCGTGGACAGCGATGCGCGTGCAAAGATCATTCACGACTATTTCGATCTGCTCTCAGCCGTAGCTGCACACGGCAAGATGAACGGTTTCGGTGGGCGCAAACTCTCACGCATGGCGTCATGGTGGGCTTTCGAGCACAAGGACACCGGCGAGGGTTTTGAGGGCGGCTACAAATTCTGGCTGAGGTATGTCGAGTTCCATGCCGGACGACGAACTCGAAAGAAACCTGTCACGTTCGGCGGAGGGCTAATGTTCATGCAGTGCTGCCGATGCCACAAGCCACCTGTTCTTTGCCTTCCTGAGGTCGCTGGCGCCACAGCCTACTGCCCGCGGCGGAATCTCAATGCTCCCCATGTCTTTGCAGAAGTTGCTGCAGGAAACCGAATACCCCCCACAAAAGCCGTCCTTGATGCAGACGACGACAAATAAGGTAGTAATGATTGTCGACACCGTGTCACCTACGCCATTTGCGCTCTTGCGGCGCGCCAATCACTTTGAATATCGCGACGATGACAGGGCGTTACACGAGTTCTCCGAGTACGAGGATCCGCTCAAGGCTCTGACGGAAGAATGTCGGAGAGTCCTGAAGGCTATCTCGCTTGCCAATCAGTCGCAAGTTTCTAACTCGAAGCATTCCACCAGCTTACGGGATGCATCTTGGTCACGTTTTGAAGATATCGGCTTTGCAGGCACATTGGACGAAGAATTCGATGAGGTGGATTCTTCTAAGGCTAACCATCAACAGCAAAATCCTCGAGGTTTGAGGACGACACCAGCGTCTGGTGGCCAGGGCACCGGCCGGCCGACGACGCCATCATGGGCTGACTTTTTATCTTCGGGGTTCGTAGATGATGCACCCAACAGTCCTTCACACCTACTTCCTCCCGACAAGGTTCTGCCGCCGATCGATGCCAACGTTCGTCAGCGCAGCGCTCAGTCTCATCGCCCTCGCCTAGAGAACACCCCACAGCTGGAACCCGGCGAATTGGCGAGTATTAGTCGCTTCGATCTTGATGATGCGTTTTGGTGGGTGTGGATGAGCAGTCTCGCCCCGGAAGAAACTGCTGAACGCAAATCTGCCTTCGGTCGATGCGCGGTTATAGAGACGGTGATTCGCACCGGCAGATGGCTCGTTATGGAGGAAATGGTCAAGGGTGCTGCCCCTGAACCTGAGGCTGGAGCATATATTGCCGAGAAGAAGGGCTTTTTCAGCTGGACGAGACGCAACAAGGGTATATCTCGCTCTAAGTCGACGGCGGGGAAGAATGGTCTGGTCAAGAGCGATCGCCTCAAGCCCAGCGACGCCATGGGCGCCGGTCTAAGCAAGACGAGCATTGGCCCGGACCAGCAGGCTCGTATACAAGCCGCGGCCCAACAGCTCCAGGCCAAAAGTGAGCACGAAAGACTTCGAAACAACCCCCCGGCACGACGCGGACGAACGGACGAGCAGGTTATGAAAGAGAAGACAAGCAGTATCCTTACCTTGCAGCCGGTCATCATGAGCGAGGCCTCGCCAGCGATGAAATGGGCAAACAAGTACGACAAGGAGGCCATTCGTGATCTATATCTTGCCAACACAAACACGGGTCGCGGGTTGGGGCAGGCGAGCATGCAGACAAATGGACACGGAGAGAGCAACGGGTCCTCGCCCAACGGTACCCATGGACCTGAAGTTCCTGCTAAGTCGCTGTCTATACGTTCGCCAACCTTCCATTCTCAACCACCTATCGCGTCGGGACCCCCAACACCAGTCAAGGTGCCCCAAGAACCATCTCCAGAGCCTGCTCCCGTCTTGGAAAAGACAGTCGAAGCCCCGGCAAATCTTCAACCTGCTAACAGAATCGAAGCCAGCGGGCGCAACTCTCCCCTACCCCCGCCCGCCCAGCAGAACAGCTTGGATCTGGCGCGGGAAAACATGCTGTCGCCAGAACCGCAGACCAGCCACGACGGTAAAAAGCCTAAGAAGCTCCACAAGGATGAGAAGAAGACGGGAGGCTTCCGAAAGCTGTTTGGCCGCAACAAGAATCGAGCATCGAAGCTCCCGGAAAATGCGGCCAATGATGTCAATGGCATGCTTGCGCAAGCACCGGCTCCTGTCCCTGAGCAACGACCTCAACCTGTTACAATGCTATCTGATGCCCCAAGCGAGTTCGCGACGCCCATGGAGCACGCCGGAGACGTCACTCCAACGCAGCCGCCCCAGACGCCTACTGCGCCCGAGCGTACGTACGAAGCGTCCATCAACGAAAACGATTCGCGTATTGACACGGCCGATGCCAACGAGGCCAAGCATGAATTTTCCCGCTTCGACCAAGGTCCCCTCGACGACCAGCCAGCATTCGTCCCCACCGATGATCAGAGCTATGATGATGCCACTCCGCCCCCCATCGCTCGACATGCAAGCAACAACCCAACAGTTGAAACAGTAGAGGAAGAAGGAGCACCTTCGCCCGCGGTACCTTTGCAGGATCGCTGGGCTCAGATCAGGAAGAACGCGGCGGACCGTGCGCGCCAAAGTGAAGAACAAAGCCGGGGTGGGATGAGCAAGACGACTGATGGTGACGATGACACCAGTGGCGAAGAGAGTAAGTTTTACCCGATCGGTGTCTAGTGTATCGTGCTAACGATAAGCAGCTATTGAGTCCCGCGTAGCTCGCATCAAGGCCCGCGTCGCAGAGTTGACTGGCAATATGGAGGGCACACAATCGCCGGGGAACCGCACGCCGGTGCGCAAACCCCTTCCCTAGACGCCCTACGCTAATGAACATACCGGGATGACGACATTTGATGCCCCTTAACGTCGGCTTCCATGAGACTTCAAGCACCCGGTGCGGTGCGGCGACGCACCGAAACATTTCCTTTGGCGACCAGGCAAGCAACTTCTAGTACGCCTGGCATTAAATTTTCCATACCTACGATGATACCACTAGAAAAAAGCCGGCACTTAATCGGCAATCAGCACCGCAATTTGTTTCGTCCTCTTTACTTTCGACCAGTTGATTGTATCATCCTTTAGCGTTAAAATTATTGGTGACGATGACATTTTCGCGATTTCTACTATGCACACAGAGCCAGCCTTTGGCTCTGGAGGCGAAGGAAAACCCCGACTGGAGCACTGATACCCCCTATCGATACCTATACCCCTGGCCTTTTTGGGTTCTCGGCCACCACCAACAAATATAAGCTAATTTGAAGGCGAATTCTTTTTTTTCAGCCAGGGCCACAAGACGGATCCAAAAGGTGAGCAGGAGGACGAGGATGAAGATGAGGAGATACCACATGGTTGAGCAGGGTTTTGGACGGCGGGATTGGAGCAACCAAGTTTGAGATACCTCAGAGTTTTTCTGTACTTCTGTTTTAACCATTCTTTTCTTCAACTTAGCAAGCGCTCTGATTTGCAAATATGAGGGGACAAGAGCGCTAATGGAAGAAAGTCTGATGATCTGTCTGATCCGGGCGACGACATTTCACAACAGTGTTGGACTTTCGACCTGGGTTCTTGTCCCTATTCAATTCCGCAAACAAATTCTCAATCGTACCCTTCTATACAATGAAACTTGAATGTTGCTAAATGTCACTGTTGTCTGTATGTGGTGAAGACAAACAAGTATGCAGAGTATGTACCTTCATACTTGGGTATTTACAAGCTTATTTACCTGATGGGGTGTATCAGATGACTGGCATCCAACGGAGTCATTCGTGTCATTGTGACAACAAACCCTCTTCAACCGGTCATCGCGATATGAGGGAGGACATTTAAGTAGCGTTTGCTAGAATGAGAAGGGAGGACCGAGGGCGTCTGTATGTAAAGGACTTATCGAGGTCAAGTGATCAACGCTCAACTACGAGAGAAGGCATGGTTCGCTTATTAACTTGGGCTGAAAGTCGTAGCTTCGATTCTTTGCCTTACGCTATGAGATACTCCTTTGATTTGTCGTCTTACCTCCTGTGACATACATATCCACTTGGCCGTGGATCGTACTTCATAGCCAGCCACCCAGCCATCTTCTGGTGATTCGACAAGTTCACCCCCTTAGCATCCACTTCTAGAACACGCATGCATACGTACCTCTCACACACGCTCCTTCTTATTCTCATCCCGCCCGCCCCTCGGGCTGGATGAAACCACCAAGTGCTCCCATCAATTCCGTCCAGCTCCCACCCGCGCGTCTAGGATCCGCATCGTGGCATAGTCCCAACTCGAAACCCGGAGATACAGCGGCGACGACTCGAAGGATTGACGGACTGATTAGTTCAATCTAACCTAACCTTGTTGTCTGCTTCAATGTCGTCCATGTCTTGTGGCGCTACTATATCATGTGAGCAGGCCGAAACACATGTACATCTGCCATGTGTCAGATTCCTACTTACTCTAGCTTGTTTCGACCAGAAGTAAAGGCAGGAACGTGAATAGAGGACGAATGGATGTAGGACGGATTGTCGAGGAAACAAAAGGCGCTAGAAGACGTTGGCCCGAGGTCAGCAACTCATCTTCCTAGTTTACGCTCTGGCAGACGATGGTTTGTTGCACGCGTATGTGCCGTCTGTGGGAATGAAGGCTTGTCCAACGGAGGTACGGTATTGGCAGTGTTGGCTTATCTTGCTCTGCACACAATCGCGGTTGCTCGTACGGCGAGCAGGGGAATCGGAAGAGAAATATATAGATCAATCAAATGTTCAATTCACTTCTGAGATGCATGCTCAGACCAAACAGATCAAGTCCGTCGTAATATACAACGCCAGAAACGCCCGCAATATAGCACAAGTAAGAGCCGCCTCTCCACTTTTCCGTAACATACAACATAAAAACATCCTTCTTGAAACCGAAACCAGTAGCTCATGCTTCATGTCCATCTCTCTCTCTCTCTCTCTAGAGAACAAAAGCAGGTTGTAGATACAACAAGCCATACGATCATATGCAGAACCAAACTGAATCCCCAACGCCGTGCCATGCTCGTGTCGATGCGACGTAGAGACCTCCTGAAGAGAACAGGCCTAGAAGAGAAAAGGGTAGGGTAACGTGGCCACTTTGGATATCTTTGAAAGGGAGAAGTAGATCCGGCCCAAGAACGACGACCCCTGAAAGCCACGACTAGCAGAGAGTTTGACGACGCCAAAATAGGATATTATACACTTGCAACCACAAGATGCGAACATATGAAGTCAAGTCGGCTAATTGAAGATGTGGGCCATGGGCCAGTCGCCTAAGAATCAACCTTGACTCTCTTTGCGTCCATGCCCTCCGACCCGTCCGAAGATGGCCCACCGTTGCTCGTCTCGGGACTCTTCCGCTTGTTCGGGTTCTCATCCCTCAGAAAGGAAGGGCCCGTACCAACGACCGGTGTTGCGAAATTGAGGGGGCTAGGGAGAGTGTTGCTGTCGTTGCCCCGAAAGTTCCACTCGGGGTAAAAGCTGCTGGGACTTGGCAGAAACTCGTTGTTGAGGAAGCGCGATGGTAGTGCGGACACTGGTGTATCGATGTGCATGTTGTTATTATTGTTGTTAGACTGAGACTGAGGGTGTGGTCTCGCGAAGGGGTTGGGCGGTCCAGTGGCACCAGCGGACAAGAGGGAGGTGGCCGACGGGGACGGGGGAGGTAGAACCACAGAGGAGTGAGACTCATTGCGTCGGGTGCTCTGAGACGTCGTGTCGGAAGCGCGGGGAGACGTGGCAGATTCGGCCGTGTTGCTACCGGCATCAGACTGTTCGTCCGGTATTTGCACCTTGAGCTTCGGCCGTGGGCCGCCACCAACGCGCAAACTGTTGGAGCGCGAGGGTGGGGTGAAGGTCGTCTCGGGAATGGAGACGGAGTTCCGTGTTTTGGCATTTCTTGACGTGTTTGACCTCTGCGGGAGCGGTGGAGACACGCTTGCATTGTTCCGAGAGACAGCCCCAACATCGACAGATTGCGACCGGTTGGCTGCCGTGTCCGCCTCCGCTTTTAACGTCCGAGGCTCGGCAACAAATGACGCCAAATGTTGGGATAGAATAGACCGGTTTTCATCAATGGGGGTGAATATGCTGTGCTGCTTGCGCTGCGGCAGTTTCTTGATAGCAGATGCAGTGTCGAGCAGCGGCTGGCTCGGTCTCTCACTCAGAGGCTCGGGCTTTGGCTCCATGGGTGCTGGTGGCCGAGGTTCCTGCTGTTCCTGCTGTTGCTGTTGGCCCTGTTGCGGTTGCTGCTGCTGCATTTGTTGAGGCGGTGGGTGGTGTTGAATCTGCGGCGGCTGTAGATGTTGGCTGTGATGCTGCGGGGGAGACATGTGCGGGGGAGATTGTTGCGGTCGTTGCTGGTTCTGCGGTGGTCCTTGATGAGGATAGCTAGGAGGCGGGACTGATGAGCGGCGCTGGTCTTCCATGTATTGTTGCATCTGGGGGTGTTGTTGAGGGTGTTGTTGATGCTGAGGATGCTGAGGATGCGGTTGCTGCTGCTGCTGCTGCTGCTGCTGTTGCTGGTGTTGATGCGGGTGTTGATGCGGGTGTTGCGGTGGTGGCGGGTACGGATATGAGCCTGGTGGCGGCGGCTGCTGCTGCTGTTGCGGCATGCCATGTTGCTGCATACTAGGCTGGTTCTGAGGGTTGTAGATAGCAGGATGAGGCATAAACGCATATCCGTTCGCAACGGGCTGCGGCGGACCTGGAGGGCCCGGCTGCTGCATGCTTGATCCGCGACGGAAATCGTTTCTGGATGAAGGTCGCGATCCCATCTGAGGCTGGGGTGTATGTCCTCGCGGGAAAGGCGCGCCATTGATGGGCGGTGAAGCCGAGGGAGTGTGGCCTCTCAGGTGTGGCGGAAACGATGCTTGATGGACTCCTTGATAGTGCGGAGGGATCATCTGAGGCTCGACAGAGCCTTCGTGGCCGTGTGGGGGAGTGCCGTCGCCATCTTCGTCATCTTCGTCGTCGGCGCCGCCGTTGAAGTCCGCGGGTCCTTTGTGTTCATTCGGACCACCGTGCTGCGGCGCCACACAAGTCAGTACTGGCTTCATCGTGGAGTGCTTGCCCGAGGCTGCATGTACGCACAAATGTGTATCTTGCGATGAGGTCTTGCATATTCCCCGAGGAGTACTCGTAGAGCTTCTTGTTGCTACTGAATATGAAGACGGCGACATCAACGGAGCAGAGCACCGAGAGCTCGTGCGCCTTCTTGAACAAGCCGCCCTTTCGCTTCAAAAAGGTGCTGTACAAGCGTGCAGTCAGCATATCGCATTCCGGGGCGCGGACGTGGTGCTGGGGAAGCTTACACAGAGCGGTTTCTTTCATCCTTGATGGCTTTGATCTCAATCTTTCTCCGGCCCATTGTGAATTAGACTGCCGTGCGGCAATGTACAGAGAGGAAAAGGTGACAACGGCGCCAAAGCTACGGATAATATATGCGAATCCGGGAATGCGGCCAGGCAGGAGCGTGGTCGAGCCTCGCCTCAGTTGCCACGGGTCTCGTCGCTTCCGGTCGGCAGTAGCAGCTAGGAAACGAAACGGCCTTGGGATTCCGTTGCGCAGACGCAGGCGCAGGCGCAGGCGCAGGCGCAGGTGGTGGGCGGACGGGCGGACAGGCTGGCTATCAAGCTACGCGATGAAAGTTCAGGCTAGCAGATTAATATCCAGCGTGATGGCTTGAGGAATCGACAGAAGAGAGACGTGAGAAGAAAGCAAATATATAAAGAGCGAAAGGCTCGAGTGCGATGATGTGGAACTCGAGACAGAGGGAGGAGAATTGGCGGGTCAAAATATGAAACGCTGCTGTCGATGAATGGGACTTGGGCTTGATAGCGGGCGACCTGGATACGATATTTGAACGGGGTTTCTCGAGCTCTTGAACAACAAATTATCGACTTTTCAGGATGCGGTCGTCTTCTGGTGATACCGAGATACAATGATACAATACGTCGGTGCTTGCAGACCGATGGGGCTGAGGGCTGGTTCTAATAATAGACAAGATCGTTCACCTTCTTGTGATTTTTGGGGAGCGGGAGAAGTAGACGACAGAGATTTTGGGTGCGAGTGGGTGGGCAGCAAGCATGGCAGAATGTGGGCAAGGGCCGGCAACCGTTCGACGGTGTCCCGCTTCTTTCTGCGCAGGTGCCACAGAGCGACTTGACCGTTTGGGGGAAAGGCTGCTTGGCTGCTTGGCTGCTTCTGTCTCCCTGGCCCCTGGGAACCCTGGGAAAACTGGGAACGGCCGAGCATGGGACACATTGACCTTGTTCGAGGCCACCCGCCTGTTCTGCGTTGGGGTTGGACACTGTGTCGAGGACAGGGCAGAGGACAGGACAGAGGACAGGACAGATGAGAGGCCATGGTTATAAGTGAGCGACAGCACCAAGGCGCATCCTTTGTCTGATCAGTAAAACGCACAGAACGCTACGTAATCGAGGCAACAAGGAGACCATGCTCGGTCTCGACATATCTGGGAAAGCGCATCGCGTTTTTTTCTCTTTCGCCTGTCGACTGCCCGCCCTCTCGGTCTCGAGTAATGCGCCTGAAGCCGTGAAACCGCGGCAGTTTAAGACCGTCGGAGCCTCACCGTCGACCTTGATTGGCCCACGGCACCAATTGCCCCCTCGTGGATCTCCGTACTCTGCACTGTGTATCTGGTATGCCACGGCCCCGAGGATGCCCTCACCACCAGCCGCTCCAACACCAACCACAAAGTGCAATGTCGTTGCCGGACCTGCAGCAACAAAGTGCCATTGCAGAAGATGCATTCCATTGTCTCGTCTCCGTTCCTCTCCCTTTCGGTACGTACATTCGACTCGAAACGCACATCCCAATCCTTCAGGTACCTCTTAGAGCTTGTGCTGTGGCATGTTATTTAAAGACATGAACACCTGGGTGGTTTTCTCGAACGACGTCGACGTCGCACAATGGCGTCAGTCTTTGCCCTGCGCGTTCGCATCGACCGTCAAGCAGGCCCGTCTCGATATAGGTACGGCAATCTGGCTTGCGTAGGGGTCTTTCCACATAGAGCCATACCCTTGCGGATATGTGGGAGGGGAGGGACACCAGGGGAAATGCCATCTCGACGTTCCCGATGCCGGGTAGTCTAAACCATCCAATCTTGTATTCAAGTTTAGACTGTCAACTCATTTCTTGGCCTGGCCAGTGACGCTGAGTATTCATCCTATCAGTGGTGGTTGCCCATTCTTGTGGGTGCAACAGGGCCATCTTCCCCAAGCACCCTGGCCACCACTCACGTGTCTGCATGGCCTGCCTCATCGAACCTCGACGACGTGCTAGCGAGGCCTGCCGATATCACAGTTTCGACAGCGGGGAGGCTGCAGGCCAGATCCGCGACCAAGCTTCGCAGAACTTCGCGCATGACTCTCCGCAAGCCTGCAAGGGAACCCACCGCGACCGTGACCTCGACGTCGACACTGAATTGTTGGAGAGTCTGACGGCAGCACAAGATGGGCCATCACACCCATCATCCCACGTAATCATCCATGGTCGGTCATCATCACTCATCGCACAGAGAACGACCGGACAATTCCAAAATCTTCAACCCACCCTTACCCGCTAAGCGCCGAGCAAGACTGCTTGGTGTATCCTCGGCGCCCGCTGATTGGCAAGCATCACGCTGCAAGCAATCTGGCAAGGCTGCCAAACCTGCAAGGTTCTCTTTCTTTCTCGCTCTCCCTTGTCAGTTATCAACTGCGGGAGACCCCAGGGCGTGCGTGCCAAGCCAGCACGCATGCCGAGCCGAACTGGGAAGGGGGAGGGGGAAGATTCTAAAAATAGCTACTTATAGCACCTTTCGAATGCATGCAGCCTTTTGGCACTCCAATAATTAGCCCACCTACATTATTAGTCAATGTGGGTAAATTATCCCTCTCTCAACGAATGGAACGAGGGCAAAAACCGTCATCCTCGTCCTGGCTGCATCGACTTGCGTCGAGAATGGTCCCCAAGCTTTCCTGTTGGAGTGATTGATGAATAAGATCACTTCGCAATATTAGCGAACAAATCATCTGGGCCTTCGACTGGTCGGACAGACCGCTCGAAGGATTCCGACAATGAACTCAATATTGTTTCGACTTGACGGTGCTGACATGAGGCTAATTTGCCAAACAACAAACAAGAAAAGTCCGGTAGACGGAGAAGACCAACGAGATGGCTAGCATGGACCTCCTGAACCGAGTTCACATTCCTGGCGGAATCGAATCCGAACAGCCAGACAAAGAGTTCATCGTCGACAGGATGAGGTCCCGACCACAAGGTCAACAAGATCTCCCAAGATCTCCCAAGTCGGTGTGGTAAACCACAGCCTGCCCATCTGCCTTGTCCTGTACCACCACACCTCGATGTAAATGCTCCGACCCAAAGGGCGGGCAGGCAGGTGGGCAGGCAGGCAGGTAGCTGCTGCCCGCCTTTCTAGACGCGAGATAGCCGCCAACTGGGCAATATACAACCCTACCGTACCATGCATGCAAGGGCGGGGGAGGGGGTTAAAGGCAGATAGATAGCTCATCACCGGGCTTTACCCAGCACCCAGCAAACCCAGCATTCCGATAGGAGGGCTTCGACTCGGCAACGGGGTTTGTTTGGTAGCATCAATGATCTGCTTCCAAATCCTCAACTGGACGGTTCACGACGCTTGTTGACGTATGCAGCACAACCCACCTGCTTTTTTTGTTTCTTTCTCCAACGACTGCAAACCAGAGCAGGACGAAGAGGTAAGCAAGCTTGTCGCTTGTCAACCACTTGGTGTGACCCTTTTCCCCTCTCCCCTCCCCTGCAAAGACAGGGGACTGTACCATTTTTGTCACGCTGCACCCAAAGTGCCGGTTCTTGTCACTGCGTGCATACGTTGCCAGGTACTTCATAGTGCGGCTCTTCGGCTTCTATGTTTAGCAAAAAATCTATGTAGATGAGCTCTGAGTGTCATACAAGCGCTGCTGCAATCTCGTCTGCAGAAGAGTCCCAGAAAGAGACAGAATGGGGACCGGGAGAGCAAATTCTAGACTTCCTTGAGGTATGCAAGTGCGTACTCCTTCCTCCGTCCCTGCCTAACCGCTCAACCATGGCCTGCCATACCACATTTCCGGCCGAAGTGCCCTCCAACCATATGCATCATGAGTCAACGTCCATGTTGTGGTCGTTCATGGTCAATAATTTTCAGATGCTGCCGCGCCTGCTGCCAATCCGCCCCTATAATGCCCCACGCATACGTGCTTCCAATTTGGGCCATGAGCACGGCCGTGAGCATGCAAGTCGAATCCCCGAGAGCCTCGATACTGCCGTCGCCTTGACGCCGGCTCAAATGAACTACCCTTATTCCAGACACGTATATGCAATCCAAACAGATCCCTGGTTCTCGGCGTTGCCGGTTGCTCGTGGAGCCAGGATCAACGGTACTTCCGCCGTTCTTGGTTCCCAGTATCAAAGTTATAATTTCACGTAATGCTAAAGAGTCAGAAATAACTAAACTTAGGACATCGGAGAGTGATATGATCCTTAAGAGTGGACGAGGGAAATTAGTGTGCGGGTGGGGTGGAATGTCGTGAATCAAAATCAAATGTTAAGTTGGCGCTGTTTGGCATGACGTTTGCGCGATGAGGTCCAAGTAGCGGTTTTCGAACCCTAGCCGGTCTCGTTGGCTGGACCTCCGGGCGTGGGAGCGCTGAATGAACCAAAGCCTCCTTGGTCGGCGCCCACGTTGGGGTTTGCCATTGTACCATTGAGTAGAGGACATTTGCTAGCGTGTCTTCACGTCAGTTCTCCTCTTCCAGAAAAATCTGATAGAACTTAAAAGAAGGGGGTTTGGTTGAAGCTGGAGGAGCCCCCGAGTCGAGAGGAACCACGAGATGCGGACTCCATCCGATTCGAGGCCTCCTGACCCATCCTGCTCAAGAGGTCTTCCAAACTCCGAGCCAGAAGGTGCAGACAGTAAACGAGAGAGGCAGGAATGCCAGTACCTTTTGTTCGTCTTGATATGTCCCACTTGCCCACAGTTCGCGCATTTCCGAGTCGTGCCTCCTGCCGCCTTATCGGCAGAACCAGACGGATCTGGAGAACCCGCGTCGGCATTGACGGTCTTTCTCTTGCCTTTGCCCTGCTTCTCTCGCACTTGACGTCGATCAGCATTTTTGAGTAGACGTGCAAGCTCCTGTTCGATCCTGTGAGTACATTAGCGAGTGTAATCAAGCCATGGTGTCGTCGGCAATAACGTACAGCTTGTTTCGTTCCCTGTCGGCATCGGCATCCCCTGATGGCTTGAGCGAGTAGACACTAGAAAAGACCATGGAGTTAGTCACGTTGCACTCAAGTCGAACGATTTCACAGGGTAGGTAGTTGGTTCAGATGATGAATGAAAACAATGGCGGGCCGTAGAGCCGAGCATTTGGGGAAGAGTAGTGACAGTCCCGATAAGCCAATCACAAAACAGCCGTATCACCAGCACAGAATTTCGATACTTACTTAACTGCGGCCTCTTCAATATCCTTACGCTGCTTCATGTAGCTGCGGATGACCAAGGGATCCTCAATGACTAGCGTCTTGGTCTCGATTTGTCCATCGTCACCTTTGACTTTGCGAGTGATCTTGAGCTTTCGCCTCCCTAGTCGGCTGCCTGTACTCAACCGACTAAGCTGGCTTCTTCCATCGTCCATCGGGGCAGCAGGAGTGAAACTGGTCTGCTTGCGAGGGTTGAACCTGTCGTCCTCGTTGGCCGTGTCTAACACATCCGAGTCCTCGTGGGTAGTCGTGTCGGAAAGTGTCGCCTGTTGACGTCCCCAAATGTCATGAATGGCAGCGAAATACATGTCTGATTGTTTCTTGACGTTATATGAATGGCCGCCATTGGCCTTCCGCTCACGTTCCATGGCGTCCGCACTGGTGGCGAGGGGCCCCTGAACCGAGTTGATATAACCACCTTTCATCGATGTCCTGATGAAGCTGAATCCCAAACCGTGGCCAGTGGGATCACCTTCGCCGTGGAGCGCCACCATTGCTTTGCCTGCGCTAGCGTCAATGAAGTTTTTGGTCATCTCCCACGGAGCCATTTTGGCGATCAAAGTTTCTTCGGTACTTGGCTCCTCTTCGTCGAGTTGGGCGGCCGCAACCTTCGAGTCTTTGGGGTCCAAGCCCGCATTGTGCAACTGGGCAACACCAATTTGCATCGCCTCAATCAAGCAGACGTCCTCGGGTTTAATCATGGCTCGTATACCAGACTCATCCATAAGAGTCTGGCCTTCGGGCATGACCCAGGTTTTGCTGTCACGGTCATAGTGGAGGAACTCCTTCAGCTTCTGCCGGTTTTGCGCATCATCCTTTTCGAAGACGTGCGGCGTGATTTGCTTCAGGCCCACATCATGCGTCGGACGTTTCCTCATCATTCGGTATGAGATCATCTTGAGACGGTTCTTCTGTGTGTTTGTTACTCTTCTGGCGTGTGGCCCGGGCACATCCATAGACGGGAACGTCTGGCCGACAACGTAGAGATGGTCGATCGCTTTCAAGTACCACCTCGGGCCATCAGCCGCGTTGGTGCTGTAGCCTAGCAAGAAGTCGTTCCTTCTCGGGGTGTGCTTGAAAATTGGTGCACGATACATCTCGTTGTGAAGCGTGGGGACAGTCTCCCCGGGTTCCACGGTGCCGAAGATGGAGAAGGGCGACCTGTCTTCAGGCAGCAAGACATGGGGCTCGCCAACTTCGGCCTTTGGTGGCTTTTCTTCATCATTACGATCCTTGCGTCGATAGTAGTTGATGACTCGACTGCCCATGCCAAAATTGGACATCATTATGGGGGCTTGCTCGCAGTACTCAAAAAGCACCGCGCTGGAGTTGTCGTTTAGACTGAGATCCTTTGACGTCTTGAATATGTCTCGCACACTCCGGCCCTTAGTCTCGCGACGCTTCGTTCTACCAGGTTTGCGGAAGTTGATGGCGTGCCGCAGGACCTTGTCCACCTCAAACTTCTTTCGATGGTGTTCCCAAAAGTGCCCCGCAACCTTAGTGCGGTAGAAAGGGAACGTCAACTTCAGAGCCGGCATGCTGTGCTCCACCGCGAGGTTGGAGAGAGTAGCTCTGACTTTGCTCTTGTTGTTCGCCTTCAGTGCACTGTAGGCATCGTCGTTCGAAATGTTGAATCGCTGACGCACGTCTCTGCCTAACTGACCGTTGGCCATGCGCTTGGTCTTCTCTTCGAGACGTGGGCGCTTGTTTGGTCGCTCGGACTGCATATCATCCACCAGAAGGTAAGGATCATTCATATTCAGTTCCACACGCCGGGCAGAGCGCTTTGTCGCCTCTACAAAGTTCTCGATTCCCCATGCGTCAAAAGATGAGATATCGGGCAAACCTGGCTCGTATTTCCGCTTCTTCTTGGGCTGCGAATCTTTGGGCTGCAGAAATTCCCTGGTCCACTCGTCATCATCCTCGTCGTCTGAAAGGGATATCAAGCCGTTCTGCTGATGTACCGAGCTGGGCTCATGGATATTGTCCCAGTCATCGCACACGGTTGCAATCTCGGTCAATGTGTAGCCTCCGACCCGCTCGTCTTCGTCATCGGAATCCGACATGGCATCATCCACACCAAAAGCTGGGGGAGCCATGGGCAGACTCCAGTCATCTTCGTCGCCGTGATACTGTTGTGACTTCTTCTGAGTCGTAGCCAGAACACTGTCTGGGATTCTGAACAGCTTGGACGTGTCGCCATCGAGTTCTAGCTCCAGCTTGGTCGGAACAAGCTCAGGAGGACTCTTGGGCGGTTCCTTGTACATATATTCAGCCGGCCACTCGGCAAATACCTCCCGAAAATTGAGAACTTTGTTCTTGGCAAAGCTCGGAAATGTATGATCCAGGAGTTGCTCAATGTTCTCTGGAGGTGCCGGGTGGTCTTGATGGCTAGACTGCTCCGTGACCCACAAATGGGTGATGTCTGGTTGCACGATATTGAAGTTGATCTTGCGCATCTCATCCAAGCTCATCATGTTTGTGTCTTCATCGGACACCTCTCCGGTTGCTTCGGCAGCCGTCGGGGTTGCTAGTGGCGGCGAGGAGGGAAGTTGGGTCGTAGCTAGAGGCGACGAAGGTGGAAGGTTGTGGTCGCCCTCCCCGAACAAATCACCGTCATCATAAACACCATCGTCACCAAATATGTCCTTCTCGGCTTCGTTGCTTGTCCCCTCATCTTCGGTGAGTGCGGGGACCTGGGACGCAGGCATCGGTCCATCTGGGGAATCTTCATCCAAAGGGAGATCGTCGTCGCTGATATCCTCGTAATCCACTGCATCGTCCGCCTTCTCGGTCTGGTCAAGCTGCTTCTCGGCAAAGCCATCAAGGTTGAGCTGCATGCCCGTTCCGCCACCTGCACCGGCAATCACCCTGTTGATAGCATCGTCGTCCTGGTTCTCGCGGTCCTTCCAGTCGATGTCTGTGAGCTGCGAAGTGCGCGTTGCGACAGATCCAATGCCGTCTCCGTTCAGGCTGTTTGCATGGTCGACATCGTCCGCGGCATTGGCGGCACTGAGCCCTTCGGCCATGAGGGCGTCCAAGTCGTCGTCGGCCATGATGTCGATTGGTCGGTGCACTGTCGGCTCCCACAGGTCCTTCACGGGTGGGCGTTGTCTCGTTCTACGCGCGCGAACACTTGGAGAAGCGGTGTCATTTATCGCATGCCGAGAAAATGATGTGATATCGCTGCGGCCGGCATCGAAGTTGTAGGACTTCAGGCGACTGCGATTGCGACCACGGGAGGGCGAGAGGTAGGTAGATCGCAAGCACGAGGTGGCAGACAAGATGGTCTGGCGTCAATTGTTCACTGCTGGATCTCGAAGTGGAGGTCCCTGCCTGCTGTGTTACCTACCAATCAACGCTTGCCTAGCGCTTTTTCAGATGGTACAAATGCTGGCCTTGGCGCAGACTGCTTGATTTTAGCCACGACCCCACGCGCAGTGATACTATGTAGTGTGGCGGCAAGTGTCAGGCTCGAGCCAGTTCAGACTTAGATGGACACGCTGCAAGGTTGGTGCAGGGATGGTTTGGGCAGGTACGAAGTACAGCAGTTTAAGAGGTCCAGCAAGATGCTCGAAGGGGTGCCAGGATTGATTCTTTTGGTTTTGATTTCTTTGCCTGGATAGACACCATCGTTTGCAGTGATGAGTTTGCCCACCTTTCAGAGACTACGTTGTGGTTTGCAGCTGCTGAAGGGCTAACCATAAATTAGGTACTTATATACAAGAAGAGGAAGCTCGGGCCAATTGATGCCTGCTGGCAAGTGTTGGAAATTCACTAGGGGATGGAGAGGATGGCGATCGAAGATCCTATCACAATGCATGTTACAGCCGTTAATGCTTAAAAGGTGTCCTTGCAACTTCCCGAACGACTTGGGGAGTTTACGCATGCAATGAAATTCTGCCGTATGATTGAGAATTATGGCAACCCAAGCATGGCTTAATACGTTTGGCCTCCTTACCCATGCCGGTGCTTCATGCCGTACATATATATGAGCGCCACATTGTCGACAGCAGCCAGGCGCTTGTGACTAAAGTAAAGAAGCAACATGCAGCTCTGCAGGGAGCTATCTCGGCGGCTTGGTTCCTGCCGAGCGATCATGCAGCCTTGTCCAGGCCTTGAAGGATTAGGCTTCTAGCTTGGTTAGTTTGGTTAGCTTGGAAAGACACGGTGTCCGTGAACCTCAATGTTGCCGCTGGATGAGACTGCGATTCAATTGTTGTTTTCTCCGCATGCTGCAGCTTATATGCGCGATACGACAACCAGCTGGTGACAACGACTCGAAATTACCACTTTGGCAAACAATGTCTCCTTCCTGAGTCGGGCCCGCCGCCGATCACGCCGCATCCGGAGGGGTATATCGATAGTAGACACATACGAAAGTGCAATTGTGGGACCCGACCTCGGTATCATCGCAAGATGTTGCGGAGCTGTATGAGACAGTATGCTTGACTCACTAAAAGGCCTCAAGTGAGAGACGAGGAGCATCATACAAACTTCAGTCAAGTCTGTTACTTGGCTATTAGGTCAACAACATTCGTTTTCGTGCCGATTTTCGGGCTCGGGTACTATCGTTGTCTTGTTCGTCAACCGGCGCGTCGTGCAATGGCCGTCCATATATCCAAGGACCTGCTCAAAGCACAATATGTAGGGAAGAGCCTCTACCAGGTGCCGACGCCGGCCTGCGTGTTGGATCTGGCCAAGTTAGAGGCGAATTGCAACCTGATGCTGGAGGCGTCACAAAGACTCGATCTAAGTTGGCGAGCACACATCAAGACTCACAAGGTATGGATACATGGGCAGTGGCATGGGTAGCCTGCCGAAGGAGCTGCTTTACGTACAGTCTACTGACACATTGCCAAGACTGCTGAACTGACGAGGCTACAAGTGGGGGATGACAGCTCGTCAGCGGTCAACATTATTGTTTCTACCTTGACTGAGGCAGAGAATGTTGTGCCCCTGCTTCAAGAATTCCGGCAAAATAGCAGGAAAGTCAATGTCGGTTTTCTCCTTACATCCCAGATCTCATATACATACTAACAAACCCCTAGGTTCTCTACTGTCTCCCCATCTACACGTCATGTGTAGATCGTCTAGCTCAAGTCTCCGCCCAACTAGGGCCTAATGGTCTGACAGTGATGGTCGACCATCCCGACCAACTAAAGTACCTCACTCTGCTAGCCTCCAAGTCGGGCAACCCGCCCCTAGTCTTCCTCAAGATCAACGTGGGCAGCAACCGCGCCGGCGTCTTCCCAGGTTCAGCCATGTGCAACTTCCTAGTGGACAAGCTGTTAGTTTCGGAAGCAGTGGGATCATGTGTCTTCCTAGGCGTCTACACCCACGCAAGCAAATCCTACGAAACCCGCGACGACTGGCAGGCGCTCGACTTCCTGGGCCTCGAGTTCAACGAGCTATACGATGTAGCCCGCGTGGTCCGCAAGGAGCGGCCGAACCACCCCCTAGTCCTGTCCGTCGGCGCAACGCCTACCGCAACATCGTTACAACACCCTGATTTCGACGATCCCGCCGCCGCGACAACAAATGGCCCCAATGCGCAAACAAGCAAACTAGCTAGCCTGATCCAAACCCTGAAACAAGACGGCTTCACGCTCGAGGTTCACGCGGGAGTGTACCCCACGCTGGACATCCAACAGCTCGCCGCACACAGCCGCGACTCCAAGTTCCTCAACAGCAACGCCATTGCCATTTCGGTACTCGTCGAGGTCGCTTCGCTGTACCCAGGGCGCGGACCCCACGGCACCACCGAGGCGCTCGTCAACGCGGGCACCCTTGCTATCGGCCGTGAGCCCTGCAAGGACATGGGTTCGCCCGCGGGGATACACTACAGCAATTGGGGCATCGTGTCGCCGTGGAACGCCGAGAAGCAACCGTCGCCGGGGAAGAACTTCCCTGCCGAGCATGGCGGCTGGCAGATTGGGCAGATAACGCAGGAGCATGGCATCTTGACTTGGGTCGGGGAGAAGGAGGATGAGGTGCCGCTATATGTTGGGCAGAGACTGAGGGTTTGGCCTAATCATGCTTGTATCACGAGCGCGGGACATGCGTGGTATCTTATTGTGGACAGTCGGAACCAGGGGCGCAAGGACGAAATCGTTGATGTCTGGGTCCGGTGGAATGGATGGTAACTAGGACCGGCTTGGGGACAGGGCAAGGGAACTTGATATCCAGAATCGGGACGGCCGAATAGGGGGCGGGAGGGGAGTTAGACTCAACTGATAGTCGAGGATTATAGACTTTTTAAACAAAGATACCACATAGAGCGAATTGGTTAGCCTCTACCTCTACTTCGCCATCGATTACTGCCGATGAGCTGCTCATGCAGAACCAGAACAAGTTTTGGAACGGCCGTCTAATTCCTTGCCATTCCTGACAAGTGTATTGCTGTTATGTATAACGAGCCAGCCAGCCAAGCTCTCAGCCATACCCAAGCTTTTACTACGCCGTACAGTTTTGGTCTGCTCAACCGGTGCATGAAGCTACCAGAGCCGACCGAGAAAACTCCTAACGCCCTACCAATCTCGCAATGAAGGCAAACGCAGAGGACCACAAGGACCTTGAGGGTTTGACAAAGTCTCGCTCACAGGAGCCTCGGTGCACCACTACTTACACCGCTTCTCTACAATGCCCGCTCCATTCTCCTCGTACTCCTTCTTGGAGATCCACATCTGGTGGAATGTTCCCAAGCTGGCCAGGATGCTGCCGCCGATCCAGGCTCCAAATCTTCGCTCTGTCGTGAGGCCAGCAGCGTGTAGCTTGATCCTCATGCCTGGGTACATGGCCATCAGCTCGTTGTTCAGGCGGTCGTTAAATCCATTGACAAGACTAGCACCACCCGTGACAACAATATTGGCGAGCAGTTGAGGCCGCAAGTCAACGTCGACGCTGTTGAGACACGACTTAATTAGCTCGGGGATCGTCTGCGCCTTAGTGATGGTGTCTGCCTCGTTTGTCGGCAGAGCCGCCGTCTCGTCCCACATGCCCTCGGACACACGATACCGCTGCTCTCGCCACATCTGGTTGGAGCCATCGGGCATCTCGAACACGCGGCCGGGCTGGGTCTTGACCAGCTCCTCATTGCCGGGGTTCGAGTATCTGCCCGGGCCTCTCCACACCTCGACGACCGATTCCTTGAATTCCGTCAACAGCCGCTCATCCTCGTAAGCGCGGAAGCTAGGTGAGATGTCGAAGTCGAATTTGCGGACTCGGGCCTGGGCTGGTGCACCCGCATCGACTGGCGTCTTGCTCTCGACCATGAACGTAGGCATGGGGTCTAGCTTCGGCTCACTGCTATTCCACATACTTCGGATCTGCGCCGACAACCATAGTCCGCCCACGGGTGACTTTTGAACCGATCGCTTGAGAATCAGGCCGTCATGTACAGCAGTGATACTGGTGCAAGCACCGCCCACATCGACAACCAATGCGCTGGCCTTGCCGGCCGCGAAAGCGGCGCATACGGGTGTTCTGGTCAGCCAAAAGGCCGGGACGTCCCAGCTCTCCATGGCGATTTCGATAGCCTTCTCTCTCGCCTTGCCTGCGTTCCAAGGCGCTTCGGTCATTAACAAGGGGCTCTCTGCCAGCGGCTTCTCCTGATTCTCCTGGTTCTCCACGTCCTCCATGTTGACATCCCCGTTTTCATCCGCAGGGTCGTTCAGGCCGTTCTTGGACGGGTGTGTCTCCTTCTCGGGTTGCAGACGCTTAATCAACATGTGTTCCCACATCTTGGAGGCGGCATCCCAGTCCTCGACTACAGAATCAGCCCGCGACATGTAATTCTTGACCTCGAAATCGGCGTGGGGTAACAAGCACTCGTCGCCGAAGATGTCGCGAGCGCCCTGAAGTTGCGAGGCGTCCTTGAGCGATCCGTAGAAAGACGGTAAGATGGACTTGGGCACATCTTCGCCTGCGAAACCGGCGCGAGTGTGGCAGTAGCCTGCGTCGAGTACGAGGGCTGATACTTCATCTGGGGTACGTGTTAGTACAGGCAGCTTGATGCTGTCGCGATTCGCGGCAAGGCTGAGATTGGCATACCTCCGCCATAGATATCCGTCGGGGCACTTGCCGTCGTGAGCTGTTGAGCGGCCATTTTGGAAGGGTTTCGGGCCAATTGACCAGACGGTAATGTCTTGCGACGAGTGTTAGGAAACCTGAAGAGTTTGGGGTAAAGATGCCCGCAAAATTCAAGCTTCACCGACCGCGAAAAGAGCTTGGAATCGCATGGCTAGAATTCAGCCCTGGATGCCTGGACAGAGGGACCTGCATCTAATGGGTCTGTGCGTCCGCCACTTTGAAAAGGGACTCTAGAGGTACTTGACCTACAAGTGCCTGTCGGTTCTAGGATCTCCCTACCGTGTGAATTGTTCCAGAAGTATGGCTGTTCTCTACCAAAACAACTCTTGAAGAAATTCCAGGAATGGAGCGCATTTTATGTTATCTCACTGTGCAGACTTATCAATATTGTCCTCGTGGAATATCTGTCGGTACCGTTCTTCCGGGTACTAATCGTTGGGACGTCCAGTAAAGTTACCCAAAATACTGGACAAGTCTCCAGCTGGGTCTCGACGCGACTGAAGCTACCCCAGAGCTTTTAATAACGAAGCTCCTCGAGATCCAATGCTGCTGAAGGCTTATTAACAAGAATGGAGTTGCGGTTTGAGACCTTTGCTCCCATACATCTCGGCCCAACCAGACATCACTATTATTCAACGCCTTAACAATTGCATAAGTTCAAATCGAAGACATTCAACTGCTGTCGGTGCTGGTATAGACCCCATGTTCATACCGGCAACGTCCCACCCACAGACAAGATGTCGGACTACTCAGATGAAGAAGCAGACGTCCTATCCGACCACCTTGAGTCATCTAGCTCCGAGGACGAAGGTGTCCCCCCTCCACCCCTCCACCAAAACTTCTTCGCACCTCCTTTCTACGGGCGTCCCCCCACACCTCTCCCACCCTCACCCTCCTTAACTTCTCTCCTTCGCCCCTCGCGCCCAACCACCCCGGATGCCTCAGACGACGAACTGGAGCCCGTCCCGCGCGCCAGCCCCAAGGTGCCCACATACGAATACTACGGCTTCGTTCTATACGTCTTCTCTACGCTGGTCTTCCTCGTCTACCTGCTATGGGCGTACCTCCCGTCGCCCTTCCTGCACGCCATGGGCATCTACTATTACCCGAACCGGTGGTGGGCGCTGGCGGTCCCGGCCTTCATCACCATGCTTATTGTGTACATCTACATTGCGCTCGCGGCATACAACACCGAGTACCTGACGTTGCCGCTGTCGTCCATCGAGACTATTGTTGACGAGGCGGCGAATATCGCTACTATCGACTCCAAGGGCCGAATTAGGCCAATTGCGGGCCATGGTAGTGGGGAGGGGACCGGGCGGGTGAGGCAGCAGATGCACTTCTTGACTGAGGCGAAGGGCCGTGAATTGCGTTGGAGGGACATTTGGAACGAGGGTACTGATGCCGTGATGGATATCCCACTTGCCGGCGTCAATGAGGTGCTTTATGGTCTTGGTAGGGACGTAGAGAGCGAAGATGGTTACTGAGTGATATACCATGCCTCGCACTGGTATGGCATTTTGGCTGGTCACTTCCCCAAGGATGTAAGTAAGTATACTGCGAGGATGAGAAAGGCTGTTACAAATTTGTATACCAAGTTGGTTTCAGACACTGATAATATAGGAGTAAGATTGTTACTTGGACGGCGTTTCTAGAATGACCGCAGAAGATTAAATGTACTATGTAATATATGAGAAATGTATAAGAATAGATTATAGAAGATAAGATTGTGGAACTACAATGCCTTCTTTTGTTCGTTTCTTTGTATAATTATAGGAGAAAGGAGTGCGTTATTCAGGTATAGTTTTTCTCGTTCAATTCAACCAGCATCTTGTGCTATGTAATTTGATTTGGCCTAACCTAAGCCATAGTCCACTTGTATATGTATTGTTATGGTTCCTCCATGCGATGTTCACGAGCATATGCTGTCTGTTGTTCGCCATGGGCTGAAGTCCCCATGGACCCTCATGCAAGTTATTACTGCCCTGTGGATTCCTCTCCTGGGGGTCCCAATCTTGCTTCACAGAACAAGCCACGTTTCTGCCATCATAATGAAGAAAATAAACCAATCCAGCCAGGCAGAAGATCCAGCCTGTGCTATCGCGAGCTTAACGAGTTACAAATGGCAAATATGAGCACACCACTGGGTTCCGAACGAATAACGCCGCATATAACCATATAAGCATCAGAACGAGGATAGCTGACGAGATATGAAGCAATCAGCTGCTGACTTCCACATATCTCATCGTCCCTATTGCCCACGTATAGTATCTTGGTGACTCTCGAGGCGGCTGGATCTTCAGCAACTCTGATCGAGGTTATCGTGGTAACCCATGTTATAACGCATCCCAACGAGAGTGCTAATTCCCGTAGCCTTGTCCTTTGTACCAAGAACATGGTCAGTAGCTACTTGTGCCGAGAAGATAATCGCCCGCATATGACAAGCCGAGAGCCTTGCACACTAGGGTGAAGGTTGCTGTGAACGTACTTAGTCAGGAAGGTCTAGAGAATGTTACCCTGACCGATACGGGGGCTGTTACTTTGGGGTTTCCAGGTTCAGCTCGCACACTTTATAGGCCTGGGTAGACTAACTACAAAGGAACTCTTGCAAAAACTTGACGGTCACTTTCTTGAACTAGGAGGCGAGCCCCAGTAGATCAATCACCATTCCTGTCCAGTTGACCGACTGACCGAATCGTAGGACGAAAGTAACTGAATCTCCTTGTGCCCACAACCCAGCACTTCTAGGGTTACCTGACGACTAAAAGAGGAGTCTTAAAGAGCTTGAAGCAGTGATACAAGAGGAAACAGAACGGTGCTCGCGGCTCCAGTCTTGGCAATGGCGCATCGTCCGTTCGCGGTCACACGTCCTACCAAGTCAACAGTCAGCGTCTCCTTCATCCTCAAGACGATGATCAAGATGAAAGGGGACCAGCCATAAACTGTTGGTGAATAGCGACGTCCCCGGATGGCTACGGCCATATCTGAATAGATTGCACTTGCCGGGCGACTCCAAAGTCCCTCAGGAAAGAGAACGAGATGGACATCGTCGGTCCCAAGACGAAGAAGCGAATACCTTCCTGGCTTCCCGTGACCACCGAACAGAGCGAGGAGCACCCCAGCGGGCCCCCTTGATCGGCAAAAACGTATATCATAGAATACTTTGCTCGTCATATGCCAACCATAGAATTCCACCGCCGGATAGTTCGTCAGCTCATCCTGCCTCTCGGCGGCCTCGCAACCGTGGCCACGGTAAACATTGCGCCAGGCGAAAATAAGAGTACCTAGCAATGCCGCTTGCAGTCCCCTCTGGTAAACCCACTGAGCACACACTAAGACCCGATAGCTTGTCCCGAACCAACGACGCAGTTCCTTGACGACCACCAGGCATTCCTCAAGAGTTGCGTCAACGTCCTGACATGTCCAAATACAACCGTCTACGCCTCGGCCGTTGTCATCTATAGCCTAGCGGTGCTTATCCAGGTGATACAAACCCGGGCGGGTTGCGGATCAGCGGCGATGCTTTGTTCGACTCCTGTTGGGTTGCCGGTTGGATTGACGTTTGGATTGAGCAGTATGCTCGATTGTTCCATCAGGGAGTATGCAGTCCAGCTGTCTGGCTTGAACGGGGTCCAAGCAATGTGACGTTTCCTGTTGTCAACTGCTGAAACGCAAGTGATGGCCTGTGAATGGGTTGAGATTGGGGTTATCAAGAAGGAAGGGAGGAAGTGGTTGGCAAACATGTAGCCTTAGTATGTTCTCCCAGTTATACGCCTTGATTAGCTTATATCGTTTTGTTGTTCGAGGATAAACCTGACCGTGCCATTGAGCATCACCTTGCGAAACCCAACACTGCGGTGATCTTGGCACATGACTTGCCATATGCGCTTTCGTCGAAAGTAGTATTACATATGCCAATTGGAAGCAGCCCAGGGAATACTGTAGCATGAGCTTTTCCGTAAAACAGGCTATAGTTAGGCATTGCCTTTATTGCAACTAATCTCGTAGTCTAGTACACAGGGTTCTTCCACCCTCCCGTTTTCTCTAGAGACGCTCATTGCTTTAGGGGACAAATGTACAAGACACAGAAAACCTTAACCGAAGCGTTGATGTCTAATTACTCCACCTTAAGGCTCTGCAGTCTAGCCTCAGTAGAAATAACCTATCAAGTATGTTAGAACAAATATCCCCATCGCATATGTTGCTCAAGTGATCAGGGGATCGCTTACCTCAAGTGCCTGCTGCACCTCGAGAACCTTCCTCACCTCACCAAGCCAGTCCCGGCTTAGAGTCTTGGCCCAGCCCTGCAGTCCATTCATCTCCCGCGCCGCCTTGTCAAGGTCACCCTCCTCTAAGTACGTCTGTGTCCTGGTCAAGATGCTCTCAACGTCGTCGCCAGCGGCGAGTCCCTCTTTCTTAAACATGATCTTGCTGAGCACCCAGCTGCTAGCGTGGCTGGCCACGCCAGCGTCCTCGGGTAGCAGGCTGGCCTTGCGAACTTCGGAAGCCACACGACGGAAACGGTCGATGAGATTCGAGGGCGTAGAGATGCCACGCTGGTAGGCAGACGGGTTGATGGATGAAATTGCCGCGTTGATAACAGTATCATCAGAGGAAATCTCCCGGAGAGCAACGAGCTCTCGTACAAAAGGCCGCGGGTGCTCAGTGTCGGAAAGACTGGCGCGGACGGCCTCGACAGCAACATGCAGTTGCTGCGTCTTGAGGTTCATGTCAACAACATCGTTCCACCCGGTGGTGAGCATCTCGAGCTCCTTTACTGCCGAGCTAAGTTGATCCAGCTTGCCCAGGCGACCATTGCGCTCCGCCTCGACCGTGTTCTTGATGTCCTTCATGAATTGGCGTTTTAGCTCGATAGCCTGCTCAAGTAGCAAGTTGTTCAGTTTCTGCTCATTAACGAGCTTCTCGCGTTCCATCTCATTCTTGATGCGTGAGTCATAAACTTCCTTGATGCGCCTCATCTCAGTCTCGAACTCTTCACGCCACGTACGTTCTTGGGAGGCCATGGCGCCTTCAACGCGGGTGACGAGCTCATTTGCAGCGACTTCAAACTCATTCACCTTGGCAGATACTTGAGAGGCAGCATCCTTCTCGACCTTGGCCTTGAGATCGCGAATCTTGGACCCGACCTTGTTGAGCTCGTTCTTGGCCTTGCCAATAGTGGCGGAGAAGCGATCATTAGCGTTGTCAGCGTTCACTACCGTGATGATGTCGTTTAGCATTTTGACCAGGTCCTGGACCACGGGTTCGTCGGCATCTTTGACATTGAGCGGGTCAATTGGCCCAGCAGGAGGGAAGCGAGAGGGCTCGTCAACTTCGGGCGCCTTGAACACAGGTTTATCTCCTTTGGCCTTCTTGGTCATGTCGGCAGAAGTCGCGGCAGAAGGGATAGCTGCAGCCTTTGGTGGCTCCTCAGACTTCGCAACGACAGTCGCTTTCTTTGCGGTGGCCTCAGACTTGGGCTTTGCCTGTTTAGTTGCAGGGGTGTTGCTATTACCGTCACGAACGGCACTTTTGGACCGGCCGCCGGACTCTCCACTGTCTGCAACCCGCCAGGAGGCACCACTCTGGGGAGCAATCTTCACCTGAGCACCGGTGTCCTGAGTCCTGGAACTAGTGGTCATGGCACGGGGAAAGCGCTTCCTCAGCTCCTTTTCCTCGAAGTACAAGACTGCTTGCTCGCCGTAGGGTATGTACTCGGTGAAGAAGTCATGGAAGTTGTCGTTGACGCGCGAATACCACACTCCACCACCGAAAGTGACAGCGCCCAAGATCATCAGAGTAAGAACATAGTTGCGTAGACGACGGAAGAAGCCCTTCTTCTTGACCGGGACTGGAGCACCAGCCGGGGGTGCATGTCGAGTGATGGTACCTGTCGATGAGAGGGTAGCTTCTTTCGGAGCTGGGGGCGTCAGAGGGACAGCTTTCGCATCTATAGTGGAGGCTGTGACCTTGGCTTCCGTCTTCAGAGCGGGCGCATCTACGGCCGGCGATGTGTTGGTCTCAGAAGCGGGTAGTTTTGGCGGGTTCGCATCTTGTATCGAAGCCTTTTTGTTTTCAGCGTAGTATCTCTATTTACCTGCCAGTCAGCATAAATTCCTATGCGGACGCATGGCATCGAGGTGATCTCATACCCTGGCAGCTGCGCTAGCGGAGGGCTGCCATTGGCGGCCAGTGGGAGCAGCAATGGGCTTGGTGCCCACCGCTCTCACGGATCGCAACGTCGTGCGCAACATGAGGGCATTGAGTAGCCGTCAGGCTGCGATGGCGGATGCGTTGTCGGGCTTTGGGGTGTGGACGTGGGAGAGGGAAAATGCTCGGCTAGCTGCCAACGTTGGCAGCTCAACTTTTGCTGCTAGCAAATGGATAATCCCGGCCCGCCGGTCAGGAACGCGCTATGCAAGGCTACAAAACAACGCCGAGCCGACAATAGACTCCGAACATTGCACCACACAAACATCTTATCAACACTGATATAGAGAATATATTCGAGGTGGTCCCATTTTAAGTAAAGGGCTTTTATCTAACATTTAATCATCCTTGACACAGTTTGTGCTCCATTTCCCAAAGCGCATGCAACTAGTGTGCAAGATTGGAGCTTCGTTCTGATGACATAAAGCAGTAGGACGCACAAGTATTCCCACCATAGTACAGATAGCGCTCATCAAAAGCATATTTTTATGAAGATTTCATTCCAAAAGCTGAGGGATAAGTTCTATGACAACTAGGGTGAGAACACTGTACAACTCAAGACCGACGGACAATCTCCATGTCTCCGCTGTATCCCACCATCGCGCAGCCATTCGTTGGCCCTAGTTTGCGTTGCAGGAAAGACCAAAGTCAAGTTATTAAAAAACGTATGCCACCTTTCCGAGACTCCAAATGAATATATTCTGCCATGTGCCTCAGTGAACGCGTTGTCGAATAAGCCCACTTGCCTAGCTCCGTTGCTTACTGTAGTACTGGAGGAGATCCGCCGACCCATGCAAGTAGAGCAGGTACGCATCAATGACGAGGATCAGGTATAAGTACCGTGGTAGCCTGGTTTCCCCTTTCAACCAGCACCCCACACGCTTCTAGCAGCTGCATGGCCCTCCAGACTGAGTATTGGCACCCTCGGTCGGTCCCAAGCTTACTCCGCCTGCGCGCTGACCTGGGCGAGTATGACGCGGACCCACTTGGTCCAACGGGAGCTTCTTCGCGATGGCAGTGAACAGCTCCCGCACATTCTCGGCTGTCTTGGCTGATGTCTCAAAGAAGAGCAGACCTGCTTCGTTCGCATATGCTTCGGCGTCAGCCGTCGACACTGCCCTCTTATCGGGCTGCTCGTTCACCAAATCCAGCTTGTTGCCTGCAAGAGCGATGATGATGTTCTCATTGGCTTGTCGCTGAAGCTCCTTGACCCAAGCCTTTGCCTTATCCAGCGAAGCCTGTATCATCGTATTAGTTTGGGCATCCGAGGACATCCACGTTGGGGGAACCTTACGGATTGGGTAATATCGTAGACGACTACAGCGCAGTTCGCATTCCTATAATACATGGGTGCAAGCGACTTGTATCGTTCCTGGCCTGCTGTATCCCATATCTCGAACTTTACCGTTGTGTTTTCATCGAGTGAGATGGTCTGGGTGAGGAAGGCGGCGCCAATGGTGGATTCCCTATAGGAGTCGAATTGATCCTTCACGAATCGTAGAACTATCGAGCTCTGTTGAGTGTTGATTAGCGAGAGCAATACGAGGCGTCGGATTCGTATGTATGCGATACCTTTCCCACTGCCGACTCTCCTATAATGAATGAGGTTAGCATTCGTTTATGTCGATGCCAGCGGATTCGCTGGCGTGGCGATATCATACCTAATAGCACCAACTTGAACTGCGCAAAGCGTGTGTTCATTCCACGGGCACCTGCGGGAGCTCCTCTAGAAGCCATAATGCTGGCAGTGTTGGCGGGGTGGTGCAGTGATTCGGGGTTGATGTAATGAATGAGGTAACTTTCGGAAACTGGCGATGTCGCTCGGCGCTGCACAAAGAATAGTCGAGATGACGACCAGAGGGTCCGGAACGGGCGCAAAGGACAAACGGTTAGCAACTAAGGCCGACAGCGACGAGACTTGGGCGAGGGTTGCAAACGACTCGTCATAAATGGCTTTGGTGGTTCGGCGGAAGAGTTGAATGGGTGATGTTGGGTGACTTGCAGGTGGTCATTCGTTTCTTGGACAGTGATTGCCTGGAACTTGCAGTAGAATCGAGGCGGCTGAGGGCGTCGATTGCAAGTGCCTCGTGCACCTGACGCTCACATCAAGGTACAGTGTATTTTACACAGTGTGAGAGGTAGGGCCGTCCACTTGCAGCTCTTTATCTTGTCAGCTGCGACCAGCCGCAGCAGATAGCACCTCTACCTCGTAAATACCGATGAAGTCTTGGCGTTCACATGAACAACTAAAACTGCTTGATGTCAGTGCTCTGGCCTAAGCCAGGTTTCTCCATTGCAAGTGGCGCACGACAAATCAGGCTTAGCGTCCTCGCCGCCCTTGCTCAAGCTCACTCAGTCGATCAGGAATTATGCAATTGTATGCACGAAAAGAGGTAAACTTGCCCCGTAAGCAGATCTGGATGCCATAAACTGAAGCTTACGGTGCTTTGTAACCATTTTGTTTCCGTGTTTGCTCGCTCGTGCTACTTGGTCATAGTTACCGCTCTAGCAACTTATTCTACTTCCTAACGACGAGCTTATACTCCATAATCTAAGAATTTCCATTGAAAGCTTTTACAAACCCGGCGATTTTGTCCATTAATTGGTTTCCACATCCGATAAGCGGAGATAGGGCGAGCCTTATATCAAGTTCGTAAGTAGGGTGCTTGACATTATCAGCTTCGAAGTCGGATTCCGTCAAAGGCACTTGGCCCCGGCCGTGAGATTCCGTAGTATGTTCAACTTCGTCCTCAACTTCGTCCTCAACTTCGTCGTCGCCGTCAACGGCTTCGATGCAGTTTTCTACGGCTCTTTGTACAAAGCTAGACCTTTACATCGATTATTGCAAGCTTGATGAAGTTTCTCGAACAAGCCTCGTAGCTGAAGTGAAAGCATATATGCACAGCGCGTTGGTCCTGCCACAATGTGACCCAATAAAACGGTTTCCTAGGAAGCCACTTGGCTAACCTTTTTTGGCGGGATGAACTCCTGGAAAGCTCTTCATCTACTCCGCTCACCTGAGCCACAATTTACCCTGGGTTGCCGCTATCTAGCACGCCCTCTCTACGCTTGTCCGATGATTGTGGATGTCTTGCGCAGACTCATCACAGGGTAGAAAATGAGGACTGCCAAATCTGGAGATGCGGGGCCATACATGGCATCAGCATTAATCGCAAAATATCTAAAATAGGCCAACCTTGGCGCATGGCCCAAACTGCCTTGTATCTAGTGTAATACAATGGAGGACTTAGCTGCGAATGACGTTTTGGCACAGCGTTCGGGCTGGTTGTAAGGGGGCGGATGGCCGTGTGCGGGATGGTCATGTGATACTCTACGCCAAACTATTTAGGATCCGTCTCGTCACTCGAGTTCATACGCCAGACTCTTTACATTCATCCCCTTAAACTCGTGACAGCCTATCACAATACGCGGCTTTGGCCCCAAAAGCCTCACTTACAAAACTTGATCTAGCGTGGTAATAATGATATTACGGCATCTCACACTCAAGCCTGGATTACGTCGATAAAAGGTCTGTGGTTGGAAGATGTTCACCGAACTGCTGCCCAAAGCACACAACTTCGAAAGTTGATAGTTTACGAAGTAAGGACAATCTATGACACCAGCAAGCCACTATTCACAATCGATGCGGTACGAAAGTTGGGCGCGGAACTTGAAATTCTCCGGAAGGGACTACCAGCACCTCGCAAAATCATATCATACATACTGGTATCAATGGCGAGGTCGTTGAACTTTTTTCCGATCCTGCGAACCTATTATATGATGGCCCATCTATCTCGGCGCCTAGATGGTGAACTGAATTTCCTACCTTCATATCTTTGTCACCTGTGTGAATCTAGCTTGGCCAATTCATTAGGATCATTAATTACTTCCCCATAGAGAATCTTACCGCCGGCCAGAGAATCGAAAGACATAGCTTTTTTCAATCCTCAAACTGCATTCCTTCCCGTACAAATTACGTATTACATCACGGAACTAGAGGGCAGCCCAGACCGTACCTGGCAGAATTCGCCTCCTCCACAGAGGGTTTATATAATTCATTTCAGGATGCGGTGCGCCAATGGAGGACACGACAGTGTCACGAAGGTATCCCAATGAATCCTAGCAACAGGACCGGTCATATTAGATAAGTTCGTTGCCTTTGGTGCGGACCTCTGACGTTGACCTCTGACGTTGAACTCCGAACTAGATAACCGCCCTATGATTGCGCACGCATTACTTTTAACGATCTAAGCATGTATACCTCATTGCAGGTGTTACATATAGGATCCTTTATACGAAAAAGTGGATCAACATGTTTTAGAATCATTTGGGTTTCATGTCCTGAACGACCGGAGGCATTTTTGGTAATAGATCAGGCCAGTATCCTAGTGTTAATTCGCGCCAACATTCCAGTGAAGCAGATTGTGGTAAGCGACTTTCGGCGCCATTTCCAATCCTTTCTATTCCCTCTTTGAGCGTCGAGACGTGTTTCATGCAGTGTTTTGAAGCCAATGCTCCTGAAGCTTGTCTCTAAACTCTGTATCTTTCTCTTTGGGCAACCACTAAGTACGAGGCTTGCAAGCCGATACTTGCAATCCTGGTATTGTTATCTGGGATAATGACATATCAATATTTCCATGGTAAGTATATATATTGTTGTCGGCTGGTGTAGTTGGTCACTTCGCTGGTAGATAAGTCCCGATTTGAGCCTCGCCCACTTGGGTCGGTGACGAGTCGCGGGTTCGAATCCCGCAGCTGACACACAAGGGGGTTTAGTCAACCCTTACGGCGCGCTGCCCACCTTGTTGACTTCGCCTACCTAGCGATAATAGGGAGATTGGTGCAGTTTAGGATTACGAGCATCCTAGCCAGTCGACCGTCAAGCACTACGTCGGCGGAATATAACTCGACAGCCGGTCCAGAATTCGAATCGTTAATCCGACCCCTTATCGGACCTCGCCTTTCCGATAACGCTCGTCGGCGAACCCGTCCCCTCACGATAGAAGGCGCGCAGCACGCCCTCTCGCCGCGATTCTTGCGAGCGTCTGACCACGTTACGGTCTATCCACTTGAGCGTATGGTTGAGATGTATACGCTCGACGAGAACCCCAATTAGCAGATACTACGACTTGTCGCGACAAAAAAATAGTCGAGCATCTTCTGCACATCAGCAGCATCCCACCCCTGAGGACGAATTTAAGTGCCACATTACCACACTTATCGGTAGTTCAGGCAGGGGTTGTAGCACAGACTTAGGGAGGGACAGGAGGTTTAGTAGTCATTTGGCTACAAGTTTACCTGTATAACCGCCCGACGCGGCTTAAGGGCCCGCTATATCATCTATAGCCCCTTAAGGGAGTACTTGTAGAGGTACCGAGGGTTAACACCTACGGCGTATTTAATATTATTTTTATATATTGTTGTCTTTCTAATGAATAATATTTGACCTTATACAGTTTGATAAAATAATCAAGAAAGAATATGTTGAGTTATCATGTGGTCAGGTATCAATGTACCTTAGAAGATCTAATAACGTAGTATAAGGTATTGAAAAGAATGAGGCCTGTTTGAACCGGTTGTTTGATCCAAGGAGCGGATGTTTACACTAAGTACTGATCTTCCAAACTGGAAATCACTAGCAATGATCCTACTCCCTGTGGGATTGAACGCCAGAGTTAATGCCTTACGCGGAGGGCGGTGTAGTGGCAAGTGTAGCTAGTGGGCCCGACCCTTCCTTCCTCCCTGATAGATAGCAATAGCGCTTCTAGCAAGCAACACAGCACAACGCGTGCGTAGAGCAGACACAGTAATCGACACGAGATCGACAGAGTCATCAACAGAGGAATAAATCCCTCTCTCCTAAAATAAACGCCATAATACTCATTGGAAACTTGTAGCCAAATGCAAAAGACCGATACATAATCTCAATACTAAAACGAATGACATAGCTCAATACCTGAGCAATCCCTGAATACCAACTGCAAATAGCTGAAAAGGAGGATCAGGTTCGATACACTTGTCTCCATAATAATGATGGAGGCCACAATTGTAGTCGATTCTGTAATGATAACAAATGTTTGCCTACGCTAATTAATATCCAAGGGTTTACAACAGCTGTATCTGTGGGATCGCACTAGTACTGGCATTCCGGCTACATGCGAAGGTGAAGAGGGAAAGTACAGGTGGGGGGTCCAAGCCACACAAGGGCACTAAAGTATCTCGCGTGTGTCTCACGTGACCGTAGGCCACCAATTCCACAGTATCAAGTGGAAACTATACGGCAAAGAAGAGAAAAAGCAAATATATATGAACGTACCAATAATTTTACTAAAGTAGGATGATATAGAAGATAGTAATAGTTATGTGGTCTGAAACAGTGTAAAGCTGTGAGAAGCTGTTAGGCAACCTTGATGGGCTTTGCCAAGACCATCAAGGTTACCACGTGACTTAGCCCTTCGGGACTAAGTCCAACCTTCGTGCTCCATAGGACTAGATAGAATGTCATGCTTTTACAACCTCACAAATCTTTGACCGCCTTAGCGTGTAACAGAAGCTATGTGATACTGATGAGAATGAAGCAAATTTGAACTAGACCACCTTTTATATTTTTATTTCACTTTGGCCATATGCATTCTGAGGGATTCAACCCTCAGATGATGACTCTGTACAGATCCTGTATTGGTTACGATGCTCGATGCGCAGTGTGATGTGTGTATTGACTGCTCGGAGTGCTCTGTAAGAAGTTACATCTAAGGTAGGTAGGCAGGTGCCGACCTTTTTATCTACACAAGCGATTTCACTGCCTTAGGCACCACCTCAGGCACCACCTCAGGCACACGTATGGCGCTCAATCCCACACATTCCACCTAATATAACGTGTTTAGGTTACTCATACGTTTGAAAGATAATCTGTTTGATATCCTGCTTGTTAGCTCTTTTCCGGAACCTTTTTTTGTTTGCCTAGTAATTCGTCAGATCACCAGGGCATTTTCCAGTGGCCACAACATCCTGTTAATTCGATCCCAATATCACGTACAATTTGCCTCAATCCATCAGGGCATTTTTTTTTCCTTTTGATTATTCTCTGGTATCCTCATCATTTTCAAGGTTACTAGGGGAATTCTTTGTGATGTTGGCTATTCAACATGCCTTACTGTAAGGTGACAGCAAGCCTAGACTATCACGTCACATAGACCAAAAGATCTAGTAATTCTGTCACTTAGTGACAGAATTGAGGCTTAACCCTGCTTATAGCTCTGTATTCCCTTACACTTACAAATACCATCGAACACAACTCATTTTGCACGAAAGATTCTCACCCAGAACCCTTGGGAAGCACTGGTACCGGATTTTCTGCCACCGCGATCCCTCTGAAAGGTCCATCAAAGGCACCTCAATTTTATTATAAGCGTATAATTGGCGCCACTGTCGAGAATATCAACATCTTGTTCGATCGTCTGGATGATCCGGCGGTCAAGCGTATGCCTAAAAGGTTCTGGTACAACGATGATGAGGTTGGCTTATTCCAGGGCGGAGAGACAACAGCTTGAGGGCTGGGGAAGCCTATCGTCAGTCCATCTTGGTCAGGGAGTACCATAATGTGGTTTGGATCACGATTCTCAAGTGTAGCTGCGCTGACGGTACCGCTGTTCTCCCCTAATCGTCTTTGCTGGCAAAAACGTGTAACTGCAGCGGTTTCCCGATGACGGTCGTTGGAACGACTGGGACTCCACTAATTCTCCTAACGACTGGACGAACACTGATATCGCCGTCAAAAGGCTGAAAGCGGTCTTCATCCCTCACTCCCAACCATAAAACCCCGAGCAGTGGCGGCTACTGATTCCATATGGTCACAACAGCCATACCACTAAAGAATTCATGGAATTGTATGTTTTATACAGTATCTTGATTGCCTTTTGCTGAATTACGTCGTTATCTCGTCCGTCCGGCCTGCCCAAGACACTCTTCTCTCATTGGTTTGACTATAACATGCGGCCAAGCGGATCATTTCAACGGACGAAGATACGAAGTAGCGGCTATATTTTACGAAGAAACACTCATCTCCGGCTATAATAAAGAAGCTGATATCCAACCTCTGCTTGGGCGAATATGCGGTCTAGAATCATCCGTTAAATCCAGACCAGTACGTTATTCGGGCGCTCCTAAACGCTATTGGGAGGACATTACCGATCGCCGCGCTTAGATCAAGCCTCGGTTTTCTATAATAGTCTAGGGAATAGTCTGGTTAAGAGATAGAGAAGCCAAACAATTAAAAATAATATCTTACAAGATCCGGGTACACCGTGCGGAGGAGTGTCTTTCCTATGCTACTAATAGGTCCTAGTTGAAGGCCGACATCCATTCTACGAGGCTGGGAACCTCCTTATATACGTCCTGGAAGGCCTAGACGGAAGACCATAGGATTTAGACTATCGAACACCCGCCCTATTAAGCACGTTTGGAAGGCTGCTAGTAATAAATTTCAACATATACTTTTACCAAATGAAAGTGCGAAGAACGTCAACGACAGAGCGTACGCGCGTTTGATCGAGTTAGTGTGAGCAAAGATCAATTCAGGCCTCGTACAGAAGTTGATGGATCCATCCCTGACCGGTTGAAGGGGTGTGAAAAGCACGAGGCTGATACAAGCACTATCAAAGCAGAAATTAATTGCACGTGGTCACGTGTGACTGGTTTGCGAAATGTACGAAAAATGGTATTGCTAGTGATGTAAGTTGGTTGTGTGGGGGTCGAAATGGCTCAGAATGGTCATAAAATAACACTCGTCGTAGGAACTCCTAAGATATAGTTTTTGTCCTACCAGGGCCGCCAATGATGTATGCTATCAAGGACCCCGGTCCGCGAAATTATCCCCTTCAGAGTCAAGAATGACAACGAACCGTTCCGTTATTTCCGGTACGCCCTGTTTTTCCTTGCCATTAGGCACATCACTGCCTGCTACCCCGTCTGGACAGCAAACTCCGTCATACGCTGCCATGAGTGACATGCGACCATGTCCTTTTGTGTCGACCAGCCTAGTCAACGTTCTGACTTGACCAAGTCATCGGAGAGACGGTCCCAGCTGGACGTGTCCGACCCCTCATCTGTCCCGTCCATTTGGACGTTGCCCGAGGGACTACCCTATCTGTCCTTGCGAGTGCCAGCAGGGGGTTGCGTCTCGCCGTACTTCTCACAGAGATCGTGGTATTCTCTCTGGAGACTCTCGGACTGCTTCTTCAGCGTCTCAATGTCGACATCCCTGCGCTTGATCTCCTTCTTGAGGCGCGAAATTTCACCCGCGTCACCAGCGACAGCCAGCTTTTCGGAGTCCTTGGTTCTCTTGTCGGTACCCTCATACTGCTTGACCTTGTCCTCCAGACGCAACACCTCAAGGATCATGGAGTAGGTGCGGTTGAGGATCAGCGACAGGAACAGGGTGAAGCCACACAGGTACATGTTGCGTTGTGAGTAGAACTTGCGGGCCTGCACCTCGAGGCGCTCGTGACCCATGATAGACGCGTTGCCCTTGGAGCCCTCGGTGGCGGCCGCTAGCTCGACTTGCACACGATAGACGCGATTGACGCTATCGACGAAGAGGATAAGGATGAATATGAAGGTGATTTTGAGGCCGTATTGTAGCTTTGCTATAATAGGGTTCTCCGAAATGAAGCTGCGTAGAGGTTAGATGTTGGCCAGGTTATTTGTCATGGCCCCGCTGGCAGGGAGGGGTTTTTCTGTAAAACGTACTTGAACATCTTGCGTCGGATGGTGAAGGGCAGGGGGAGAACAAGCAGCATGAAGAGTGCCATCTCCGCCACGAGGAGCAGGAATACCTGGTTCGAGAGTGTCAGTAGGTTTCGTTCATAGCCGATCCATGCCACCTCACACGGAATACAAAATAGAACTTACGAGAGTGTAGTAGAGCGTCATCTTGAGGATGTTTCTCAGCTGCCGAGATACTGCGGTAAAGTGGGAAATTAAATAGAGTGCAGAACTCTCGCGTGATGCAGAGACGAAGAAGGTTGGCGGGTTGCGGTTCGCGAGGTTTTGTAGTTGGTTTTCTTGTGGAAGATCAAAGGTGGCCAGTTGTCGTGGAGCTACGTAATTGTTGCGAATTTCAGGTGTGGTCGGGTCAGAGTGGGCTGCAGCTTCCAAGCTCAAGCCTCTTGTTGCACTTGAAATCAACGTCATAAGTGGCTGAAGAGAATCCCTGCAATTATGGCTGATTCCGCTCATTAGAAACCACACATCTCTGATGCAATTTGAAGATCGACCAAGACATAAAACCAAGCAAGATCAACCAGTGAATCTCTGCAAGTCCCGAGGTATTCATAAGCTGAGTTCACCCAGCGGCCGACTAGCTGATTCAGCTCACCAACGGGTCAGATAAATCACCATCGGTCTGAAGCTTCCAAAATTGGGACTCACGCCTTCTGGTTCTGGCCCCTGTGATTAAATACCGAAGGGACAGGGTTAGTAGAAGCCCCCAATACCACAATCTGCAGCCCAATTAGTTAGTGTCGAATAGGCATAAATAAACAATCATTTCCAGACGAGAGTTTCAGGGTGTTTAGGATATATGCTCTCGGTGCTTGGGACCAATGGCAATGATATTAAGGATTGTCCGAAAGTCTACTCAAGGAGGCAGTCTATGTCAGAAAGAAAGATCGGTCGAAATAGCAACATCGGCCGTGTCACCTTGCTACTTAAATCCCAAGTGCGAACCCGAAAGAAATACACTGCTCTACGGAAATAGAGGGTGTGTGTAGTTCTGTGCCTTTTACCATCTCGAAAATATTCATATAGATTCATTGTTATCGACTGAACGCTTTTAGGCTGAAGACGAGCTTCATGCCCGTAACAGGTGTGCCTGGAGGATATTCTTCATGACCAAGGCAAAGACATCGCTAGAAGGACACACAAGATAACCGTGCTTGCAAGTTCTTAGTTTATTAATATTCCAGGCTGTTCACATCTTGAAGAACACTCTCTAGAAGAACAGTATGCACCGCCATATGGTGCTGTGTTAACTGATGGCCAGGTCTCTTGTTCATTTGAGACTTCTTGGTATGCAATCAAAGTTATTGGACAGGTGGTTGTCAGCGACGAAACCCTCATTTTGTTCGTAGCTGGCTACCCTACAACCGATGACTTTTGAAGGGAAGCAAAAAAGGTGGCTATACAGTCTTCACTAACATAATCTAGTGGGTTAAAAGGCATGTTCAGGGTGAGAAAGTACACTAAAGGTTTACCAAGTAGGTTCGTAGCAGGATGATACGCCTCATTATGACATCAAGAAAAGCTCCTTGCCTAGTTGTCAGTCTGTTCTCGGGTTCCTTATCCCACTTAACTACCGGATAATCTGGCAAATTAAATTATGGTTAGAAGACCGAATATGTTAGTACATCAAGGACTAACAAAGATGTTTGTCATATCTTCTAGGGGTATAATTGCCTTACTCAGCAGTTACTTCAATCACACACCATCACAACTTTATCACCAATAGTCTGGTTGGACTTGTGTGATAACATTAGCGCTACCCAAAGGCAGAGGGGATGTTATTGGACAGTAACGACAAATGGGTTCAATGAATAAAAGCCACTAGACTGGAATAATTACATGATACTATTAGCGCCACCCAAAGGCGAAGGAGATGTTATTGGACAGTAACAACAAATGGGTTCGATGAACAGAAGCCACTGTAATATGAATATGCTCAAGACGTCATGTCTACTGACCACCCTTCCTCACTATGCTGAGTTCGAGTCGGGATTTAAGTAGCTCGTCCCACAATGGAAGAACATATAAACCAAGCTTGACAGTTAGATAATAGTCATCAAACCTGTCACACACAACACACAAGCACTTACAACTTGGAAAATGCATGGTTCCGAGCTCCTCCACACCGCTTTGGCAGTGATAAACGCCTACAACGCCTGGGATGTGGACGCCATTATGGCCCTGCGAGCACCAGACTGCATCCACCGCGTCCTCCCCGAATCGCTCGGGCAGCCAGCGATGAATAACACCGAGTACCGTGCGTATTTCGAGTCGATCCAACCCCTATTCGAGAACTGGACCATTACTATTACCAACACGATTGAGGATCAGGGCGCGCACAAGGTCGGCTTCCACGCCAACAGCACAGGGACTATGTGTGCTGGACCATATGCCAACGAATATGCCCTGTTCTTCCACATGACGGACGATGATGCCTTGGTGTTGGAGATTGACGAGTTTGTGGACAGCGATCATACGAAGGATTATTTTGTGAGGTTGGGGGAGTGTGGAGTGTGAATCGGAGGAAAGGGGTATTTAATTCCGAGATGGTGTTGGGAGGCTGCCGCAAGTACAATGGTCATGAGTACTTGGACAGTATCCCCGGTCTTCGTAGGATCAGCAAGCAGTTCACTGATTTTACGTGATAAAGATGGTGGAAGTGTGATTGACGTATATTCCCAAATGGGAACGCCGCTCGTTAACAGTTTTACTTAAGATTAATTGGGTGCGCAATGGATGCAGGGAAACAGCGTACGGTCATTATGCTGAACTCAGGATCAACGATCACGTCGCTACTCTTATACTTTCGTCCGAATAATTAAACGTGACGTCTGGGTTATGGAACAACTCATTCATCAAGCGCAAGCACTACTGCTTAGCCAACATGTAGTAGCACCAAGTGACGATTTCGAAAAGGTGAAAAGAAAGATTGGGGAATGAATGACAAACTCTGTGATCAAAATGAGGATAGTAAATTACCTACTGTTCGCATGGTCAACTTAGCGGCTCCAACTCACTTGTGGTGAAGCTTGTGGAAAGAAGCAATCCGTTTGCGACTCATGTCACGCATCGTTGTTGGCATGACTCGTCCACATAGCGAAATCGTTTGCGCTCGTGTGACTATATGATTGAGTAATGGTGAGTGGAGTTGGGGGATCATGTCGAGAAGCAATTAATACCAACTTTGGGTCGGAGAAATGCTGGGGCATGCACTATTAAATGGATAAGACGCGGATACTTCAGTGCCCAGGGAGAGCATATACCTACTTGAGCACTTGCAAGACCAGGCCAGGGTTAGGATTGCGAGTACGGTTGAGGTAGAATCGTACTTGTAATAATGTTGGTATTCCATATTAGCACCCACCTTAATTCTGTGTGGAGTTTCCTTAACCACTCTGAGTAAAGGTAATTGGGATTTTGAATCAATGCTGATTCGGAACGCGGCCTCAAGGGGTGTCTGATGCCAAGTTGATCGTCTGCTGAGGCTGAGCTGACCCGACCCCTGTCCGAGCTCCGAGAATGCCAAGACATCAAGGGTCTCGCAGGGTACGGTACCCCACAATTGGAACGCCTGGAAAATGATTGACAGCGGCCAGCCTTGCGCCTCGTTTCCAGCACTTCGTATTTCCAACAGCAAGATGTATTCATTGTCTTTTAACTTCTTCATACCTAGGTGACAATTTTCTAAAGGGAAAGAGACGAAATTTGATGCTGCAGATGTCATGAGATGACTTACATTCGCTTCAATTGACCCGCATAACCCCACGGCCACCATGGGCGTCTTCTCCCTTTTCAGGGGCCTCTACGACCTCGACACCCTCGACACTCGCTTTACCAACTCGTCCACGACGCCATACAAGACGGTGATTGAATCCCGCGATGATCCGAATGCGATCAAGGAGCGGGCAGCCAAGTTCAGCGGCAGGACGAAACCGTCGAAATGGAACACGCCCGAGTTCTATCTCTACTATGTCTTCCTCGCCTGGGTCATACCTAGTATGTTCTGGATAGCGTATGATGCGTCAAAATGTATGGTACCTGCCGCGGAAATGAATGGAATCTAGTCAAGACTAACTAGTTTCGCAGCTTCGAATCCGCAATACAAGCATTACGAGCGCTACCTGTCTCCAGGCTGGATACCTGGACGCAAGATCGTAGGCAACATCTGCCTCCAAGCTTCACTTTAGGAACGCGCAACTCTAATACAATGTTGTAGGATATTTCCGATGATCAGTACTATACATTCCGAAAAAATCTGCCTTATATGGGGGCGCTGCTCGTCCTGCACCCCCTTTGCCGCCGGCTATACAATTCGATCTTATACCGGGTAGCGACCCATGCCCACACCACTCGACCGACGTTGGAGGAGGCCGATGAGAGACTGAACCAGCGGGCGTCTTTTGATTTTGGCTTTGCCTTGATATTCCTTGTCGCTCTTCATGGTGTTTCGGCAATCAAGATCCTGGCCATTTTATATGTGAACTACCATATAGCAACTACGGTACCGCGGAAGTCGGTGCCTGTCGCAACTTGGGTCTTCAACATTGGCGTGTTATTTGCCAATGAAATGTTCGACGGCTACAAATTTGCGTCTCTTGGGGCTATACTTTCTGGTCCATCCGAGCAGTCCCTGGTGGCTTCAGATCCGGCCTTGCTGGCATGGTGCAAGTGGCTAGATACCTACGGCGGTATAATGCGCCGGTGGGAAATTCTCTTCAACATCACCGTACTTCGGCTCATCAGCTTCAACATGGACTACTACTGGAGCTTGGACCGCCGAAGCCATAGCCCACTCGAAGTGAGCACAACTCCTGCGTTGCGCGCGCAGTTTTGACAGTGCTGACACTCCAATAAGAAACAATTAGATCCGGCTGCTCTCAGCGAGCGTGACCGCGTCACTATCCCAGCGCAAGCCAGGGACTTCACCCTCCGCAACTACATTGCCTACACCATTTACGCGCCCCTTTACCTCACGGGCCCCATCATCACTTTTAATGACTATATATCACAACTGCGTTACAAGTCCGCCACCATCGAAACCCCACGCCTCATTCGCTACGGCATCCGCTTTGCCCTGACCCTTCTAGCCATGGAAGTGATTCTACACTTCGACTACGTGCAGGCCATCTCCAAAGCGCACCCCGTTTGGGACGAGTACACAGCCTCACAGCTGAGCCTGCTCAGCTACTTCAACCTGCATTTGATCTGGCTGAAGCTGCTTCTCCCCTGGCGGTTATTCCGACTTTGGGCCCTGGTAGATGGCATCGACCCGCCGGAGAACATGCTCCGCTGTGTCAGTGACAACTACTCGACACTCTCCTTCTGGCGCTCCTGGCACCGCAGCTACAACCGCTGGCTGACGCGGTACATCTACATCCCGCTGGGCGGCTCGTCCTTCCGCGACGGCAAATCAGCCATCCGCTCCATTTTCAACTACGTGCTCACCTTTACCTTCGTCGCTCTGTGGCACGACATTAAACTGCGCCTGCTCATCTGGGGCTGGCTTGTCGTCTTCTTCATGCTGCCCGAGATGGTGGCCCGCATCGTATTCCCAGCACGGAAGTGGGAGAGCCATCCCACGGCATACCGTATGATCAGCTGTGTTGGAGCCGTCGCTAATGTGTTGATGATGATGATGGCTAATCTTGTGGGGTATGCTGTTGGTTTAGACGGGCTGCAAAACATTTTGGCGGGGATTTTTAGGGATTTCACTGGTGAGTCAATACCCCTCTCAAACCAGTACAAACTGTCCAGGAAGGACTTCCCTCTCCTACTATCTGGCGTCTATGGTTGCAATACTGACTTTTATTTGTTTAGGCATGACGTTCCTTGTAACAGCTTGTCTAGCACTGTTTGTCGGTGTACAAGTCATGTTTGAGATCCGCGAGGCAGAACTGAGGAAAGGCATATGGCTCAAGTGCTGATCCCTGGCTCTAGTTATTCCATCGAATTGAAATTGTCGTTGATAGAATGTAAATAAAACACTTGCACATAATCCAGTAGTATTAAGTCTTACATGGGACTACGTCATCAGTGCCGTGATACTTGATGCGCTGTACTGCTCCTCGTTCGAACGTGCTGGACTTGTGAAGTTTGCAGGGCGAACTCGCCATGGGTATCCTATTATTAACCGTACCAACGCAACGCTAATGTGTAAACACGCACCGTAGCGCAATGCTCCATTTATTACATGTTCCCGTCACTCTCAAGCTCCTCCTCCTCCAACAACTCTTCACTCACTTGTGAGCAAACGCAGTCGGACTGCCCATCTCATACCTCTCATTCTCGCCCCCCCACGTGGGATGCGCGCCGCGGGCAAACTTACCATCCATACCTAGCTTCTTCTCCGTCGCCCACCTGCGCGTCCAGATGAGACCCCACACAAGAGCGAAGATCATGATGATAGCGATGGCGATGCCAAACACGTAGGCGGCCACCAGTGAGTGCTGCTTGCCTGGGTCGAGGAAGCTGTACGTGTAGAAGCCCTTGGTGTGGTACGTCAAATACGCCAAGGACAAGTACAGAGCCAGAAGGACGATGAGGAAGGCGATATGTAGCCAGGGGGCCGGGTTCGTGCGCGGGATTATGATTTCGAACAGGGCGAACATACTGTTCATGGCATGTTGAGAAATGTTACTCCATGCGCGATACTGCGTCGGGAACCATTCGGGTCCGTATAGTAAACCCCAGTAGACGATGGTGACGAGGAATGGGAACGTGGTAATGGTCGTGTAGAACAGGGAGTGCAGGGCTTGTAGGGGCCGCGGCCACGAGTCGAGAGGGGCCGACTGCCAGCGGGCATACGAGAAGGTGTGGATCGAGGAGAAGAGGAAATAGAAGGCGATGCCCCAGTATGTCAGCGTCGTGAAGTAAGAGAAGTTTGCGGCGGCATCCTCGCAGGCGTACGAGGACCCTTCGGCGGGATGGGTGCACGACCAGCCGATAACGAAGAAAAGGGTTGTGAAGGCATAGAGGGACTGCGCGCCAGGCAAACAATGTCAGCGGGCTGGTTGACTGATGTGGACAGGACTCTAGCCAAAACGGAAAACTTACGAACACCGATCTACAGAAGAAGAGCACGTAGGGTGGTAACAGCCATGAGGTCTCGAACCGGTGGGACGGATCCCAAAGTTCGCTGCCGAACTTGAAAGGGCGAACCATTGTTGGCGATCAACTGGCGTCACGCAGCACAATTGACTTGAATATCTTCGACTGTGACTGTTCGTCCCAAGTATTCAAGTCCTACTTGTAAAGTAGCCTGGGCTGAGGTCATCCGCGGCGCTCAGCAGATGTTGTGATTGGCTTGGCGGAAAGGACAGACGTGGAGATTCGCGTGTGAAATGCGAATGGGGGGAAAACCTTTGACGTCGAGGCAAGGTGTCCGGCTGACAATCCTTTTGCACTAGCCCAGGACCCTATATCGAACCAGGCTATGCAATTCGAAATCGCGAGAGAAGCCTTTCATTTTCGACGCCGTCCAGGATCGAAACGAAGTTGCAAGGAATGCTTCATAGATATCCGCTTGTTCTCCGTGAATGGCGCGGACTTTGCTAAATTCGGACGTCTGTATGTGAAAATTGGGCCTGCGCGATGTGGGACCTCGTAGCTACGAACCGCAGCCTTGATGCTATCGGAGCCGGCTGAGGGTACCCAATTCGTGACTGCAATGTACAAAAGTGGAATTTGGTCCATGAGCACACCTCTCTTCATGACTCGGAACGCCATTGCCGTTACGAGATCAAATATTTTTCCAGCAAGGCGTTTCCGTCTCGGGTGCGACCTCGATGTCGAACACTCCAGCATTCGCATTCTGATGGTGATATCGAAAGCGGTAGCAAGGGTCGCAGGGATCAAAGGTATAAATAGGTCTGGCTTCAGAAAAAGCCGATCTTACCTTGTTTAGTATGGTGCTAGGTGCTAGTTCTTGATACGCCCCACGGGCACTCGACAGTGGAGCCTTTTATTCGGTCTTCCACCAAGTATATAGATACCTCGGCATTAGCTACGGAAATAGAAGAATCTTAACCGCATTAGCTCCCTATTTAAACACACCCCTATTTGCAACAGGAAGGTCCTGATCGGCAGCGTTTTCAGCGGCTCCTTGAAGGGTCGATTCGGTGTATCGTTTTTACTTATTTATTAACTGCTAATATGCTACTCATCCTGTTTGGGCACTGGTTCTAGCTATATTTGTAGTAGTCCGGCGCAATAGTAACTTCTCGTACCTACTAATAGGAGGGACGCGATTAATCCACGATTTAAGTCTCGCTTCTAGGACGTTTGCGGGCTCCTATATAGTACTCGAGGATCGATTCTACCTAGGCGACGGCCGGTTTACTTAGCGACGAGGGTGATGCGTATGTATATAGAGGATAAAGTATATGCATTGCGAAAGCTTAGTAAACTAGCACTCTCGCAGCTCTAATTATATTTTATCTTCTCTTCTCTACAGAGTAGCGTGACTGTTAGGCAACCTTGGTGGGCTTTGCTAAGACCACCAAGGTTGCCTAACAAGCTGAGTCGGGAGGGTTTCGCCCCTGATCCGGTAGAACTCTGGAACCGCCCACCTTAAGAGGAGAACTCGAGACGCTCCTACCTAACTTGTGAAGGTCAACCCTCGCAGACTCACTACAACCAGGTGACTTACAGCTGGAACACCTGCCGTGGCAGTGTCAGATGGGAAGCCAATCATAACCCTTGTAGGAGCCCCGCCAAGCGTGGATGACTTAGTCGCGCTCCCTCAAACCTAAGTTGTCATCTTCTTTCCTTCGCTCCTTAGAGTAGAATCTTCGTCGATAGCACCTAATCGAGGTCTCTACCAATGCGATGCAACCCAGGTCGTGACATAACTTAGATTCCTCAAGAATAAGTCTTGTAATATACGCACCCATACACTGGCCCATCCTAGTTGCTCTTTGTACTACCTGACTGTTATATTGTGAGACATGTGGTATCCCCGTGACAATGACCTTGGGCTACTAGTTCCACTGTAACTTACTGTTAACGCTCTTAAGACGCGATTATAAAGACATTTGAAAGCTAGAGTCCTAGCGTATGAATAAAGAATGTCTTAATATTAACAGTAGTCTCTAATAGAGTAGATACTATACAAATAAGCCTTCGGGCGGGTCCTATCGAAGCACGTTACTACTATGTTCGCCTAAGAAATACTTCGGATCGGCAGAGGTAATCGTTTCTTAGGTGTATTGATTATCGGCTTTATTTAACACTGTAAGGCCATCCGTACTAAATCTAGGCGCTCGGTACTTTGTAAGAGACTATACACTGTAAGTAAACGATTGTTAGCAACTGTTTGAGTTTGTTACGTACTGAAATTATAGTATAGTAAAAAGCACGCGACTCGGTGTTAAGCCACGTTTTAGATAACAAGTAAAAAGGGAAGCGTATAGCGACTGATTTAGTCGAAAATAGTGGCTCTTCAAAGCGGGCCGCGACGACATCACGGCGGTGTGGAAACTGTGGCCAAACCGGCCATAATGCGCAGACTTGTGAAAAGGATATAGAATCGACTAGTGAACTAGAATACGATTAATTTTAATTAATTTAAGCTGTTGTGATTGAATTAACTTATATAGAAATTAGATTTGTGGAAAAAGTGCGCGGCTCAATGGTAAACCACGTCATAGATGAGTAAATATTTATTAATAGTATTTTTTTAAAATTTTGTTTTACACAAAAAAACCACCCTCAAAACCTGCCAAGCGCACGAAAAGCTAGATAGAATAAATAAAAATGATTGAAAGTAGTATTGTGATGCTGCTTTAATTAATGGAGTGACAGTGTTCACGATTTCGCTAGGGTGCGTTTCATTGAGGGGTCAATGCGGTTACTGAAGGAAGGGTTTTCAAAATGGTTCGTGACGCAACAGGGCGCTTTGCTAATTGTTTGCACCCGGCCGAGCGCTACATGTGCCTAAGGACGGACATGAAGGAAATACCTATTTAGATATGTAATGCCTTGGGTAAGCTGGATATATACCTCGGATATGCTAGACTCAGCTGCATGTTTGGAGCGACTACTTAGTGCTTAGCCGCTGTCAATCAAAGCATAATTCGGCCAAGTTTTCCTGCAACAAGTCGTGGATGTCCTGACTTGAGTGCTCGGGGTCGCTGGGACTGGTGAACAAGTCAAATTGGATGTTGCACTAGGGCAGCGCATTATTAGTGAGTTGCAAGAGTTTCCAAATATCGGTGAGTTTGCGCCGCGCGAGACGATTCTCTCATCAATTGCGGCAACATTGGCTGTGATCCTCGTGTGGAACACATTCAGGGTCTTCTACGAAGAGCCAGCCGACCTTTCTTGATGGCGTACGCTGAAGAATACATTGAGAGATCGTTGTTCAGCATAAAATGTAACCTGCAGAAGCCGTCTTCGAACACATCAAACTATGACCGGACTGGTCTCGGGCCGTAGCTGGATGAGACTTGGGGTTGCGAATGCTGGCCCTTCGTGTTCGGGCCGGTTGAAGTCGTCGTCTGCTATATAACAGAGGACTGGTGGCACACAGTCCACTGGCGGAGCCCTAGTTACTCCGTGGTAATGTACACTGGTTAGATAAGTAGCATTCTGCCGCTGCACCTGACGTAACTTAATTTAGCTCAATCAACATCGCAATCCTCCATGACTATACAATGCGGATGCTGATTCGCGCAGATTCAAGACGCTTGTCAGCTGCGTTCGATATTGTGCAGTCCAGATTATTGACTGCGACCTGCAGGCATGTCAGCTCAATATTTTCTCTGATAGGTGCCACCTGTGTGAGCCGTACGGGCATTTCCTAGATGAGGATGACTACGGTGACTTGGCCCGACCTGGAAATCGCCTCCCTGAAGAGGCCAAGAGCTAAGAGGCCTTAGCGGCTTTCTAGCACGCAGAGACATTTTATGATTTGTCTCTGCGAACCGAGATGTCCCACTTATGTCTCATTTTATTAGAGCCTCAAGATCTGCTGGTTCTAGAATGCAAAGAATTGCGCCCATCATTTTGCCATGCAGGAGTCAGGAGAGTCTTATTGTCGATGACAGTTGGCGTAATGCATGGCGCATTTTCGCGTGGGAAAACAAGGCTAGGGACCTTGACGAGATGGGGTTGGTGTCACGCAGCCCTTGTTGGTTAGCCCGATAAGGGCTGGTTGGTTGGTTGGCCTTGAAATCCCATTTCAGCAAACCGGCTGAAAAGAATAATGGCGGTCAGCTGTGCAGAGACAGGACGTGGGGATGACGTGATAATGCTCGAGGTTATCACGCTTCGTACCTCAACCCTATTGAATCAGAGAGACTGCTACGCCGGTGAAATTGAAAGCCATAGATAATGGAGACTGACTACGGTAAGTGGTTCGTCCAGAGTGAGCGCAGCAACGGGAAACGCGGGAAGATGGATGATTGATAGTGCGTGCACACCCTGCTCAGGAACCTGTGGAACCGCCCGGGCGACGGACATTGGCCTAGATGCAGACAGTTCGCGTGGGGCATCGTCCAACGGTAAAACTTGGGTAGGTAACAGTATACTGGAGATGCTCAACCTCAGTTGGGCGGTGTTCTATCCGCTTGAACTTGTGTCCCTGACAGTGTGAAAAAGACTGTTGGGACCTTTGTTAATTGAGGGATTTTGCAATGATGCTGGCGGTATAATGAGGAAACAATTGATTAAGTCGAGTATCAAGGGGTGTATTCCTACACTGCACCATAGAGGCTAGGGCGCTGCAAGCTCTTCCCCCAAATGCAAGCTCGCGCAAGACCACACAGGTGGTACCATTGAATATAGCAGGGTTGCACGTTTGTCTCAAGCCCCAAGAGCCACTCTGACGAGCTAGCGGCTCTGAAGTAACTAGCATGGGGCAGAATCGGGAATGGTCTCTTTCTTGTTGGCCAAGCGCGGTCCAGGGGCGTTTATCGAAGACTTTCCATTTCAGAGCTCGAGCCTCGTTGAAAAGGGTCGAGACCTCTCAAGTCAAGCTGCTGCTAGCGACTTGTCGTCGTCTTCCAATGCCAAGTTGAATTGCCCGGTGATTCGAAAATCGCCACAAATTGACTGCCTCTTGCTGTCACCGGGCCAAGAGTCGCAACCAACAATTGACTGTAGTCTCGTTCCTGGCGCATCGACCACGACTTTCTTTCTTCAGCCACTCTGTAACATCCTCGGATCATCAAACCTACTGGCTGACTCGCCATAGCTGTCGCCATCGCCGTCGCCATCGCTGTCGCCCGAGACGTTGCTCTATTTGGCCTTTAGCTGCCGAATACCGTCGCTCGTTCACTGCCTCACAACCTCACAACCACCATTTACCTCACTCTCGTCACAGTCACTCGTTCGCCGCCTAAACCAGTATTATCTAGCTACACTTCTTTCTCGTACTACACTGCTACACCACTCTCGCTATCTTATTGTTCTGTCACCACCGTGCTCCTACGTTCCGCGCCCCTGTTGTCAGCCCCGACCGTCAGCGATGTCGTTCCGCTTATTAGCTCTGTGGTGAAGAGAACCTGTGCATCCGGGATTAACCCAAGTCGATCCAACACGACCAATATTTGAACACGGCATTTTTGACGAGACTCTTATGATCCTACTTCGATCGATAAAGTATACGATAGCCCCGACAAACTCCCAATTGTTCGGCTGCCTGCAGACTGCAGGCTGCACATCTGGGTTACACGCGGTATCACGCATTACCGTACCGGTCCATACTATTTTCAGCGACGCCACGAGTCAGCTTCAATAACCTGGCTGGCCTGGTGGCCTCTCGACCTTTGCCTGGAAGTGGTATTGTTCTGACATTGATTGAACTGGACGGGTGGGCTGCCGCCCAGAGAAACGTCGTTGGGCCTCACGAGCGCTTCCTGCTTGATAGCAGCAACTGCTGTGCATTATGGCGGCCACGGCTGGTTTCCCGTTGTCGCTTCACCAGGACGAGGACATGCCAACCCTCTTTCTTTCCGACTCAGAGGACGACGATGCGCCCCCGACGCCTCGCCATCACACCGAGCCAGCTCAGTCCCAGGCCCATGCAAAGCCACAACAAGAAGCAGAACCTGCGCGGAAGAGAATGGAGGATGCGGCTGCCAATGTCCCCCGACACCCGATTCCCGCCATGCAGTCGGCCTTTGCCGAGTCCTTGATCGAAGCCACGACCAATGCTGCGGCGCAAAAGCCTAAGCTGAGCTTCGGCGACGCTAAAACACGTCACAACCATCTGATTGACGCCGAAAGGGGTGCCGAACTATATGCCGAGCTGTGGCGATACCGCCCAGGCCAGTCATATCATGAGCTGTGGAAGCTCATGGCCCAGGTGTCCTTTGGCGTATACCTGTTGCTGAACGGCATCGCCAATAGCAACATACAGGTTGTCAACATCCTGCAGGGACACATCGACGAGGTGGATGAGTTTCTCGAAGTGGCCATGGAGGATGTCAATTTCGCCATCGAGGATGTCAAAGAGCGAATCGATTTCCTGAAGCTGCCAATGAACAACATGTCGACTTTCGAAAAGATGCTTGAGGATCGCAAGTTCCGCCTGCAGATCGTGACTGGAAACGAGAGAATCGAGCACATTGTCGATCGGACTACCATGGCCCTCGAGGCAACACTGAATGACGTCGAGGAGGGTCTAAAGTCGACCAAGGAATTCGCCGTCTATCTGGGGGATCAGCAGAATCGTCCATGGCGCCAGCAGCGACCCGATGTCGTGGATATTTTCGACGCCATGAAGGGAAACGCCGAGGGGTGGTACAAGGCCTTTGTCGACCTGCAGGAAAACGCCTCCGTCCTGGATTCTCTTCTGACCAAGATCGGCCAGATGGTGGCTGAGATGAATCTAAGAGCTGGCGAAGTCAGCAGAAGGACAAGGGTAAGTCCCAGTGGGTTTGAGCTCAACCTACGAGCCAGTGCATTGATGCCTCTTCAGTTCACTGTCGAGCCATTCTCTGGGTCAGCCACGGACGCCACACACCCGCAACAAGCCTCGTCCAAGGCTTCCCAAAGATCGTCTTCGTCCACGAGTCGACGACCTTCGGATCCCTATTTTGCCTCGCACTCCCCATGCACTTCAACTGGTAGCGCGTGTTTTCGATCTCCGCCTGCCTCTCCTTCGGCGAGGGACACCTTGCCAGATTTTCAGTATAAGCCTCCACAGACGTCGGACACGGCTTTGTGGACAGTGCCCATTTTGGAGATAGATACCGAACCAGAGCCGCAAAGAGAGAGTCTAAGACCTAGCCCTATAGAGGAAGAGGGGCTCTTTATTCTCCAACCGCGTACCTATACGCCTCTACCCCCGGCGCCTTTGCCGTCTCCCATGGTTCAAGATCACCCGTCTTCGCCTACGTGGGAGCCAGAACCTCAGCCGAAGTCTGAGCCGAAGTCCGAGCCAAAACATGAGCCAAGGTACGAGCCAGAATCGGATCTAAGGTATGAACCAAGGACAGAGTTAAAGCAGGAGCCAAGGTCAGGGTCGAGATATGAACCAAAGACGGACTCGAGATATGAGTCAAGGACAGAGTCGGGAGAGGAGCCAAGGTCAGGGTCGAGATATGAATCAAGGATGGACTCGAGATATGAGCCAAGGCCGGAGGATAAACCTGCGAAAAGAACCTCGTTGCGTCAACGATTATCTCAAAGAGGAAACAATCCACCTCAATCGATTCAAGTACCGCCGAGGAACGTCAATCGTGGAAAGTATGAGTCTCCACGCGAGTCTCCACGACCCCCCCATGGTCCGGATTCAGCATATGGCTCGGACGCCGAGGGACGACCGCCGGTGTACCTGGACGCAAGCATGTTTGTCGACTTACCTCCTCCTGCTATGCCCAACACGATCCCTTCTCCACTGAGCGACAAACAATTCTTCCGGCCAGTGCAAGCAAGTCCACACTCACCATTGCAACAACGACCGTGGACAGCTGTGACGGCACCTGCACATATGCACCGTCCTCACACCTCGGCGACGCACCACCAGTACAGCCATCAGCGCAATGCACCTTCGACCATGGGAATGAGCATGCTGAGCAATGTGACCACAGCGAACACAGAGCATAAGAAACTCAAGAAGAAGAAGAGCGCATTTGGATGGCTGAAAAAGGCTTTCTCATTGGACGAGGAGGAGCGTGCAGCTTTTGAGGCCAAGAGGCAGCAACAATCACCCAATCTGTACCAGGACGGACGGAGCCCCAAGTTTCTTGATGGCCGACGTGTGGAGGAGCCTAAACGCTACTATTGATTTGTCGAGAGCCCACCAGCTGGCTTCTATACGTCTGTTGTCGCCACGCTGCTTTTTGTGAGCCAGCTACCGGTTTGAACGTAGGACTGGCTCGCGGGTCCTCACTGTGACGGGCAAATTATCGGTGGCGGGAACGGAACATGACATTGGATTGTAAAGTTGGCAGCGTCATTTCGGAAACTCTCGGACCAGCATGTCAGGACACCATGACCAACTCACCATGGTCAATTTGCTCTTAGTGCATTGCACCAATTTTGATACCCACATAAGCGACATGGATTATTGGCTTTTTAACACTGCTGCGTTATATTGACGCCAAAAAAAAGTACACCTCAAAACAGAGAGGTTAGACCTTTTGTTTAGCTTGGAGAAACTCCAAGTTGAGAGCGAGGAATAGTGGCGTGGAGAGGAGACAAGAGACGTTCAATTTGTGAAGGTGTTCAGAGGAAAGAGGAAGAACTCGAGTCAAACGTCCGAGGATGAAATCTATGCCGAAGCAGCAGAATTGTTATCTCACGTGTAATGTTCTACACGGTTGTTTGGACATAAGAAAATGAAAACATTCTCAGCTTGACTGGGGTGTAGATGGGTGGAAGGAACCAAATACATGCTCAGACGTGAAATATCAAAATTCGACGAGCCATGTCATATATGATACCGCGGTGTTCTGATCTTGTTATTGCCCGTAATGGCATCACGTATATCTGTGTCTCCCTCGCCCGTCAGTTGGCTACGAGAGTTAGAGTACTTGTAGTCTTTCATTACACTAATATTTTGATCTCTTGCTTCTGGTTGCGCTTTTATAGTTGTTATTCCCCCTTCCCAAGCAGACTGTCTTCATCGTGATTCTGCTATACAATGCATAAGAACTCGAAGAGAATATCAGTCAGTGAAAAGAATACCTAGTATAATTTAGATGAGATTACAGGGATAATGAATTTACAATAAGTCAGGCCGACCCAGATTTGTCAATATAGGCACAGTAGCGGATTAAGTCGATATGCACTGGGCGCGCCGATATATGATGCCGGTGTATTCGCAAGTCTATTCTTGATTGACACCAACCGGGCTCTCCTGTACGCATCCGGTCTACGCACCCCAGACCTGGAGCGTAGCCGAGATAGCTTCCCGCGAATCTGGGGAACATAAGGATGCACTGTTAAGACCTTTCAAGAAGGGTTGCCCATGACAGGGCATTTATATTCCACGGTCCTTCCTTGAAGAAGAACTGGTACTTCCCCCGTCTCTCAACGACGCACACTCTGACCATCATAGGGGGTACTACCGTTTTCGCCACCTGTGGGCAATGACCGAGAGCATGCTGAAACGCTCCTGGCCAATCACATAGACAGGCCTCGGTTTGGATCTCTTAAGGACGACACCTATGACAAGGTCGGCGGAGAGTTACAGAGAATGTGTAGAGCACGAACAGAAGGTCAGGCTCGTTACTCGGTATCAGAACTCTAGATCCTCATCCCATCAGCTCTTGTCGTACTTTCCAACGTCCTTTCTAACGATTTCACCGTGCTACCATGGAAATTACGACTGCTGTATCTATATTGACATAACCTGGCGAGTCTCCGTAACGAAAGATTAGGACTGCGCGTTGCGGTGCCAAAGATGGGAACCTTGGCGTGTTGTTGGAATGAGTGACTGATGAAGACAGCTGGTCGAGGCGAGGGGGAGAGGTGCAGAGCCAGGAGGCTGACTGACTGATTGACTGACTGACTCTGACCCTTTGGGCTCGGCATATGGAAGATGCAACGTGTTCAGCATCGATGACAACGAAACAGACCTAACTGGACCAGCCGCATGTGCAATTCAGTACGAACACGGGCTGACGTACTTTGAAGTAGCATCGCAGCTGTTAATAGCTCGGCAAGATAACCGTTAACGTGTCGTCGAGTTGAGTCGGGTCCGGTCAGGTGGGATGTTGAAAGCTTGGGCAGCTTTCGTGATGTGGGATGGATCGGAATCCTTGGCAACAGTGATCCTTGTGCGAGATCTAATTTGGCAGTCCAAGATTTAGGTCAATGTGGTGACGAGCAGGGAGACAGTTCAAAGTTTCTACTCCGTAGTGAGCGCTGTCCTCACGTCCGAGGGGCTTTTGATAGTCACTGCTCTTGAGACCGAGACCGCCACACGCAGTATTATCCTGGTATGATTTACAACTGCTATTCGATTCGCCGACCAGGTCTTCTAGTTCAACCTCGAGTAAGACTCGTGCAAGAAAGTATTGCCAGAGGCGGTGCGGGATCTGATCTCCCGGGACGCATACATACTGCACCTGGCTTGACTAGGTGCGCAGACAGGCGCTTAAGAACAAAATTTGCTCCAAGCCACTTCGACACCCTTGCCAAGCATACCCAAGTGCTTAGAAAGATGCCAAGCGCTAATAAAGAACAAAGATCATGTAGTCCCGCCGAGCTTCTGTAAGGACGACCACCGGGCGTGAATCACGCGAGTAAGTGGATCGGTGTTGATTCTTGTTCTGACGAACATCAACCATCGAGTCTGTTTGTGTTGACTCGGTCGGGCAGCCGTTTCTCTTCTCCTCTCTCTCCAATAGTTCCAAGACGGGCCAGGTGGATATTCATGATGTATTGGGGGTTCAAGTGGAGATTGGACCGTGAGTCCGGGCCGAGCCGGCCACATGCTCCCGGCGCTATAAGAATCAGAAGATTCGTTATGACGCTCAGGGTGTTGAAACTAGATACAAGTAACAGGCTCATGGAAGATGGAAATCGTGTCAGAATCAAATGTATTTGCCCGAGACTAGCTCTGCCGGCAGGAACGCAGAGTGCAGGATGCACCGCAATAACACTATAAACAAGTTCCTTTACTTTTCCCCCCCTCGCCTTGCCTTGGCGTGCCATATATACGCCTTTCCTTTGAAAAAAACAAACAAAACCAACCAGAATCCGGGTATCATTTCCCCCTGTAGAACGCCTTTTCGTCATATATACCGGGAAGTTTCATGCCACCATCTACACGTAAAACCAAAGCCCTTGTGTGGCTTTTCCTCTGCTGATCCAAATCCAGCCAGCCATGCAGAATGGTTGACTTTGGGTTGCCCCAAGTCAAATAAATATGAACAGTAAAGGAAAAAAAGGGTTTATGTATGGGTGGTGGCGGTAAAGATGTGGGCTGAGTTGTGATGCATGCGTGAAAGGTCGTTTGTTCGGTTGATTTTCGCAATTGTTGACAATCGGCAACATTCTCCCGAGGGGACAGAGGAGAGGCATTATGTTGATCCCTTAGATGGGTTCTGCACCGGCAAGGCGTCGAGCTTGACCAGTGGAACGAACCTTCATGAAGCCCGTGATGTTGGTAACGGCGACTTGGCTAGTGCGCGCGGTCGCGGCACCTGTTGACGACGAGACTTTCTTGGTCGTGGTGCCGGCAGGCGAAGAAGCAGCGCCGTTTCCACCAGCGGTAGCGGTAGCGGTAGCGGTGACGGTGACGGTGACAAAGTCGGTCACAGTAGTCGGGGCACCTGTGACGGTGACAGTCGTGATAGCTTTCTTGTGCTCAGCCGACGTAGTAGTCGATCCTACAGTGGAGCCCGCGGACGTCGTATTTGCCGGAGCAGCTGTGGTCTGGGTGGGAAGACCAGTCGGGGCTGCGGGAGAATTGGTACCAATGCCAAGGGAAAGCGCCTCGATGGGGTTGAGAATCTGGGACTTTATAGCCGCATTCGCAACCGGAAGGTCCGCGGCAAACTTGATGTCCGTCTTGGCCGAGCCGTCATCAGAGGCACCAAGCTGGATCTCCGCGCAACTGGTGTAGATCTCAGTCGTGTTGCCAGCCAGACCATTATTCAGAGGCCAGTTCCATATCCAAAACAAGTGGTACTTTCCCGTGGTGGGCAGATCCTCAGGCAATCGGACATCAGATTGGCAAAGAAGCTCTGGCAGCCCGTACTTGTTCTTGCGCTCCACGAAGATGGGGTACTTGGGTCCCTCCGCGCCCCGGTCTTGGTAGCACTGGCCGTCGTCATAGAAGTGGGTTGCCAGAAGCTTCCCCTTCTTATTGCCGCCCGTACCTGCGGCGTTCCAGACATTGAGGATGTCGTTCAGTTTGTTGTCAGGCTTTTGCTTCAGTGTGCCGTAGACGTACACGTTTCCGCCTCTGTACGGTCGGCCAGGGACGAGCTCCGGATCAGTCACATGCCCGTTTTCGGCGTAGAGCATTGCGATACTATCTCCTGGGGCTGCCTTCAGAGGTTGGGCCTGGCCAGAATAGTCACCCTGAGCGAACTGTCTACAAACGACCGGGTCCGACTTCAAATCCAGAATCTTGTTGAGGACCATGTCGTCACTGAAAGCCTGACCGAGGGCAGTGCGATTGACCCAACCCATGGGGTATCCCATGTCTCCAACAAACATGCCCGTGTTGGAGATACGGTACAAAGCCTCAACCCACGAATGAGCGTTGGCGTATTGGGCAGCTGCGATGAGCGCAAGCGCCTTCAGGGACGATTTGTTGACCATATTCGCTGCTGCTGCTGCTGCTGCTGTTGTTATTTCCGTCGTCGTCGCCTGTTCCGTTGTAATAATAGTCGAAAGTTGATCTGGTTCTCGCCCGCGAGATTTTATTATTTGTGGAGGGGAATTTATTTGTTGTTGCGTCTCGAATTGGGTGGGCAGAAAATGAGTGTTGTGTGAAGATGTCCAGCATGAACAAGCAGGCCCTGCTGCAGAAAGAATAAAATTAGGGAGTGAAAGACTTCGTTTCTGACTAGTAGTTCATAGTGAACAAAGTAGAGAAGGACCGCAGGATGCAGATAATGTCTTTATCCGAAGGGCTTAGTTGTGAGGTCGCCGTGATGTTTTGGTGGGGCTTTGGCTTTGTTGTAAGGTCGTCTTGAGTCGAGATCAAAGCAGTACCAATAACGCTGAAATCAAGATGATCGAGGCACAGTGATCATGACTCAAGATTCCGACTAGAACCCAGATGCTCAGTGGTGCACAGTTCAACAAAGAGACCAAACTAGTGGCCCGCTCTTTAACAAATGCCTCGCCGCTCTTTGTGACTGCCGCCCTGTTGGTTATGCTCCCACATAGGATGAGTGACTCGAAGGTGGGTTTATACACCCGCGACCTGATCTACGGATGGATAAGCAGACGAATCATTTTAACGACACTAGGGAATCTCTAACCGAATAGCGGAGCTCACGGCAGCAGGCCAAGCGGGAGAAATCTTGCGGATGAGGTGGACAGGGTCATGGCCATGGCCTTGACAACGAGAGGCTCCTCTCGACGTTGTCTCTGGCCCAGCGAGTCACAGAACTACCATGGATGTGGGACAGGGCTGCAATGCCAGATGGGATAATGTTGGAGATGACTGGCTGGCGTGTTTCTGCTGTTGTACAAGGTCGTTTGCAGACGCTTCATGCGGACGCTGTCGCTCCACGAAGTAAAGATGCACTCTCACCACTCCAGACGTCGTTGGGTGGGTGTCTGCCAAGCCTGTGGAGCATGAGCGCTGCAGGGGCCCGTGCACAGACCATGACGGGCCAGGGTGCGACGGCTGCAGGGCTAAGCGAAAAGGTACCCTTTGCAGTGCAGCTGCAGCCAAATGGTACCTTGCAGAGATCTTCGGCCATGCAGCATTCTGGAACAAGGAGGCTCCCACCCCACCACACTAGCACTTTCCTTATTATTTGCACTTGTCTCTCGTTGCCTCTGGTCCAGTCAATGCCATTGACCAAGGCGCCACCCGTAACGGCCGCGTTGCCGACACGGATATTGGGTGGCTGCAAGGCAGCGAATATGTGGCGGCTAACCTTTCTGCGAACCCTGCAGTTTTGTTTTCCACTTTTGCTTCGTCTTTGGAGATTTCCAGCCATGGCAGCGACTAGCTTGGTGACGAGCCGCCATGAAGACTTACCGAGCGGCTCGTGCTTCCTGGAGATGTGGGCCACGGTTGGCTGCTTTGGCGCTGTCTTGGCAGGCACGAGTGCAATGATTTTTTTCCCTTTGCTATTATCGCCCGCCTATTTTCGGCGCTCAAAACCTGCGGATATAAGCGCCGCTTCTTCCACACGGCTAGTGCTAGTCCATTTGCTTATCTATCTGCTCATGATCCACCATGTCCGTGGGAAGGGTGTGGTCAGGCATCTTCCAGCTTCCTGTTGCAGGGCAACGTCACTCACACTCAAGCCCAACCCAACAATGCCGTTGGGTTCGAGAGTCTGATGCGAAGTACTCCGACAAGGATGGGGCTTGGGCCGACCACACATATATACCGGCTACCGACCCGGGGCACTGTTGGACATCCATGGATCACCTGCAGCGGACTTCAATTTCCACCCTTGCCACAAGGCCACAAGCAAATGGAACCTCACCGGCCTTTGGATCCGCGGTGAAAGAGACAAGCAAAAGTGGCTACTGGCGGAGATGGTCTTCCCAAGATGACGGCGGCGCTACCCAAGTTTGACCGGGTGCGCGATAGCCAACAGCCAGCAATGCCATTCTCTACACAATACCAACAATGAAGTCCAAACAATGTAGATCCAAAGGTATTGTGCATGCGCTCATACCTCTTCGTTCTCTTGTCAAAGACAAGATGAACCGACCGTGCATCCTGTTGTCTATCTTTCTGCCGTTCCCTTCATTGGGCAAGCCCGACTTACAAGTTACGCGCGCCATGTTTGTGACGGTTGAGGTTTCACCAACGTCGTTTCTCGATTCCCTGTCCATAGACGCCCTGGATCCTTGCTATCACCCGCTTTACACACCTCCCCAGAGAGCGATCATGAGAAAAGTCAAGATGGAGGAAAATCGCCGACGTTTGATTGCGTTTTCCTGGCCCTTCGTTCGGACGTTTCCGCACGGCCCCACGAAACAATGAAACGCTTGCCGCCAGTGCGAAGCGAGTCCATCCCTGCTACTCCGCTTTTGATGAGCAGTAGAGTTCCCCTCCGATTGGGAGATCTGATTTGTCTTTTTCGCCGTTTCGGTTTGTCTCTCTGGGCTCCATTGATTGTTTCGCAGATCGTCTGATGAATCTTGAAGGGTGGGTTGGACCTGGATAGTTTGAGCGCACGCACAATGACCGTTGTGTGATCGAGACCCGGTTGACCCAACGCAGGGAGAATAGAACGGTCGGTCGCGGCTAAAAGTAGGTGTTCTTGTGCATCCATATCCCCGTCCTTACACAAAAGAAAAGAGGCACCCCTCGGCTTGCGGCTTCGAGAGTGGGCTTGATTGCTTGTGGCCTTCCACAGGCATCGTCAATCGGACGTTTGTACTGCCGGATCCGACGTCAAACCTCTAAACCGACCATCGCAAACATCTGTCTCCCGCCCCCTCCCCTCCCCCTGGAAAAGGCCCGACGCACAGCGAGACAACCCGGCTTGCGAATCGCGGGATGGCCTGCAGTTTGCTGCAACCGGTCAGGTACAAGAAAAGGCTCTTACAGATCTTACAGAGATAAATCTTTCGACAGCGACACCTTGAGAAACGAAGACAATTTTCCGAAATGCGGTGCATCATCTATCCATCAATCCATCAATTCATCAATCAACGTCTAAGCGCCAAGTCAAGTTGGTTTCTGCAGCGGTAGCATCGTGAAAAGCAAATAAATACTCGACTCACTCACCGTAACGATGTTATTAATAGGAACGGGCCCTCTCGGTTTGCTCTGACTTAAACTGGGGTGAAGAAGCGAAGAAATGTTGTATTTTGGATAGTCACCCAGCCTACCCTGCTCCTCTGGAAAGTGCTGTAGTATACAAACGGTGGCAGGGCGGAACAGTCATCCTGATGGATTAAATTATGCGGTTCGTATTGTTACTCGTGGACTTGTAGTGGTACAAAAGACGTGCAAGGCGGTTGTCATAGTCACCTCTCGATAGGTACACATATTCCTCCGATCTCGTGAGTAGATGGTGGGGAAGAAGCCGCAAACAGGATAAGACAGGTTACACGACGGCGACACAAGCTTCGTTCTACCTCAAAGCCTTGGGTCACATCGGCTAAGGCCAAGACACTGAAAGCGATGATATTTGGTGGTAGGCGGAAAGATATGAAACCAGGCAACTGCAGACCCGCAGCTGGAAAGTAGGCTATGTAAGCCACGAACACTTGGGATCAATGACAGTTACGGCCCCCCTTACTCCACTCCCTAAGCCCCCCCTTAATGGACACATTGTCATATGTATGTAAGCAACCAGGCAACATTGGAATGATGATGATAATGATGATGATACGTTGTAGAGAAGAAAGATATGCAATGCGGAAAAACTACCAATTAAACAATCGGAATTCTCTGATGTCCATTCCTTTTTTCCACATTTTTTCCACATAGGAAAAGACTTGGTTGAACTGATAAAATAAAATAGAAACGATAACTGGAGGCAAACCACCCCTCGTGTGAGTAAGCAGAGCAACAACTCTAGAGTGTAATCAAAACGCCCACCCCCAAAATGTGATATAGCCCCCTAATACTCCACACCTGTGTGACGTTGTGTTATTGAGCCTCGGAAAGGGTGAAACCCGAAGAAGACAAAATGAAGATGAAGATGAAGGATATAGCCAAAAGGGCCAAACCTGAAGTGTGTGGGTGTGTGCATGCCTGAGGGTCCAAGAAAGCAATCAATCAGCCAATCCATGAATCCCATCAATCAAATCCATCCATCGAAATCCAGAAGCCTGGCTCGATCCAAAATGCAATGTCAAACATTCATTTACCAGTCGCCTCGGTTCCGTAAACTCCTAACTGCCACCCACTCAGATGCAACCAGGCCCCCAAACGAGAAAGGGGCGGGGAAAGCCAGCCAGCCAAGTCTCTTCTTTGCGCTTTCGGTTCGAGTTTTGAAACTTCGAAACCTCGGTGTGGGTAGTAAGCAATATAAAGTAATGTTACGGTGCAATCTTCTTTTTCAGAAAAACGACTGCCTATCGTCCATGGCAGCCTGAGGCGCGTTGTGGATAGGCGTATGCAGATGCGGGTGAGTCAGCTTCCGCATCGAATGGGCAGGGTAGGTCAGACTGCTAGTGTCAGCTCCGTCCCCCGTCGTCGTAGTCGTCGCCGCGTGACCGCTTGCGCCCCTGCGGCGGCTGATGGTGCTGTTTCATAGGCGTCAGGGATGATGATGAAGTCGCCGCCGCCGACGACGGTGAGGCGGTCAGGTAGCTGCTGGTATCGACGGAGTTCTCGGGCTGGGCAGCGGATCCCAGATCATCCCACCCGTGGTTCTGGTTGATATTGTTGTTATTTTGGGTGTGGGCGTGGGTTTGGGTCTGGCCTTCTGCAACGACGGCGACGGCTTGCAGCCAGGGTTGAAAGGTGGTCTGCCAATCGCCATGCGTGGTGGTCTTGGCCGTGTTGGGTGTGGTGGTCCATAGTTTATCCTTGCCGTCGCTCCAAGGCGCATTGGTGCCTGCGTTGTGATGAGGGTGGTGTTGTGGTGCGGCGGCGGTGTGCCATTGCGTCTCGGCGATATCGCCCGATGTACCATTGCCGATCTCGACGGCAGTAGGATCAGCAGCCCAGGCGAGGCTCTGCTGGGTGTCAACGTAGCTGGTGGACCATTGCGAGGCATCGAGACCTGAAGATACCACCCAGCCGCGCAAATTGGCGTCGCAATCTGTATCGTCGAAGGAGTTGACAGGCACACCGAGCCCAGAAAGAAAGGGGTCCGGGCCGTGGTCGGTGACCAGGGTGCTCTGGCTGTCGCTGGCCGAGGTGTTGGAGAGGAAGCCCAGGTGGTGGTGCGGCTGGAAGCTGTCGTTGCTAGCAATCGTAGCACTATCGAAGCTGTGGGCGTAGCTAGCACTGGCAGGAAGACAAGCAGTAGGAGGCGGCGTGGCCAGGCCATCAGGGTAGCTATTGAGAATGCCCATGCCCGTGTTGGTCATACTAGCAAGGTGGGCCTGTGTCATATTCGGTGTGTCGTACGCAGCACTGAAGTTGTCGTGCATGGTGGCGCTAAGGTGGTGTGCATAGCCTGGATCTGGCGACATGATGTTGCTGCGCGAGATGTTGGGAGACCCGCTCAGGTAGGCACGCTGCTGGTGGTATTGGGATTGGGGATCGAGCTTGGTCAGGAAGCGCCAATTTGTGCCCGGTGGAACCGTGTGCACTTTGCCCTTGTCGTCAACCTTAGTGTGAACGTTGCAGAAGGTCCACAGGATGACGGCGCGGCGAGTCCATCTGCGCTTCTCTTCGCAGTTGTTACTGCCGTTATTGGGCGTCGACCAGATCTCTTGGTACATGGCCACCTGCTGCAAGAGGTCCTTGGCTGTAGGCGTCTGTGTCCGGCTCGACAAAGGAGGCTCGCAGTCCTCCTCCTTAATGCCCTTCATCTTGTGTGGCCTCTCCTCTTTCGCGCGCTGCCGGTCCGCTGTAACGCAGGGCGCCAACTTCATCAGCATGTCTGCCCAGCTGATGGCAGGGAAGGGCACCTCGATGGTGTCCCTTGCGTTGCCGCGTCCAGACACCTCGCAGTCGGCCGTGCGGTCCCAGAAGCTCAAGTCTGAGTTCTCCGAGTCTAGCTCGGCCGGCTTGCATACACTCGTCCGTGATTTCCAGTTGTGGTTGGCCAGCTCGGGCCGGCAGATGCTCAGGAGCACCACGCCGTTTAGGTGAGTACCCGGTGGGAACTGGCTCGTCGCGTGGAGGTCGAGTACCACCTCGAACTGCAATGTGTCACAGGGTCCAACCACGCAGCGGGACGTGCTCTCATGTGAGGGATCCGTGTTATCCAGCGCTGCCATCAGCTTCTCCCGCAACTCAGGAAACCGCTGGTCCCATTTGGACGAAATGTCCCTGGTCGACCCCGACTCCTTTTGTGACAGCGTGTGCGTGTACTCGTGGAGCAGAATGTTGGACTTATGTGTATCCTTGCTGCTGTTTAGTTCCCTCCTGGTGTCCTTGTTGCTGTTCAGCACCAGGTGTGGGTAGTCGCCCTTGCATTCGAGGCGTTGACCGTCCACCGTGTAGGCATCCGAGTCCAAACAAGCCCCGTCCGCCGCGTACGCCTTCCTGCTGTCGTCGCTCAGCGTTACCTCAGATGATGATATGTAGATCCAGCACGTCTTGGGCCGTACAAACACCTCCGAGTCGCCGTGAAGAAGAAGGGAAAAGTACTCATAATTGGGCCTTTCGTCCGGAAGGCGGCCTTCGGCCAGAGCGATTAGCACACGGTTGTTCTTGAACGATTCCGTCTCTCCTTCCTCTTCCTTGATGCTCCTTCTGTCTTCCTTTTCTTCGTCGGCCTTTCGTGGGAAGAAGAAGTGGACTGTATCGTGTTAGTCAGTACCCTTCATTACCAGAAGGTGACCCGTCCTAGTACTTACACACTGGATGGGAAGAGAAAAAACCTTTCAGCACCTGGATGTGGCTCGATACCTGCTTCCTGGTTCTATACATCTTGTGTTTTTCCCTCGCCTTGCCTGTCGGTACCTTCTCGCTAGGCCCCGCGGGGAAAAGAAGCCAGTGCACTATCCAAAGATACTCGGTAAGGAGCATATTACGCCCATACAACACACCCTTTGAGCTGAACTTCTTTCGGCCCATGAGTGGAATTAAGAGAAGAGCTTCACCAAGTGTCAGCTTGATTTACCTTGACTGTCGAAGCACTCACCATCTAGAAAAGCATCCTCGAGATACAACGGCCACGTTGGCTCCTCGTTCTCTGATTCCTTCTGTGTCATCTTCATACGGTAGTCGGCAAAGTGTTTCCACGAATATATCGGGTTCCTGCCCCCTCTTGGATGACCCATGGGCGACTCCCGCAGTGACAAATCTCTATGGAACGACCGCCCTCTGCCCAGACTGGTCCCGTACGTCGAAGTCACCTGGCCCGGAAGGATAGGCGGCGTCGGGGTCGAATGCAGAGGTGGTGATAGGCCTAGTTGACCGTGGTACAGGGCTAGAGCAGCGACATTGTGTGGTTGAGCGTTACCATTCGATTCGTGCAAAGGTTGACGCGTCGCCTGGATTAGTTCGTTGTGATGGTCGTATGTATAGTCCCCTTCGGGCGAGTATCTCTGGTTCGCCAGGACGCGCCGTGGGTGCTCCATTATGGCCAGCTTTACGTCAGGCACCGCGCGGATGAATAAGAATGCTTCATGAAAAAGTTGAGAATTCTACGAAGGCCATGAAAGAGCTCAAGAACGTTTGAGGCAGCAATGAGAGAAATGTAGAAAGGAATGGCAGTGGCAAACTTGTCACTATTAACTATACAATGGTAAGGTCGCCCGGGCAGAGCCGTTGTTGGTATGGAAGAAGATCACATATCTTATAAGGACCCCGGACGCTCACCTGCTTACTCGGCCTCTCTTGGACTATCCGAAAAAATAGCAATAATCGCTTGTGAACAAACAAACACAGTCTTGAGCCCCACCTTGTAGACTCCAAAGGGCGGCTTGCTGAAGAAACTCCCCAGGGTGCAAACGTTACCAGGAAGATGCGCAACGGGAGATCCGTCGACGAGTTTGGCATGCCAGGATACCAGGATGGAGAATAGAAGACAGCGAAACAACCCAATCCTTACCCTAAGAATGTTCAATTTGCCCATTGTGCTCCATGTTTCCTGCCCATCTCGGGCCAACATGTTCAAAGCCGCGATGCAACTTGGGGGAATGTGACTTGGATTGAGTACACATACAGGTGATCAGGTATATGGGACTTGTAGACATGTAGACTAGTCGAAAGGGAGGGGTATTGGATGAGAGTGTCATGCAGGCGCGCAAAGTACCGATGTATCGGTGCCAGACTCCTGGGCCTGGTAAGCGATCCGATTGTGAGCATCCCTTGTCAGGGAGGGGCATTTGACCCATGTTTGTTCCTAGTCCCAACGTGGCAATGCCCTGTCAACTCAGCCAGTGACATAATTAGCGTCCGGTACAAGTATAGACACCATAATTAAATGCCTCCCTCGTCCTCGTCCTCGCCCAGGTTGACTCTTTTGCGGCCAACCCCTGTGAGTCGCTGCAGGGCTACCTTGTTAACCTGGCCGCCAACTTTCTGTTGCATCGCCTCTATTTCGGCCTCAGCATCCGCAGCGTCCGCCTCTGCGTATTCGAGGACCAGACGCCTGCCCAGCAAGTGAGTGTCACACAACGCATTGAATGCGTTCTCCGCTTCGCGCACCGTAGTGAATTCGATAAACGCGAAGCCTTTGGATCGATTGCTGACGTTCTTGGGGATCCTTATCTTTCGAATCTGACCATACGTGCCAAATAGGGCTCGCAGGTCCGATTTGGTAGCCTCGAATGGCAAATTGCGACATACTATCTTGGTTTTCTGTCCGGCAACCTTCTTCGCATGATCTTCACGTCTACGCTCCTCGGCGACATCATTGCCACGATGTGAGGCTCTGACTTGCAATTTGTGACCATGTAAGACGGTGCCATCCATCGCTTTCAATGCAGCCTCGGCAGCCGCCTTGGTCGAAAACGATACAAAGCCGAACCCCATGGACAAAACTTGACCTGGTTTTTTGGCATCTGATTTTGTTTTGACACGGGCAGACTGGAATCCTTCTAGATGCTGAAAAGCCTCGGCCAGCTGTGTCGTCGTTGTAGCAAAACTCAAGCTCTTCACATAAAGAGAGGTGGACTCAATGTCTCCGTCATTGTCACCACGTTCTAGGAGCTCAGAGGCGGATACTTTCTGCGTGTCAGAGGGCTTAGTGGAAACAGCGACACCTTGTTCTCTTTGGGAAAAGAGGTTTTGTGGTCCAGGTTCCAGGAACAGCATATTGTTGCCGAACCGGCTGTACTTGAGCTTATCAAACGCAGTCCTGCCATCGACCTCATTGGCAAATTGGATGATGGCAATAGTAGCGCTGGGCGGTATTAGCACTCGGGTGACCTGGCCGTGTACTTCGAAAGCACTCCTCAACTCCTCGGCCGTGTTGGTTCCATATGAAAAGTTCTTGCAGAGAATGACGGCGTAACTTCTTGGGCTTGATTTGAAGGCATCCAGGTTGACACCGTTCGCAGTGAAGAAGGCCTTTACATCTTGCAGCGTAGAAGTTTCTGCAATTGCTTGTTTCACGGCAGCATCGGCGCTCGTTGGATCAAGGAGTTCTGACTTCGAGATCCCAAGGCGAGCAGCTACTGAGGAATTCACAGCATCTTGGTTCATAAACAGCGAATTCCAATCAAATTTGGACGTTGCTGCCTTAGCCTTCTTTTTCAAGAGCTGTTGTGTTTTGAGGGGAAGCTTGGAAAGTTCGAACTCATCGACTGTGTCCCGCTTTGTCGACCCCGGGAGTAAATGGAGTATTCGGCCAGATAAACTTGCCTTGTCTGCTTTCTGGAATGCGGCCACTGCGGAATCTGACTCGACAAAGGCAACAAAGGCGAAACCTTTATTTTTGCCGGATCGATCCATCGGCAGGTGAACCTATTTTGTTTCAGCTGGAACGAACAGTGATAGAGTCGAAGCAGATAACATGAAGGGATTGTTCTCAGAGTACAAAGCATCTACTAAAATACATGTCCTGGGTTCTCGTCAAATACCAAAGGTATACGATGTCCCTATCAGGCTTCATCATGGAATCAAATATTGGATGGCAAGAAGAAAACAGGGGTTGGCTCACCTCTTCGAGACTACCGTATTGCTCAAAGAACTTCCTGATGTCCTCTTCAGTTATCTTGTAAGATAGATTACGAATGAAAAGCCTTCTGGTTCTGGATATAGATTGCAGTGGCGTTTCCTCCTCTAATGAATCTGGTTCTGGTTTGTCTCCGTCTGCTTCGTCCGTACGCTCCGGTTCCGCATAGGATTTGGTGGGTACCGGTGTAGGCGGTAAACTTGTAGACGGTTCGGCTCTTGATGGAATGGCAGCGATGTCGTCGTCGTCCATCAAGTCGAGCAACCTGTTTGTTCGTAATCTGAGCCAGTCATCATCCGTGGCAGCCTTGCCAGAGAGAGCACAGGGAGGATCCTGGGCGTCGCTAACGGTATCGCCAGAGGCATCGCCGGGGATAATGGAGTTGGATGCAGCTCCGGACGGCGTAGTCACCTTCTTCGATGTTGTGGGCTCAACGATGGATCGATTTCGACTTGGTATCTTTTCGTATTCATTGTCGGACTCTTCCCCGCTGAGGGCCACTATCTTCCTTGGGTTTGTTTCCTCGTCAACCTCAAGCGCGCTGTTCTCGGGGTTCTTGCCAGGTTGCATGACTCCGAGAAATTCTTGCAATTTCGCATCGTAGGATAGATCGCGTTTTCTCTTCTTCGCGTTGACTTCTTTTGTCTCTGGTGGTTGGACAACTGATCTTGTGGGAGCCGACTGAACAGCTGTGGTCTGCTGCCGCGATTTCAACAGGGAAACGTCTCCAATGGGCTTCGCCAGCTCCACGGATAGCTTTGACATTCGAATAAAGGAGCGATTGAAGTATTTGACAGCTTCGGCAGCCTCTTCGGGGCTTTTATATCCTACGAACGCTATGCCACGCTCAGGTTTGAGCTTGACATCTGTGATGTGCCCGCGGGATGAAAAGTGTTTTCTGAAGTCGGCTTCTTTGATGTTTGGCTGAAGCCCACGCACAAATATCCGGGAAGTCTCCATGGTGATATAGGTTCTTCTGGATGAGTTGCTCGGCTTTTTTACTGTGGATGAGCCAAACCAGAAGGTGGTTATGCAGCTCGCAAAATGATGTTCAAGTCGTGAACGCGATGCCGAAGCTGCATGGTGGATGAAGAAAAAAATCAAATCCGGTTTGTTCTTGAAGGCGTTATCGCCCCACTCTGCTATGATAGACTAGCCCAACATTGAAACTGCACATCCCCTTCCGCTCAAATGTTGTTTCTACCAGATTTGGCACTGATGATATCTCTAAGACTTATCAAAAATCCATATTGAGATACCAGTCATAGATAAATAAGTTTTATCTGAGGATATTTGAAGCGATACTTTGATTCCAATCAAGACCTGAACCCGTTGACTTCTGTACACAGTCAGACCTCAGGCAGACCTTAATCTGGCCCGTGCGTTTATCTAGCTTGAACACTGGGTCTGGTGGACCTCCATTGCCTGATCCCTGGATTGAAGCTCGCAACAACTTTTTGGAAAACAAACCACCAAAACAGACGTTCGCGGGCAGCAAGCCTATCAGCACCTATTTTTGAAAGCCGTTGACCGGTCTAGCCACTCCCAACGTCACAGCGGATACTTCTGGACCACGTATTAGCCCGCAACCCACTTGCGCAGATCGGTATGTTGAGTTTGTCGATGCATCCTCCGCCCTCTTGATGGATGCTACTCCTGGCTTAAGTATCGAGCGCCTTGCTGTTCGCTAATATTTGCAATGCGTGTATAGCTTCCAGTCGGATCGGACTTCGTATAGGTCCACCCCCATTCGTCAATACCCTTCGTCGATTGCAGCCATGGCCGAGTCCACATCCCCCCCGCCTGTCGCAAATCGCGAAAAGCTTGAAGGTCCGTTGATATTTCATGAACTGGACACGGTTAGATGCAATAGCTAACAGGCCACAATAGCCCAGATCAAGTCGGCGGATATGGTGCGTTACACGAAACAAACCTGGGCCTGAACGAAGCTGATGGTGTGACAGACGGACGACATGCAGCAGGAGGCAGTCGATGTTGGTACGTGTGGTTGGCGCCTGCTTGCCACCGGTACTGATTCTCTATCGTGTAGCTCAGGAAGCCATGGGAAACTTTACCATTGAGAAGGATATCGCCCAGCACATCAAGAGAACGGTGAGACGCATGTGCCGGAGAAATGGGAGCTTATCGCTAACCAACTGCCCAACAGTTCGATGAGCGCAAAGGACCAACATGGCACTGCATTGTCGGTAGAAACTTCGGCAGCTTTGTCACTCATGGTGTGTACTCGCTTACCCCTGTACCCACGCGGAACATTTCCACTGATGTTGCTCAGAGACAAAACACTTCATATACTTCTACCTGGGCCACTGTGCCATCCTACTCTTCAAGACGCAGTAGATCTCGTATCGAAGCCCACGGGTCAAGGCACAAGGGAAATATGCATGAATGGCCGTTTGCAAACATGGGTTCTGGGAAAAGTTCGCGGCTTCGAATGTGCAAGGTTCTCGGCCGATGCAGTTTGTTTAAAAAAAAAGTCTGGTTGCGGGCTTTTGGGCCTTGGGACATCTTCCGATGTTGTATAACTAGATGACACATGATGCAATCCATATTTTACCATCTCAATTTAAGCTTCAGCTGAGGAAACCCATGAAAGGCCTTGTGTAAGTGTGTACAAGTGAGGCGAGAAGGCCAAGGCTAGGGCTGGGGCTGGGGCGAGGGCGACACAGGGCAGCAGTTGATGGCACGTTGCCTTTGCTCCTTTTGAAAACTTCTCCCTGGCGTCGCGGATTTATTTAACTACATCATCGTATTACACTTAGGGGTTTGTGTATAGCAGATTCGCCCCAAAACCGGAAGCATATATTTACTCGTGTCTATGAAATCTCCGGCTCAAGGGGAAATTCTATTCTGGGGAGTAGTCCTGCCCGATAAATCAAGAAACAGACCGATATGTTCGGCCAATTCGATGAGATCTTTAAAACATGAGTCCTGTTTCATCAACAGGTACGCGCCAAGGCCAATAGACAGCTTAGTAGACTCGCCTTTAATACAGCTTGCGAAACTAATAACGTTGGCCTCTACAGTTTCCCTAGATGTCTCGCACGTGAGCAGCTAGGATAATCTTGCATTGTCCATCTCGAAGAACTTGGTTAACATATCCGTGATGCCTTTGGTGGTTGTGTTCCGGATGGCCGCCTCGTTAACATGTCCCTTGGTCCCTGGTCGAAGCTGATGCATGCAGGCACTTTACACTCGGGATGATCTGTGGCCAGGAACAGCGAACTTTCCAAATCATTGACCAGACGGGAAGCGGCTGCCCCGCCCTTCAAATCCTATTTTAAGTGCTGCCCCGCTGTCTTCACCCCACCTGGAACTTTACGCTCAAGCACAACCCGCACCGAATAGAGTGAAGATGCTCCAAGCTTGGAATAGTAAGATATAAGGTTCTCTCCATTGCGACTTGTTGCAACACATGAAGAATGCGAAATCACGGGAACGGATCGTAGGCAGGGCAGATTAAAGGATCCAGATCCCACTTTCGTCACCATTGCGGCCCAACTGGCGTACGGGGATTCGGGGTCGGTACGTTGGTCCGTTGGCTTGGAAATCCCTGGGCAAGTTAGGTTCGAGTTCGAAGAAGTATGGGTTCTTACCAAGCTTCCGCCGTGCTCCCGCTAACTTGAACCTCGAACTGCTGTTGGTTAAGGGCTGACTGTGCGAGTGCCACCGTACGCAATATAGCATAAAGCAGCTGCCAACGAAACCCAACTACTCCAAGGCAATGGATCGTTACTACCCGCATCCAGCGATTTTGTACAAGCTATTAGCAACCAAAATTTGCTCTTGCGCTGGCCCTGCGACCTTGGCGGATCGTGTGCTTCCACACCATACGTTCAAGTTGTGACCTTCCGAAGGTTGTATTGCAGACAATCATGCGACCCTGCTGCGGTGACGCCCGCCTTCATGGTGTCGAGCTACAACTCGACAATTCATTTGGCGGCCACCCACGGGCCCGGGCAACCCAGCTGGTTCTTCCGCTCCATGGCGCCTCGATGATATGACGATAAAAGCTATGTTCTATCTGGTTCCGCGCCCGTTCCAATTGGGGCAATTCATCTTCAAATTCGTGACGCGCTGCCACGAGATATACTTCTGCGCCTTGTCAACGTATATACACCCCAGAATTGAGGAGTTGAGTGTAACCCTGAAGTGGGAGGAAACGAAGCCCCCCATTCGGATCTATGAAGATCGCCAAGCACATCGCCTATGGTTGGCTGGCTGAACGGATCGGAGCAGGCCTTGACCGAATTTCGTTGTGGATATAATAACAGCATCAAACCTCACCGAAAGTCAACAGTCCAACGTTCACGGTTGCTGCAAGTATCAGATCTACCTGGCAGATCATAAGTCACCGTGCTAAGGCGGCTACGTAGTCCTTGAGGTAGCAACGGCTCTTCAAATCGCCTTACTACTACAATATATTGTTACCCGTCTGGTCTAGCTTGCCAGAGCTTTTTTCGATGGCCATTTGTTGGCCGCTCGTTCCTTACTTCTCAGCCAACACCTACCACGATGCGTTACAGGTGGATGGGGGAAAGACTGAACACATCATCCCACCTCTATGCACAGCACTCGATTCGTTGATCAACGTTACACGTCCAGCAGTTTCTTGTGGGTCCTGAAGTCAGCCATTCTCGGCTGGCTGCTGACTCTAGTCGTCTTCCATTGCATTGTGAGACTCGTCGAAGAAACGGAAGAACCACCACGGAGGTGAGATGGCCGTGCCGGAAAGAAAACGGAAAGACGGCATCTCCTGGGGCAATACATATAAAGTCTAATAGCTGGGACAGTCGCTCAACCGCGGGGACCGCAATAACTAAATAGCCTGCACTACTCACGCACTGTATTGCCAAAGGCAACGGTTGGGCGGAGACTTGTTCGATAGCTGCTCCAACTTGGGCGGGATCGTAGTCATACATATTGCTGCTGGGGGGGGGGGGGGGGCGGTGGGGGTGGCGCCCTCGCGTGGCAGGGTGGGCGACAAGGCCCCATTTTCGAACCCTCTATTGCAACACATCCGACCGTATGAAAGAAATCGTCACACTGTATCCCGAGACCTCAGGGGCGCTTCACCGACCTACACAATTCGAGGCAAGGAACCACGTTACTGACCATTCATGTCTAGAGCATTTGGGGGTTTGAGAGGCTCCAGCCACTGAATCGGAAAA